TGACACAAATAAAAACCTAAATTATGCTAATTAAAAACTATATATTAGCTATCGTATTAATAAATTAATAATAAAGTATTAATTATCGTATTCATAAATTAATTTCATAGTTTCGCTAAATTATAAAAAAATTGAAATACATCCAAACAATAATACTTTCTTAGATTTACGTGAATATTTGACATTTTAAATAAAACTATCTTTTCGGATTTTGTTAATTGTGGGTAGGCTGTCTGTAACAACTATATCTTTAAGACATGTAACACCTCAGTCTCTCCCGTGACCATGGATGCTGTAAAGCATTCGAAACGTCGGGAAACAAAAATACAAATAAATCCGCGACAAAATCCGAAAAGATAGTTTTATTTAAAATACATCCAAACAATTGGGAATATGGTTGGATGCTAACGTCATCGTGGGATCCTGTAATTAATATACAAATAACAAAAACTAAAAATAGACAATAGATTATAGAACGTTACATACTCGTATAGTATAGCTGTTACTGTGTAGTTCATAATAATAATTATTTAAAATTAATACTTTCTTAGACATTTCAAATAAAACTATCTTTTCGGATTTTTTCGCGGATTTAGTTTGATCATGGTCACGAGGTCTCTCCGGTGACTATGATTGCTGTAAAGCATTCGAAACGTCATCGGGAACCAAAAATCAAAATAAATCAAAATAATCCGAAAAGATAGTATTATTTAAAATTAAAATTTATATTCACTTTTCTAATTGTGTGATTTGTAAATATACGTATAGTATATGGCAATAATGTTATTTAGTTATTTTCAACTAATTACTAGAAACTAATCACTGTTTTGGTTTTGACATACCAAGACAACAAGATTCCACTTGCCAATTGCACTCGCCATTGCGGTTTCAGTAGGTTTTCATCAAACGAGTGAAATGTTCATTACTCTTGGAGTCTTGGTTGACAATTGAAATGAACCTAGTATTCAGTTCTACTAATGCGAGATTAATTAGTTACCTAGCTGTGGTTCCCTTGTTGTTTTATTGAGAATTACCACAAGATGACTAGGTAATGCTTTGTTATATAAAGTTATTTGAGAGGGACATTATCTTATAAAAAAATATATTAAAAAATACGCATACGAGTCATGGACAAAGGCTAGTATCTACTTGATATAATAGATGTGGCAATAAAGACGGTTTCAAGTAAACAATTTTATTACATAAAGTATCTCTATTTACGCAATTTGTTTACCAGTTTTCTGGTAAAAACAAACAGAATTAAAATTCTACCTACTATGAAACGATTTAAATATTTGCTAATTTTGCTTTTAAAGTTTTGAATTATGTTAATTCAACTTTTACTTTATTGTGAAGGAGATAAATAAAAAAAATGGCCGTCACGTCATGCGGGCATCCGCAGATGTGAAACATCTATGTTAATAGTAGAAATATGTAGTAAAAAAATTGAGTTTCGTTGATATAATCAATTTATTTTTCTTATCATTTTAATAATAATAATAATTACAGACTATATACATATATAGAATAGATAATATGTAAATATTTTTAGTAGAAACTGTTTTACAATGGGGCGTGTATAACGCGCGCGCACACACACCAGGGAATCGAGAGCGATGGTGTAGAGCAGGCATGTAATACCACGAGTCGGTTTTACTGCCAAGGCGCGCCTTTAGATGTGTTACATCAGAATATTTCATTAAATTTGACGTTTCAATCGTAAACTCCTTTATGTATGATTTTATGAAAGATAATGATTTTATGAAAGATAATAAATAGAATCTTCTGACGCATATTAATGCGTTAATTATGAGATACTAAAAGGATTTAAAGATTTTTTTCCTGTACATTACCTGTAATTTCTGGGGTATGGAAAGTAAGGTCTGATTTTTATACATTTTTTCATTGAACTAAGTAAAAAAAATAAATTCCTGTACGTACTATGTACATGCTGGAATATAAAATAATAAGGCTTATTTATTACTAAATTATTGTTTCTATAGATATATTGTATCATAACAAATTGTATCTTTTAATTTTTTCCCTTCAGTAGATTAGAAAAGCAGCTGCTATGTACAGATTACAGGCACAAGTAGTCCTATAAGGTTCCATTTTTGTCTTTAAAGGTGCAACCCCACAAGGCTAGTATTGTCATAGGTAAGCAGATAAGTATTTTAATACAGTAACATTAATTTCAAAATTGAGACACATGATTTTCTCAATGAGATGGTAATAATTTCATAGAACAGGTAAATAATAAATATTCATATTTAGTAAAGCTTTAAGATAATAATATGACAATATAAATTAGGTGATGCTGTAATGATAGAACTTTTAAACAACCTTGACCCGTTTCGAAAGTACGTGGAGGACAAATAGGGCGAAGTGGCTCGAAATCTTCGTAAACAAACATCAAATGTGATCGTCAATAGCATCAATAAAATATAGTTACATAGAAGTTCTATAATAAAATATAGATATTTTTTTACAGAACAAAGACTCAATGATCTTTTCCAAAATATTTTTCTTAATAAATCTATACTAATAAACTTATAAATGTGAAAGTATGTGAGGATGGATGGATGTCTGTTACTCTTTCATGACAGAATACCTGAACAGTTCTGAATGAAATTTGGCACAGAGATAGATTATAGTCTAAAATAGCACATATATTACTTTTTTATCCCGGATTTTTTTTGTCTAGGGACGAACTCGAAGCGAAGCGAAGATAAGTCGCTACTCGCTAGTACTCTACCAAGTCCTTATAGTGAACCAGTGTTATCAAAAAAAGATCTGTTTTTATAGAATAAAACCTTGTTATTTTATAAAATATATTTATTATTTTTCACACAACACTTTGGAAATAAACAAACCTCTAAATTCAGTAAGATTTTCCTAAATAAGCTCGCCACGCCCGATAATTTCACGCGCTATTAAAATTTATGAGCGGACCTATTTACAAGAGAAAAAATGATCTTTGTGGCGGCACAGTTTCAGTGATAAAATAATAATTTATTATGCATTTCGATGTAATATAACATTGTTGTGTAAGAAGCATTATTTATGTATCTAACTAGGTACACACACACATACATAAAATCATTTTTTCGAAAGAAATCTGAAGAAATAGATTTATTTAAAATTTCAAAATTTTGCGAAAATCTAAGATAGATTATACATACTCGTACATATATATTAGGTATACTAATTGAAATAAATTGTATTTATAATGGACACTCTTTATTGAGTGATTTAAATATTAAGAAAAATATGAGGCAGAAAAATATAATATGAACTTTGACATTCGACAAAAAAATCTTAAGTAGATAAAATACATACTTAACTAGTCATAGGTTTTGGCGGGAAATCTAAGTGGATAATACTAAATATTTTTTGTAGACTTGAGCAGTTCTCGGAAGGGATTTTTTCCAACTTATATCGCAAATAACCTCATACTGTAACAATATACATACATAACATATTTTCACAAAACGTTCTTATATTAGCGTTTTCCGCGGCTTCGCACTCGTAATTGAAATATGTGCTATAATTAGGTATAAGATATGTACATTACTGTATAGTTTCATCAAAATCCGTTCAGTAATTTTTGCATGAAAGGGTAACAAACATACAATTTATAATATTAGTAGGATAAAATGACCTTCCTAGATAATACATGTATAATTGGTTAACACCGTATGAAAATTTCTACAGTAGTTTTTACGATTAGCCCGAACAAATACGAATTCAGCTCGGTTAGGCAATTTAATTTATTTATGAAATAAAAGACATATTCTTTTTTTTTAATTGCTTTGAATTGCGTTAACAGACGCAATACATTCTGCCAGTGTCACGTATTGTGAGGAAGACACGAATGAGTTTGATCGGTAATTTTGAAATTTAGCTATGTTAAAGTGAAATTAAGACTATAAATAAGAATGATCGGTTTATAGGAGCAACTTACAACAATAAAAATATAATTACAAATAATTTATAATAACCTGATATAACAGACATTAAAAACCTTATAGCTATGTTATTAACCAATTATTATCAACGCCAATAAAAAAAAATCTAAATGTCTGACATTAGAAATGTCATTAATTTTTATACTCAGACGCTTACTTTTAACATTTTTAAAGACTTTAAATCAAGATTTTATTATTTATTAAATGTGCTACAAATCAACTGGCTTTGGTGAAATCGCTACGCTTTGTAAATATTTTGTTTTTTTCTACATTACTATTTTTATAATAGGTAGTTTGTTCTTAAGTATTATCTGCTCATATTTTTTTTGTTAGTCAAAAATTTACTCACAGGAACTTCATAATGATCACAGGAAAATAAAACCGTTAAAGGTAGTAATATTTATAAAAACTAACATAGTAGCATAACTTAACCTCCTTTAATGGGTAGGTATGTGACGTTGATGGATTGAAAATACTTTATAAATAATATTATAATGTGAAAGTAACTCTGTCTGTTAAGTTTTAACGCTTATACCGTTTTGAGTTTTGTAAAGACATAATTTGAATCCTGGAGATGGACATAGACTATTACTGATCCCCGCTCCACTTACCACACAAGCGAAGACGCGGGCGAAAACGAGTAAGTTTATAGCATACACAATACAACAAACAAACAAACAAACAAACAAACAAACAAACAAAAATCACTATTAGGTATTACTTAGAAATAGTAAATTAAAGAAAAACAAATATTTTAAATAAAACTATCTTTTCGGATTTTGTCAGGAGAGACTGTCTCTCCCGTGACCATGGATGCTGTAAAGCATTCGAAACGTCGGGAAACAAAAATGCAAATAAATCCGCGACAAAATCCGAAAAGATAGTTTTATTTAAAATGTCAAATATTCGCGTAAATCTAAGAAAGTATTATAAAAAAACAAATATATTATAAATGAATTAAAAACGTTTACAATTGACATATTTTTTAACTGTTCATAGTAAAAACCACTTAACTGAAGTTAACTGAAGGGTATGATGAACGTACTCCGTTCGATGTTCGGGGTGTGTAGCAACTCTGCAGAGAAAGGGGAAATTCACGACACGATACGCAAGATCTTTGGCAGCGAACTAGTGATGAAAGATAATACGGACAAACATAATCAGTGAGATATTGTTTATATTTCTAATGTACAAATACATACATACATGCAAGTAACACATGATTTAACCTGCTCCTTTTTCATTCTCACTCACTTTCTTTTAGGTGATTGATAGAGAGAACATTGACTTCTCTCTGTTTTTCTAGGAAGTTCTGTGTTTGTAGGAAAGTGCAACACTTGAGAAAAGCTGAACTGATTTCACATTTTTCTCATAATCTAAATAAGGTTTTAAGGACAAAAAATAAAAAAAATGGCTCATGAAATTGGAAAATTCGTATGAAATTAAAAGTGCCCTTTTAATGACTTCAAAGGTCACAAACAACGTAATAGAGGATAGGACAAATTTTCTCAAATCAGTTGTCTATACCAATATTATAAAGAGACAAGATTTTTTGTTTGTTTGTACCGCATAAGTTTCGAAACTACTGGACCGATTTAGATGAAATTTAGTAAGAAGATTTAGTGACAGACCATGGGAAGGAAATAGAGCTTTTATCCAGGAAATCATCCCTTAGGGGGGTGAAATGGAGTGAAAAATAGAGTGGAAATCGCTAATTAGTAATAAAGTGCTAGATATACCTTAAAGGCTTATACGATTTTCCAACATTTCCATTCACCATATCCAATAAGCTACGGGTTCGATTCCAGGATGAGAAAAATATTTGTATTAACCGTCAGATTTGCTTATGAGAATATTATTTTCATTTTACTTTAAATTTCAGAATTACAAAAATGTTTTAAATCATTATGTTTTAGAAGGAGTAAATACGTTAATCATGTACGAGACAATCTGTCAAAAATCCTCGACACCAAGGTGACCAGCCATAAACCAAAATCTATTAAAAAACATGCACCAGTAACAACAGAGGTAATTAAGATTCATTTTATGTATGTAATTTTAAGTGCGCTATAGTAAAATCTTCGCTCCCTTCAGCTTTGGGGGTCATTTTTTGCAATGGTAGGGGATGTATGGAAAGGCACCCGAGCATTTTTTTATGTCAATAATACGAAAATATGGTGCGGTTGTTTTTAAATTATATTTGTTTGTTTATAAATTAAATATTAGTAACAATAATAATAATAATAGGATACGTATTTCATATATTATATATAACGTATAATATAATATATAACCTTTATAATAAAGTTAACAAAAAATAATGTACAGAAATAATTATTTTAATAAACATCTTTCATCATCTTTATTAAAATAACTATTTTTGTTCAAAATTTTATTCAAATACCCTATCCATGCAATTAAAACTGTTCATTACTGACCCATTCATGATGTAATTCCGTTTCATGGTCACTTTCACTCACAACACAATACACAAAGTACAAACATATCTCATCATTGACGGTGCGCGCGGGACGAGCGTTTACACGGAACTGAATGGCGACTTTACATAGATTATTATTAATCATTGTTGGTGTATTATAGAAACTTTGTCTATGGTGCTATGCTATCCTTGTTCGACCAACTACACTTTGTGAACGTTAGAGCGATATAGATATAATTTAAGATATTCGATTATTTGTGGGTAGAAAGTTGACTTAATAAGCTCGCTCCACAGATGGGGGTATTTTGACAATTGACTACTTTTCTCTGTTCGATTGATTTGATTAAGTTAATAGTATATTTCTGATTATAATTGATTATAATAATAAAAACATTAGAAATATCTAGTAGATGCCACTAAAACCCGTCATGGCCAACTGTGTGGATCATATTATAGTGCAGGCATGTGTGTACTAATTTTGTAACTCTCATATTCGATGGGATAATAATTCGATATAACCATTAATAGTTAACTGGCTTAAAGCTTGGCTCGGGACACGAATTCAGGACCTCACGATTATGATTAGAAGTTACGACTTACTTTTTCGTATTCAGTAACAAGCAGTTCTTGATTAAAATATCTTAAAAATATGGTGATTTGATTAATTTATTTATTTTAGGTAATAATATATTATTATTATTTTTTGTTTATTAGAATGCAGAGTCATTAGATGGCCGACATGGACGGATTGGACCCAAAATCGTAGTCTTCGATGCTTCTACAGGTGATGTTAATTTAAATATTCATTTAGCTTCATAGCATGCATGTAAGTCAAAGTTCTACCGTAATATCGGTACTTCTGTAATTAATATTGATGTCCTCCTGGCAAAGAAACGGCCTTGATGCGATAGTGGCCAACATGTGCGGCTGCATTTCTTGAAGTTCTGGCTTCGAGTCATTGAGTCGAGTTATTGAGTTTGAAGTTTTCTCACGTAAGACGCAGGGCCGACGTGAACGTGCTCTTTGAGGCGCGGGAGTAAAACACCGCTAACTTCGCAACTCAGGGCGTTATTGGGAATATCTTTATAGAAAAACCTAATAACTATACTTTGCCCGACCCGGGACTCGAACTGGATCTTTAGCACACGCTAGCCACTAGAAGAATGAGAAAATTATTTCTATGATTATTGCCCTATAAAACCTTATGGTACCTTTTAAAGTTTACACTAAAGGTAATCAAAGGAAAGACAGCAACTTACAGTTTTTACGATTGAGCTCACAATTATGAGTACATAGCAATCTCTTCTTGCTTCACCCAAACCAATATATCATTTTACACGATGATGATTTAAATATGGAGATGAAAAGTAGTCTATCTCACTCCCTCTTATCATAAAAATACATTTGTTTTCGTAAGTATTATTAATTGAGGATCAGAAATTTTTTAATAATTAATTAATGTTTGCTCAGTGCTCGAAAGACAATCTATATATTTTTAATGATTAACAATAGCTACTACACAAACAAAAAAAGAAAATCGGTTGACAGACAGAAATAGGTAATGAATTGTATTGTCCTTGCTTATTTATATACAGACAAGTAATTTTATATATATATATATAATACTAGCAAAACCCGCGGCTTGGCTTGCGCTAAAACTACAAAAAATCTCTAGAAAGGTAGTTTCATACAAATTTTCATAACCTATTTAACCCCCTTATACGATGAATTTCGAAAAATTTTAAAACACGTATTTATTGAATTTTATTGAAGAGCATTAATACCAAGTTTCAAGTAATTCTGATCATAAATATTTTTTTGGATTGTACTATAATGTGTTTTCCCGTGGAAATTAAATTATCTCCTGCAGCAAAAAGTAGCCTATGTCACTCTCCGGCCCTCCAACTATCTTCACACAAAAAATTAGCCAATCCGTCACTCCGTTTCGACGTGCAAGAAGGACAAACAAACAAACAAACACACTTTCACATTTATAATATTAAGTATAATATAATATGTATGTATATGTTTAGAAACTAAAATAACATGTTATCATAATGAAATATACCTCCATAAATCTCCAATTACAACTTACGTTTGATAATTTCAATATTTCTTATGATATCTTTCCTAATGCCAGTATAATTCAATGAAATTTAGATAATTATTGGTTATGTATATATGATTTATTTGCAATTACGATATGAATTATTTTAACATTAGACCAATTAAGAGCTCATATTATATCAATTTTTAGGGCAATTAACATATATCAAGTTTTTGGATTCTTACGATACAATTACGAGTTTATTTCAGTTTCTCTTTTATCTAAATTGACATAACTTTTTTATTTATGAGCCGATTGAAATAAAACAAATACTAAATGTTAAGTGACGCTTACCATATACGCTAGTGAAAACCGTACCTAAATCGGCTAAGCCGTTTTTGAGATTAGCGCGCACAAATACAGAGAAGTAGACAAAAATTCTAAAAAATTTTTTTTTGGTTTCTATTGCGTTAATAAAGATCCCCAATAAAAATTTTCTCAAATATCTTCCATGTATAGACATTAGACTGCGATCAGTTACAATTTTATTATTCGTATAGATTCTGAAAATTGAAATCAAATAGAAATAATAAAATAATAATCTGTATATCTGTATAAATATTATAAATGTGAAAGTTTGTGAATATGTATGGATGTTTGTTACTCTTTCACGCCAGAACGGCTGAACGGATCTGGGTATAATTTGGCATAGAGATAGATTATAGTCCCATTATATCCCAGAAAAATGTACGGTTCCCGTAGGATAGGTTTGTTTTTGTATTCCCAGAGGCGAACGCGACCGAAGCGAGGGTGAGCCGCTAGTTTTATAATAATATCAACGTTAGTAGATGTATTAAATGATCCTAAGATAAAAAATAATAATTATAAGAAAACATTTTTTTAGCATAATCGCATTTCTTTCAAAGGAACTGGGAGATTGGTCCTAGTAGGTGACGAACGTGTCAGTGTACAGGGCTTGTCAAGTTTTGCGTCGATAAGGGCGACGGCTTGCGCGTACGCCGGCAAATGGATGTATGAAGTGCAGTTAGGCACTAAGGGTATTATGCAGGTAAGGTGCGATTTTGACTCGAACTTGACCCAATTTTTTATTTTTTCTTCGATTTAGATTTTTCAATCTTTCGTATAGTAATCGTCCTGTTAATGTGTAGTGAATAGTGTAACTTGTTTAAGTCACATTAATCTTTTGAAATTATTATCTGCAACCTACTTTAGCCTATGTGGTCAAGTCATAGTTGTAATATTTCAGCGTGAAAGACGAACATACATAATAATTTTCGCATTTATAATAGTAGTCCGATTGTATTTTGATATATAAAATATAAAATATAAAATCGCACACGAAGGGTTCCATACCATCGTACATGTACTTCTTATTGATATGACTCATATATTGATATAACTCTCACCGGTCGTGTCGAGTGGTCGTCCCACCGGAGTATGAGAGTGATAGGAATAGAGAGTGCACGTTGTGTCTGCGCGTACACTTGAGCACTATAATATCTCCTGCGCAGTTGGCTAATCTCATTGAGATTGGCCGCCGTGGCCGGAATCGGCTAGGAGAACATCATCATTGATATGGCTAGGTATTCTACGTATGTAAAAGATTAATTTCGATGATCGATTACGAACGTATTGTTATAGCGACAATAGAAATAGAATACTCTGTGAAAATTTCAACTGTCTACCTATTACGATTCATGAGATACAGCTCTCTGACAAACGGACGGACGGACGGACAGCAGGGGCTTAGTAATAGGATTCCGTTGGCACTCATCGGGTACAGAACCCTAACAAACTATCTTACATCTACTACTATACTCCATTTAAAATTTTCCTTTTACTTACGATCCTAGCTAATAACGAACAGAGCTCATTCCCTCTACAAAGTATAAACAGTTTAAACAAACATCTACTATCATGAGTGTAAAGCTAAAGATTGCATTTTACACTAAGTTAACATTCCCTGCCTTTGAACCAATTACCTGCATAATTAAGTGCTAAGCCACGTCGTGTCTCTACTTAGCGTCGCACACGCGCGCCTTTCAAAGCTTGGAGGTAAAATCTAATATATTCCTGATTTCTCTACGTTCTTCAAAAGAAATATTTAATGTTTATTCTCTAAAAGTTGTAAAAATGTTTTTACATTTATTCAACACTGGCGACATGCTCCCGTTTCGTTCGGATTCGTTTTAATTATTTGTAGCGGTACCAAAATAATTTTTCTAAAATAAAACTAGGCTAAGTTACTCCCTATAACATCAGATATATATATATATATATATATATATATATATATATATATATATACAAAATCCATACATACATATTAAAATCAATAAAAAAAACACTTATTAAATAATTTTATCGTTAGGTTTTTTTAAATAGTTTGTAGTTAATTTATACTAGCGACTACTCACCCTAGCTTCGCTCGGGTTCGTCCCTAGCATGCTTCCCAATACAAACTACATCCCAAGATAAAAAGTATCCTATGTCCTTCCCAGGGTCTCAAACTATCTTCTTACCAAATTTCATCTAAATCGGTTCAGTAGATCCAGAGATTATCCCCTACAACGTCACAAACTCACAAATTCACAAACTCACAAACTTTGCCTCTTTATAATATTAGTATAGATCAATTTGAGATATAATAGGTTAAATGAGATAAAATTAATGTTATCAAGCGATTAAGTGCATAACAGAGAACAGAGTCCAATTGAGCTGATTGGGTGAAAGGCCCCCCTAATTGGATTGCATTCGAGCGTAATCCGAATGTTCTATTTGCGTACGAGTATCTGCATGTGACATTTATATATGGGTACTTAACACATCGTTTATAGCAATTTGTGTGGTTTTATAGACGTTTCATTACACTGCTTACGTTCAAACTAACTTTAAACTAAATAGTTTATAGGTTATACGGGCATTTTAAATAAAACTATATTTTAGAATTTTCTCGCAGATTTATTTTTATTTTTGGTTACGTTTGGAGTTGTTTACAGCAAACATGGTCCTGGAAGAGACTAAGGTTTTAGATGTACCAAACGTCTTGTAACAATAATAATTAAATTAAGTACATTATTTATTTTTCAAATTGGTCAATCGTAATTTTTCTTCCATTTTTTACTTCTATTATGCCTAAGATATTTCACACATTTTTACTGCGAAGTAAAATTTCGCAGATCGGTTGGTGCACAGCTTCGTGTACTTTCTCAATGGATACAGGTGTGGGCGACACTGCCCACTCGTACGCCTACGATGGAGGTAGAGTTAGGAAATGGAACGTAGCCACATCACAGTATGGACAGACTTGGCGGCCCGGTGACGTCATCGGCTCTTGCATCGATTTGGATAAAGGAACCTTGGAATTTTACAGGTTTGATCGTTAATCGCTTTATGGTTTAATTTTCCAAAATACCTTCGTTTCACACTCTATAAATTCGCCTGCAAACACCCGGTTGCTCGTATAACAATGTGGCTGCTTGCAAAACAAAACTTTACGAAGAGAACTTAATGAAACAGAACACTAAAAGTAGATGGTAGTAAAATTTAAATGTTGGAACTTGAAACATTTTATTCCTCTAGCTTCTAGAATATTTTGTCATCGTCAAAGCATGTTATGTTCATGTTATATTATGTACGTTTTAAAAGCTTATATTTTCTTTAAAGTTATTTTTATTGTTTTTGAAATATTTAATATATTTCCAAATGTAATTAATTTAAATCTATTTTGTTTTTTCAATATTTCTGTATTTATTACACGAATTTGCCTTATTGTATGCTTTAAAAAAGAAGTGGAATGACATTTTATTTGAAAGTTTTACCTTATACAAAAATAATATCATGAAATTTTGATGTAAAATTAAATAGACATACACACATAATATCCCAATGTGAAATGCTATAATCAATTAACTTAAAGCATTTCAATCACGTTCATGACTATGACAGTCACGATCCCATGATAGTGACGGGGGTTAGGGTTGTCATTAGTGAACATTTTTTATATACAGTTTTCATTAATTATATTCTTTATAATTTTTATATAATATGTATATAATGTATGTAAATATAACAATATAATTAGGGAAGCATAAAGCGATGCATCTCTATACTTCTTTATGTGTTAAATGTGTTTATGTATCTATTTAAATTATACCGTTAGAACAATAAGTCATCAATGAATCGCATCATAGTCGGTTGTCGTTTACATGGATTATCCTAAAATAAATTAATTGAAGTTAATTATGTTTGAAATCTCTAAGATGCTCTTAGGTTTTAGCCTTATTATATTTATAGATTTTTAATTTTTTATATTAATATTTTCATAATTTTCGTTCAAAATTTGGCATTTTAACAGATATATTTATTAATTATTATTATTATTACAAAAAAGTTTAAATTATAAAATTAAAGTCTTTGCACAATCATTATTATCGATAGTTATTATGTTCAGTTAAATTGCTCATTTTTGAAGCTGACTATTATCTATATAAATAAAAATAATGTTTATTATTGCACTATTTTAACAGCCTTTTTTATTTACACGTATCACCCCTGAAAGCTATAAACTGCATGTACAATGGCGTTCAGGCTCGTCCATCACGCTCCACATAATCGCTCTGTCAAAATATGTTTGTTCGTCGACTGTATAGATTTATAGTTTTATTGATAAAACGTGATTGGGTTTTAGTGTTTGACCTCTTCAATAATTTTGGCTACAACGGCTTTACTGAGACTACCTATTCTTTTTTAATGTTGGGAAATGGATTTACGCATACCACCTGCATACATATGGGTTATATGGGACTCACCGGCTAGAAAAGCCAGTACTACCCATTAAAACCCAACAAAACCTCCCCCGTCTTAATGGAGCGTCGCAGGATCACTTACGCACTCCACCACGACGCCCCGACAGCCAGGTCAAAACAGACCACAACAACCATGGGGTTGCTCTACAGGCCACTCTGCTATCAGAGAAGTACTAGGAGCAAACCGCATGGCACACTGACCTACGAGGTGCCCGACTGGTATGCTGGACGCTAATGTTGCTGAGACTACCCTAGCACAGTTGATATTATAGTGCATAATATGTATTCTTTTCACTCTCAAACTCTGGTGGGTGAAAGATCTGGCTTTACGTGTTATGCTTCGGCACAGCGTTGGAAAACTGCCAACTTCCCAACTCTGTTACTGACATTTTTTTGATATGACATTGAAATTGTATTTGCATTTTATTAATAAAAGTCAAGGCGAATGCTTAAAATTGTAGGAAAATAATGATTTTTGTCTTATCTCCTTATCTGGAAACTGAGATGTGATAGAAAAGTTTAATTTATGCATTTCAATTAGATCAATAGCAGGAAATAATAATCACAGAGCGTGACTTCAGATATAATAAAATTTTTGTAATATGTTGAGCACAGAGCAGTGCTATTTGCACTATATGTACATACGTTAGGCCGAAAGTAATTTTCTTTTCTACAAAAATCTAATATTTTATTAAAATGACATAAAATTGATTTCGAGTTTTAGTTTACTTATTTTTCTTAGAAATGGTGTATCTCTTGGCGTGGCATTTGACAAAGTCACCCATGGTTCCGGATTAGCCTATTTCCCCGCCGTCTCACTGGCGATGCAAGAACATCTGTATGCAAATTTTGGTCACGTACCGTTTATGTTAGTATAACTTTTCAAACATTAATAAAACTCAGCTTATACTTCGTAAATTTTGGCTGCGTACATTCCATTTAAAAATGTAACCTCGTAAAGATTTGTATATATTAGCATATTTTGGTCTTCATATCACATCTCGTTTTTGACTTATTAAAAATATACTTAATTTAATTTGTTAGTTTTGTATACGTTACGCAATATCTAATATAATAAAAAAGAAAAATAGTAAAAGTCATATTAATAAAAAGTACATGTACGGAACCCTTCGTATGGGAATTCAACTCGCACTTGACCGATTTGTTGTTTCCGAATCTACTAGACAAATGAATTCAAATGTGAAATGTATGTAAAGTTAAGTGAAACAAAGACAAATATAATACTCGTATAATAAATTAATAAATAAATTCAAGCTGTACCTTGGAATCTGTTCGATGAATTTAAATGAAACTTTAAAAAATGTCATTTTTGCGCCTGTTTTACTATTTCTTCTTTCGACTATTTAATTATGTCGTGTAAGTTTGTGATGTGCAATAGAGGATATTTTATTGTATTGCACAATAAAAACAACACTATAAACAATATACATTTTAGAAACTTATAAAAAAAAGTCATTATAAATTTCTCATACAGCTTTCCCATAGACGGCTTTCGACCACTACAAGCACCGCCCTATCGTGACTGCGCACGCGCAATCCTATTATTTAAGTCCCTAGAAGCTTTGCTTGATGAATTAAACAGGTTAACAGAACTAAAACCCCCAGTCACGGCGAAAAGTAGTAAAGTAAGCAAATAAACTAATAATCAATATTATAGTAACAGCTTTAGGCACAATACAATTTATAAAAATAATGTGTTTTTTTCTAGTAATATACGAATATCACAATATAGTTTATTATTAACGAAAGCCACTCAAGAAGAGTTGGTACTGTTTACCATTAATTTGTCGTCATATTTAAATAATAATTCGACTGCTATTATATAATATGTGAAATTTATATGTGTGTTTGTTGGTATTTTTTCACGCTGTAATGGATTTAAAATTATTACTCAGACTATGACGTTGAGTAATAAATACTGTTAGGCACTGCAGCCCTAGACGCATCCGAGCGAAACGAGGAAAAGTCACAAGTATTCATTAATAAATCAATCATTAATTTCCTATGTTTATCTCCGTACAACAATTAATTTATTATTTTTAACTTGGTTTTTAATTTACTAACAAATACTGTGGATTTAAACATTCATTTGTAGGCAAAATCAGATTCGTCTAAAGCAGAAGTAGAATTGGCCCTCAGAATACACAGCTCCAACTCCGTATACACGCCGCGCGCCTCGCCTCACACCATTGTTGATACACAGACCACTGACATGAAAAAGATGTCGAAAAGGGTGATGTTATTTTTATTTATTGTATTTACTTATAACAGGAATATAAGAGAACTGTTCTTTTATCTTATGAAATTTTAACCAAAATGTAGATGAAATAGTTTTTAAGAATAAGAATGTATTGTAAAAGTTCTCATTTCAAAAATATGAATGATTTTCATTTCCTATGTAATGAATAGGATATTTTAGTTACTAGTTTAGTACCTACTGAAATTGACAAATAAAATTATTATAATAAAAATCACTTTAAGAATTAAGCGATATATAATTTAAAGTCAAAGGCTTACTTAGATTTCTTTATTTGTATATGGAACCGGTTTTTAGCAAATAATTATAATAATTATTAATTATAATAATTATTATTTATAATAATTAATAATTATTATTGTTATATGACCATAATAATTTGTGAAAAATTCAAGTTTGTGAATGAAGTGAAGAGTGAGTGACAAACATTTATTTTCAAACACAAATTAAATTAAAAAGTATTCAATAAAACTCCATCAAATTAGATTTAGGGGTACCTACTCATCAAATTATAATTTTAACATGTACATATCTTCCCGTATCGACGATAAGTTTTAGGTTGAGTCAGACCAAAAGTGTATTTATGTGAACGAGACACGTTACATGTACTCGTATTTGTTCAGTCCTATCGTATCCGATTATACAAGAACTAACCGTAACAGTTAACTAAAGCTGCTTTATATCATGTCAGCGCAAACAAAACGCTCTGCTATATTATGACTTGCTATTTAAATATTATGACAATGATCTCCATCAAGAGTACTTCTAAAATAAATTTTTAAAATAAAAAAAATGAGTAATATATAATTAATATATACTAATATTATAAAGAGGTAAAGTTTGTGAGTTTGTGACGTTGTAGGGGGTAATCTCTGGATCTACTGAACCGATTTAGATGAAATTTGGTAAGAAGATAGTTTGAAACCCTGGTAAGGACATAGAATAATAATATAATAAGAAACTTTTTCTCCCGAAAATCATCCCCTAAGGGGGTGAAAATGGGGATTAAAGTTTGTATTGAGAAGCAGAGACAGAGTTTCTTTGTTTGAGCGCGTTAATCTCAGGAATTACTAATCTGATTTGAAAAAAATCTTTTTGCACTAGATAGCCCGTACGTACGTACGAGTAAGGCTATAATGGGCTGTATATTATATAATATACATATAGTCACCGTTAAAACGTACCTAAGGACGAACCCGAGCGAAGTGATGGCGAGTCGCTAGTATTATATAGGCTTATTGTATAGGACATTTCAAATATTTTGAACATGAAGACCAAAACAATTCAACTATTAATATACTCGTAAATGCGAAATTTTTGTATGCGTTTTTTACTCCTTCAGGCTAAAACAGCTGAACAGATTTTAATTTGAATTTAAACACTAGTATAGAGACACCTGAGTGATATAAAGTCATTATTTGAGTATCCTTTTGACAGATTTCGGTCATGATGGCTAATTTCAATAAAGTTAACTATCTACAGGAGATCTCCTATTAGCCTTAATATTCTGACAGTTTTGGGATATGAAACTATGATCTTATAAGGACAATTAATATTCGTCTAACGTAATGACAAGACCAATGACTGTTTCAATGAGATTTCTATCGTACCCTAAGCAATCAATATGTGTATTGATACTGGGTGAAATTTATTAAATTTAATGTTATTAATATGTTTTGTTAAACCATTGACCAATAAAAACATCATACATATAGAATATCAAGGAAAATTGAATTGAGTCAACTGCAAATAGTTATCCATACTAATATTTTAAATATGTAAGTGTGTTTGTTTGTTTGTAGTTGGAGATTGGCTGGAGAGTGACATAGGCTACTTTTTACCACTGGAGATAATCTCACTGCCGCGGGAAAACACGTTATAATATGACCCAAAAAATATTTGTTATCAGAATTACTTGAAACTTGGTATTAATGTTCTTCAAAAAAATTAAATAAATACGTGTTTTAGCATTTTTCGAAATTCATCCCATAAGGGGATAAGATAGGGGATGAAAGATTGTATGAAACCTACCTTTTAGAGTTTTTGTAGTTTTAGCGCGAGCGAAGCTGCGGGTTCTGCTAGTAGATTAATAAATTAAAATATTTAGTTGAAATAAACTTCTCATTTTAATTAATTATTCATATTTAATTTTACAGGCTTTCCTAATGTCGCTGGCACGTATAGTAGTATCCGAACTAGGCACAGTCCTCCGTATCTCATATGTAGTAATATCGGAACTGTTACCAAGATTTCGGGGAGCTTTGGGGCTGAGGACTCGTGGTCTCCATGTGGATCAGACTTCAATGGATTTCTATCAAAGGGTCAGGGATGAGAAATTTGTAAGTCAACATGTACATATAAATACGATAATTATAGAATATTTATTTTAACTAACGCTAGATGCTAATTTGTCCAATATTAAGGAATTTTACTAATTAAAGCTTTCATTACATAACAACGTTTGTTACTATTAGATTTAAATATTTAACAAACGAAGTCCGAAAATGTAGCTGCAGGAGTTTTCCGCATTGTATAGCGTATATTTAAAACAATATATAAAAATAGGTGATAAAAAAACATTCGTACACGAAAATATTTTTTTGCATAACGGAAACTTTTGGAATTAAATTTTTTGTATGATTTTTATGAAAAGGGCAATTAATGATTGTCGTGACTAAATCCCCAGACATTGTGAGTATATTTTCTAAACCGGGTCAACATTGTACTGACCATATGTAGCTTAATTGTAAATTATATATATATGTATGTGACCCTACTGCTATATCCTAACATAAAAATTGAAGAGTATCTCCGTCTAAGCTTCAATATAAATAGCACTAAATGAAATTAATAAAAAGCTGTAATAACAATTTTCAATCATTTATTAGCATTATACAAACAGCTTAAACATGAATTACCATATTTCTAACTTCAAAAATGACGAACTTCCATTACCATAATTTTATCTCCTTTTTAACTCTTTTAGAGGAAAAATTATCAAAACTCTATCTTAGTGTTCAATCATTAATAAATCAATAATAATAACTGATATATATCTCTATATATATATACGGTCCTATAGTAAAAGTTAGGATTTGAAATAAAATTTCATACAAATTAGCCTCTATTAGCTTGTATGTACAAGTATGTATATTTCACAGAATGGTCTCGCCCAAAAGTTTCTATCTCAGCCGCAGCCTCGACTTTGTACATTATTGGACTTACTTTGGACATTTTTAGAAGAAGCAGCGCTCTGTGACGTATTGGAACATTGCGTTGTTAGAGAATGTTTGCTTTATGATTTGGTTTCGCCGGTATGTTATTATTAATATTTTCTTGAGTTCATGTTATTTGTGGTTCAAAAAAACTGTACTTTTAAATAAGCTTGATAGTGGTCGTTTTTTTTTCATGGTTTTATTTTACTACGTTTTTTTTGTTCCGGACGATTCGAATGCTGTACAGCAAACATGATCACGGGAGAGACTAAAGTTTCTGACGTTTCAAATTCAAACTGATTTCAAACGGTCTTTACCCATGAATTATACACTAATAATTTGGAAGAAAAAGAAATGGCGCCGAAGTATCTTCTTATCAGGGTTTCTATATTTTTTGACAATTTGTAAAGTATTCGAAATGTCGAAATAAAAAAGTAAAATAACACCGCATAAAAATCTTAATTTAAAATCTAAGGTTTAGAAAATGTGTTCGAAGTGATAATCACAATATTAAAATGAAAATATCATCATAATCACAGCTTATGTTTAATAGGACATGAACTTCACTCAGCAAATAGAAGTGCTTTATGTGTTATGCGGTTTGATGCAGCATCGAGAGACGAGACACCATCTTGTTAAATACGTATTCTTCAACAAAATAACGTTAGTCATACGTATTTCATTTTACAGATGTAATAATAATTTAATATGATCACAATTGTATGATATAAGGCGTTGTTTGATGTTTGTAAAACTATAAAAACCAGCTTTTGACCTGTATATATATATATGAGCCACAACTTGTACATTTTACTAATAACATTCAAATTACAAAATTCTAAAAAGAAAGAGATGAGTTTCATCATCTCAATTCCTGGCTCGACCATTAAATCACCTCAATGGTATCCTAAATAAAATATTATATTTTAGTATACGATTAGAAAATCTATTTAAAGTAAATATTAGAAGTGAGTCGAATGTGACACATAATTATTATAATAGGTTCGACAATTTCCTAAACATCAAATGTCCAGATGAAAATGTATTGAGGACAGTGATAAGTAAGCCGTGGTGGCAGCGACCTACTTCAGTCCAAGGGGAAACCGATCCTAGGATTGCTGGTAATTGATTAAATATACTGCATAATATTCTACGTTTTGTATGATCGATCTGTCTGTGTATTTATTGGGTTTCATTCGTAGGTGGCAGTGGTAGACCAGTGGTAACGCTCTCGCTTGGGAAACCGAGTGAAGCGGGTTCAAATCCCGGGTCTCGCACCTCTGATATTTTCATGTGCGAATCATTTCTAACATAATTACCACTTGCCTTACGGTGAAGGAAAACATCGTGAGGAAACCTGCATGTCTGAGAGAACTTAGCAAGTTTTCGAAAGACATGTGAAGTCCGCCAACCCGCACTTGGCCAGCGTGGTGGACTATGGCCTGATCCCCCTTGTATTGAAGGGAAGCCCGTGCCCAGCAGTGGGACGTTAAAAAGGGCTGAATACATTCGAAGGTGTCCCTAGATGGATCGTCGCCTTTGCAACTTGATACAAAAATATGGATCATCTATATATATATATATGCCCATTTAGAAACTAAAAAACGCTTTTTTCTTACAACATATTTAAATTTTTACACATGACTTTAGAATCGCAATAACACTGATTGCTAATGCAACGGACTCGGAGATTAGATTTCTCGAAGTTTAGATTTATTTCCCTTGGCCTAGTTTAAATGAAACTTAGTGACGACCACTAATTGTCCTCTTTAATTTAATTAAAATAATATTTAAAATTTTCCCAACATATCACAAGAATATTAAATGTTTTTCAACAAAGTCAAAACCCTTTGCGATTATACTGATATGTTATTCTATTCATAGAAATGGCTGAGAAGGGTACACTAAAGTACTCTACATTCGCACCGACCGGAACTGGTAAAGTTGGAAATTACATCATTGCTAGTTTAAAAATAAAATTTGCTTGTTTACTTATTAGCTTACGAGTATACACAAATAATTCGATTTTAGTTCGTTCGAGTAAATGTAAGTAGGTTTCTTTAGTATTGTAAAGTTCTAAGCTTTCGCGTAATTTTAAGATACACTATCATATATAAATAGTAGGTGATAATAAATAAAAATATATAATTTTTACGGTTAATAACGACACGTTTGGCTCAGTTTGTAGTGACCCTACTTGCTGTGCCATCGGTCGCGGGTTCGAGTCGCGCTGGGGGCATTTATTTGTGTTATGAGCACGAATGTTTGTACTCCAGTTATGGGTTTATATTTATAATCTGTGTATTTAAAGTTATATATGTATAGTGTATGATGATAAACTATACATATATAACTTTAAATACATACTGCCTCGGTGGTGTAGTGGCTGCACGCTCGGAGGTCCTGGGTTCGAGTCCCGGGTCGGGCCAAGTTTAGTTATTGAGTCTTTCTGTATAGTAAGTCTCAGTAACAGCCCGGAGTTGGGAATTGGCGGTGTTTCACCCCCGTGCCTCGGAGAGCACGTAAAGCCATCGGTCCTGCGCCTTAACTCTCACTGGTCGTGTCGAGTAGTTGTCCCACCGGAGTAATGAGAGTAACAGGAATAGAGAGTGCACGTTGTGTCTGCGCGCACACTTGTGCACTATAATATCTCCTGCGCAGTTGGCTAGTCTCAATGAGATTGGCCGCCGTAGCCGGAATCGGCTAGGAGAATATCATAGTGTATCTTCTATCTGGTATCCATAACACAGGCCACGTAGCTTACCATGAAACCAGATAGTGATGAATAATTATATTTCCATGATACTTTCAATATGATAGGGATCTTATATATTCTTTTTTTTTAATCAATAATTTTGTTAATATAAACAAATCGTAGATAAAATATCAAAAATTTTGTCGTCTACTCATGCTGATGATGCGTCTATAGAAGCTCAGTACAAAGAGGATTGCAATAAAATTACAAAAGCTATTGCACCCTTGGAACGTATTCAGGTACCTACCTGCTTATTTTTATTTTATGCTGTAAATCTGTAAGTACATAAAATGCTGGAGTAGTTGTTTTTTTTATCAGCAGTAATTTTAAGGTTATATTCCTGCCAGTCTATTACAAGTAAGGGACTGCTCTCACGCTTCACTGATTACTCTACTACTTCAAAAAAACTAGGAGAAATGTTCTTGGTACATCATCCCTCCAATAGTTAAAAGATTTGAGGGAAGTAAAGTTGAAACGATTGTAGTAAATATAACGTCTTTGTACACAGTTGGAGTTTCTCTTCATGCTGTTGGATAACTCGGACGGTACGAACATCGTGCCGTCAACTAGGAAGATATTCTTAGAAAAGTTTAGAAGATACATAATGGATAACTGTATATTGGATATGGTATGTTTAATTTAAAATATTATATTACTAGATATAAATCAACTAGTATTCATACACTGTATATCTATATGAATAAAAATAAATTTATTAATTTTGAAAAACTTCTCCAATATTGAGCTCATAAATAGTAAAGTACCTATTATAACAAAGCCCAAACAAATGTTCAAAACCTTTTTCTCTATCTGCTTATCTATTTGTACCAGTTAATCTCCAGAACGACTAAATTCCGACAACGGATGAAAGATTCAAGCGACAAAAATTACTCTTAATAACTGGGTATAAAGGGTTTTTGTGGGATATTTTAGGCACGCGTTATAGTCAGGACGATTTAAAGCGAATGCGGGCAATATAATTTTTGAAGTTCGCGCAATGTTTTGTTTTATTTAACTATCCATTAGTAGGTTCTGATTTACAGAGGATCAAAGAAAGAACTAACTAATTAGACAACTTTGTACAGTTTATTGTTTTCATTAATGTTACTAGTTTGTGTTCTAAATCGACCTCTACTCGCGCTGTGAAATCCGGATAATGGTCAGGAATTTTTAACATTGGCAAATTCCAACAGAATGTCTGGATTTCAATATATAATTACAAATCTAAAATTAATACAGTTATAACTCGTGAATTAGTAATTTATGTTATAAAAAAATGTGTTTTTGCATAAGTTGTTGAAAATATTATGTTGTATGTATTGTTATAATATTATTTTTGTGGCTGAAAGAAAGATATTTTCGAAAAACTTATTTTCGATACCATTATTCCAATATGGCGCAAATACGAAATATTAATTTCGAACACAGAACTGTTAAAACTCTCAAATTAGAAACCTTGACCGTTCCTTGAGAAAGTCCGTTTTTATTTAGATGCTTTTGTTATTTTTGGGTATATTTTAAAATAAATTACGATTACACAATAAATTTTGTATTGACGTTGTCAAATTTTTTCTTAAAATAATTATTTTCGATACCATTATTCCAATATGGCGCAAATACGAAATATTAATTTCGAACACAGAACTGTTAAAACTCTCAAATTAGAAACCTTGACCGTTCCTTGAGAAAGTCCGTTTTTATTTAGATGCTTTTGTTACTGTTACTGGACTATATAAAATATTTGCAGAGGTTATTCAATATATCCAGAAACTCGCCAGTAATAGCTTGGTGTTGCCACGCACGACTGTTAACAGCCGTACTAAAGCTATGGAACGAAAGCCCTTTAACCGGTACTGCGTAAGTTGAAATTTCACATAATAATAAGGATTTCATAAGAAAAAAGAAATAATAGATACATATTTATATCGACTTTATAACCAAATTAATGTAGTTTTTCTATAAAAATTACTTCTTCGTTAATTTTGTGTTTTTTACTTTCTAAAGTGTAACTTCATATTAAAAATTATTTACATTTATCCTTTTAGAACAAAGGTTTCAAAATTATGTCGATAGTTCTAGAGATTACCGTTTGCAAATATAAATAAGCTAGCATTTTCTCACAGTTCGGCTGACATTGTTGATACTCGCCATTTATGTCGCAGCCAACTTAATCAACCGTTTGATTAGCGGCCTAGCTTTTTAACACGTTCCGGGACACTTAAATTTTTTTTAGTCTCACGATATGACATTCAAAATTTCCATACATTCGAACATATCGTCCATTGCCGTATTGCCAATTTACATTATTTTTTGGTTTTGCGATAAGACAATTACGGTCATAGACGTTAACGCCTATAGGCGGACCGTCATATTATGAATAGTTATGTACAATGTACTATGACAGTTCGGCTAGGGACGGTGCCGCCAAAAGACGATGTGTCATATCATATAGATCTGAAAAGGTGTATTAGTGTGTAAACTTCTAAAAAAACCTACAAATTTAATACTTATAAGTTTATTGATCACAGTATGTTTTTCTAAATTCTTAAACAATATGTACCTTAAATTCTTGTTTAGTCTTATCAACCGACTTCAAAAAGGAGGAGGTTCTCAATTCGACTGTATGTTTTTTTTTTTTTTTTTTTTTTTATGTTTTTTACCTCAGAACTCCGTCATTTATTAACCGATTTGGACAATTTTTGTTTTGTTTGAAAGGGTGTACTTCCAGATTGGTCCCATTTAAATTTCAAAAAAAAATACCACCCCTAAGGGTGGAAAAACAACTAATGATGAATTTAACGTACTTCTAATTGTCATATTGACTTGAAACTTTGCAAGTATTTCTATTTCCGTTGATAGTACAGTGGTTCGGTGTTGTTGACCTGATCTGATGGCAAGGCCAGAAGGTGGATAGGTGGAACTCTTCAACGGCTAATAGTAGATACTTTGAGTTTGGGCTTATTTTGTTTGATTTGACAAGCCTAACACGTTAGAATCCTTACATTACTACTACTGTCTACACTAAAAAGGGAAAAATAAAAACTTTTTAACAAAAAAATAAAACCGACTTCAAACAAAAGCACTAAAAAGTAACAAATAACTGATTGGTAGTTTTCATTTACTATACATACCTAATCAAATATTTTCGAAGTCGGTGTGCTTAGCTTTGTATGGGCTGGCACCGATTTCGAAAATATTTGATTAGGTGTATGTATTTAATAGGTAGGCTTTAATTACTTAGCCAAAGCACACCGACTTCAAAAATATTTGATTAGGTATGTATAGTAAATGAAAACTACCAATCAGTTATTTGTTACTTTTTAGTGCTTTTGTTTGAAGTCGGTTTTTATTTTTTTGTTAAAAAGTTTTTATTTAGTATAAAGTAAAGAAAAATATTTGAAAACAGGAGAAACTATTTGTGTGTGTTAGAACTAAGAGTTGAGTGCCATTTTTCGAAACATTATATGTATATCATCAAGTTTCGTAAGACTTCTTATCAACCTGTCTCTGTTCTCTACATATCCGTATTTCTTGTCACTATTCTTTATTCATTTTTTGAATAAAAAGAAAGAGTTCCACGACGCAACATCTAACATGTGAAAGAGTACTTTTTTGTACCATCTTATTCTTTTTCTCGGACACGAATAGTAAGAGATCATTTGATCGGCACGATCAATTCGTGGAGATGTAGAGGAGAGATTTGGGTATATCTGTTCGGTTCGATGGTGAAGATAAGATGATTCATAGGCATGGGAATGTAGGCGAGGTTCGTGAGAGCCCATTACATCCTCTTCTTCACGGTATACTATCACAGCTTGGTCATCGCAAGACTTTTCACCTATTTCCTCTTCTGTTACCGGGTTGTCATCATTCAAACTAGAATCATCCAACCGGCTTGGACGACATCTGCAAAATATAATACGTAAATACTTATAATACAAACAGTTAGTAGGTAGCTAAAATAGCAGGTAAATATCATTCGAATAAAGTCTTTTATTGTTACTTGTATAACATATTTCTATCCCTACCTAAATAAAACAACACTATAGGACAACACAACACATTTTCCATCAGATTTATATCATATTATAGTATAAAAAAACTTTATTTACCTTGCATTTGTTGACAAAAATCACTAAACACATACAACATAGCAAAAATTAACTGTCAGTGCGCGCGCTGTGACACTGAATTCCGAAATCACTGTACTTGTATGACTGAGTTTACGCCTCTCGACGGTGTACCTGTATTTGTTGGGTGTGAAACCACTGCGTATATGCGTGTGGAAAAAGTACTCGAATAGAGTTTACCGTGACAGCTATCACCGAACGGAGGCATGTGATATGACACTAGATCACGTGCTTCCTAGTAATGATAGGGATAACCAACGGCCATCGACGCTTTGTCAGATATAATAAAATAAAAGTAGCCGCCCATAGCCGTACTGTCACATAACACGATGCCAATTTAACGTCGAGAGGCGGTCTGTCCCGGAAAGTGTTAATTAAACGGCGCCGTTATATAAAAGGCCGATATGATATCCAGCCAATTCGTCTAATACAACATTTAATGAACAGGCTGGTAGAGGCTTAGGCCAGTCTTAGAATAAGTTAATCGTATGACGAAAATATATGAAATATTTAATATCGAAAATTCCTTACGTAAAATAATTAAATGAACATTGTCATTCAACTGAGGGAAGTACCGTCTCATTTTTTATTTGTCAAACAATTAATTAGGAAAGTGTAAATAAATATAGAGCCTCTCTTATTACGATCACGTGAAACGTACCACGTTAGTCCATTTAGATATTTGTTCAGAATATATCTGTAGCAGAAACAATAGATTTATGCTAGTTATAATTTATATGTTTTTGTTTGGAAATATACTATTTATTATATTGTTTGTGCTAATATTCTGAAAACGTGTGCTGTTCTTTCTAATTTAATAAATACAAAAGTGTATTTATACGTATTATCTCTGTCTGGTTGTCTGCCAGCGAGTGTATAATACCAGTTTTTGGTTAAAGATTCGGTTTGAAAAATAAATATAATCGGCACTAAATTGTACATTATTTGATGTCTTATCTGATATTAAGTTACTGATATTTTCTACTGATTTTATAAATACTAAAGTTTGCGATGTATGAATGTATGTTTTACGCTTTCACGTAAAAGCTACTGAACGGATTGTGATGAATTTTTACACTATCCCCTTTTTGAAAACAAAGTAAGGCTTCACTTAGCCTCGCACCTCTGAGCTTTTCAATGTCATATACGAACATTATTTCGAACGTATTTGCCACTTGTTAATACGGTAAATATATGTTGGGACATTAACACACAGCACCATCTTGTTATATGGTAAGCTGTGAGGCTTGTGTTATGGATACCAGATAGTTGATACACTACACATGTATAAATTTAAATAGTTACATGTAATAAATATAAACTTCCATAACTGGAATACATTCGTGCTCATCACACAAATGAATGCTCCCAGCGGGACTCGAACCCGCGACCGCTGGCACAGCAAGTAGGGTTACTATAAACTGACCCAAACGTGTCGTCAAGGTAAAGGAAATCATCCTCAGGAGTCCTCAGAGGTCCTCCATATCTGAAGATATTTAATTAGTATTCAAAAGACGTGTCAAGTTCTTGGTAGACTTTGCATCCGCATTAAGCCAGTATGGTGCACTTTGACATAATGTCACGTATTTAGGCCTATACCCAGTAGAAGACTGGACCATTATTATAATCTGTACAACATATTTCAGTCATATGCCTCCACATATACCGGCAAGAACATTTATAGATGGTGAACTCGATTTTTACAATGTAGATCGTCTTGGCGGAGTTTTACCTTTCTTAGTTCGGACATTACGGTTAGTAGACTGCTTCTAATGATATATGTACCCTGTCAATTTTTTTTCAGATAAGGATTTTACATTATCTTGTACTTTTTAACTAGCTAATTTTTATTTGTGTCTGCCTACTTACTATGTTTGAAATAGTGGGTTCAATATCTACTTTGGGAAATTTTATACTTATCATACATCTAGTTAAGATAAAATCAGGGATATGAACCCAGTTATTTTAAAGCATTGTTCTCGTTTGGACGAAAATTTTAAAAAATATGTAAAATTAAAAACAGATACACGTATGTGTTTGGAATAAAATAGGATACTCCAACGAAAGTTATAATTAGGTACTCCAACTTTTTAAATTACTTAATTAACATTTTAATCAGTAAATCTGTAAAACACAGGCAAGACTTAATCAACGTTCTTGGAGAAGACAACCCTTTTATACAAAGTTTTGAGCCTAACTACAATAGAGGCGGTGGAATCGACACTGGTATTTTAATTTATTAACTTTTGGAAAGTTAGACTTCTAAGTCATATAACTTCTAATGTTAATTATAATTAATATCTATACTAATACTTTCTTAGATTTACGCGAATATTTGACATTTTAAACAAAACTACCTTTTCGGATTTTTTCGAGGATTTACTTGGGGACCCAAAAATCCAAATAAATCCGCGAAAAAATCCGAAAATATAGTTTTATTTAAAATCTATACTAATACTACAAAGATCTAGGTCTATGGGGCCATTCAAGTATTACGTAAGCAGAATTTTAGTAATTATTAATCCCTTCACTACCCCTTGTCAGCAAAAGTAAGCAAAGCTGTTATTCTCCCCTCCTATGTTTACGTAAACATTGGTACATATATTTATTAATCTGTTCAGGTTTTTTATTGTTATTCATCATCATCATTCATAGGCTATAGGGGAATTTAATGTAAATTTATTATATGTTGATTGGACGTATTAAAATTACTTAATTTTACATAAAAAAAACTAAATAAATAAATATTTCTGACGTAATCACTATCCAGAACCCGCCCCCCTTCCCCCGTCCCCCATGTCATCAAAAATAAGCAAAGCAAAAAAGCCCCAACCCTTACGTAATATTTGAAAGGTCCCTATATATTAATAGGGCAAAATAATTGGAATATTAAAATCCACTCAACCGATAAAAGTTTCGCTATTTAGAATTAGAACTGTTGTCTCTACCACAATGAAGTAATATTAATATCCATTCAATCGTTCTTTAATGAATGATTGTAAAAAATATTCATTTACCTTTTAATTTGTTTCAAATATATATATATTTTTTTTCAAATACTTAATGTATTATTTGTTAAATTATGTTTGTATCGCAGTTACATTACACAATGAATAGGATAATTTTGCCTGTAATCTTGATAGCGCTAGTATAAATATAAACCTATGGTAGTATAAATATAAACTAATGGTCTCCTAGATGTCACATATTTAAGAAGTTTCAAATTGATACAACAATTAGAAGTAGTTTTACTTAAAATATTTGAAAAGAAAGTCATAAATAAAAAAGGTAATTTTTTTTTAAGTTAAACGATTTTATTGAAAAGAAAGATAATAAAGATGTAGATAATGTACTAAAAGCTAAAAAATAATTAGGTAGGTCCTAGGTGCCAGTCATCACACCACTCTTCGCATCAATCTAGGGAATTGATCAGATTTAAAACCTGAGTAGATATGTAACATCAATATTATCTTTCTTTTCAATAAAACCTATTTATAGGTTTATTAAAAAAAAACTATTTTATTTTCCAGTTTTAATTATTTTTTATTTTAAACTGTCTCAACGTTTTGATCCGCCATGCACTGGGTTTCTACTTGTAAAGCCCTCATTCGATACCCATATCGAGGGGGTTGTGGAAAAATATGTAATCCGCCATTTTGTGGCGGCGGCCATCTTAGATTTACAATAAAACTGAATGTATTTAATTGTATTTTCATCAGAACTAAAGGAGTGTAACAAATGTAAGATCAATCTATCAACATAAAAGGGGTAAAACTTCAATGACACCCAAACAAACAGGGAAGCTAATTAAAACTGATTAATAAAATATAAATAGATATGTATATGATGGTAAAGATTAATTTTAAAATATATTTATTTAAATCTTTTAGTAAAAATAATTTTAAATCTTTTAATAATTAGGGGTGAGTGACATGGCCGGGGGTTCCCCCGGGCTGGCCACGTTGCCTCAAGTCATATCGTCCATGGCGAGGTTCATGCACCCACCTATGCCCCTCATGCCTAACAGGTGTAGAAATATAGTTCTATTTTTTCCATACTATCGTTTAGATGTAAGAAAAACGTTTAAACTTTAATGATAGATATACCCAAAAAAAGTAATACCTATGTATTTTGGTCACCTCTCTATTAAATAGTATTTATTCGAAATATTTTTTATGGGCTAAAACTGTAACTTAATTAGTAAGTATATACATATTTTATTTCGCGACAATGACAGAAACGACTAAGCCGAATCTGTACACTTAATATTTTTTAGAAGATCTTATTAAAATAAAGATTATTATCGATGTAGAGGCCGAATCCATAGTTTGTGAATTTTTGTCTATCTGTCTGTCTGTCTGTTACCGCATCACAGAAAAATCACTGGAGGGATTTTGATGAAATTTGGTATGATGATAGCTGGTTATCCGGGTCAACATATAGGATACTTTTTACCGCGGGAAAAAATTACAATAAGAGTATACTAATATGTAAAACCTAAGAATTTGCTTTTTGGTCATCTGAACGCGGCGGAGCAGCGGGCAGTGCTAGTCGTAAATATAATGATAAAATCTTATTAATACTACTTTGTAAAATGTGAAATCAAATGTTATTGACTTATCATACGATAGAGATTTACTTTTGATTAAATGGACTGCTCCTCCATGATATATTCAAAAATGCTATAAAATAAGTAAAGAAAACGATCAATATAAGTATATTTGTTAATAAAATTAGCACTAGTTTTTGCTGTGGCTCGGTACGCGTATTAACGCTCGTGGTGGTCACGTTGATATATAAGCTGTCCACATTCCAAATTTCATTGAAATCCGTTGAAGAAGTACCTAACAACACACTATAATAAACATGATCATAATAAAAACATGATTTTTCTATTATTTTTAGTACTTATATTTCTATCATTGGTCTAGTATGAACTACAGAACGGCAGGTGAAACAGCGCTCGCGCTCAAAGGCACCAGGTCCATGATGCCGGGGGCCGGCTCCATTGACAGTAGAACCGCGTATTTGAGACTTGTCGATGGTTTACTCGCGCTTTATCATGGAACTGCTATAAAATTTTCTGAAAAGGTTAATACTTTTAAGTGTTAAAGATTAATTATAATATTTTTTCTTTCTAAAAGGTAAGTATACCGAATTCAGCCCGCCGCCTCGCACATGGCTAGCGTGGTGGGCTATGACCTGATTTTCCTCACATTGGGGAGAGGCCCATTCCCAACAATGGAGCTTTAAAAGGACTGAGTTATTATTATTTAATTAGGGTAGATTTGTTATTTGAATGTAGGTATTCTGGAAATACCCTTAATTTTAAAATTAATGCTAATTTCAGCTTTGTGAGCTTCGGGATAATCAGCTGGATATGGCAGACTGTCTCTATGATATAGAACAGCGGATATTTACTGTGTCGAGTGAACTACATGCTTTTGGAGGTAATCATATTATACTAATAATAATAATGCAAAAATTTGTAAACTGTTAAACGGGTTTTAGTAACATTCGAAATAGAAATTTATCCTGCTTATGCCATGAAACCTCTTGCCTCGCAAGAGGTGTCACGAATAAAAATTACTTAAGAACTCAGCAGATGTTTTAAATAAATATGTAATACTAGCTAAATATGTAACTCACCCTCGCTCTGGGCAGTACAATTCACAGCCGTAGATGCGAGCCGCTAAGTCTAGTATCATACAAAGTATACTAAAAAGACTCAAAGCGGAAAACCTCTTTCTTACTTTAACTGCACATGGACGAACATTTTGTCTCGCGTGTACAGACCATTAAATATTCAGTAGGTACCAACGGTGAGCTCACTGAGCAAGACAAAAGAAAACGAAAACTTACCGAAAACATGTTGAAAGAGCTGGAAAGATCTAAAAGTGTTTACGAGGTGACTATGACCTACTATTTTATTTTAATATGTTGGGACACAAATATGTTCTTGGAGCATTAACACACCGCACCATCTAGTACCATGGTAAGCTACGAGGCCTGTATTATGGATACCAGATAGTTCGTATACTACACATATATAACTTTAAATACATACATATTATAAATAGAAACACCCATGACCGGAGTACTAACATTCGTGCTCATCACACAAATAAATCCCAGCGGGACTTGAACCCACGACCGCTGACACAGCAAGTAGGGTCACTACAAACTGAGCCAAATGTACCCATATATTTGATTTTACTGTTAGGACGTTTGTACTAACATTAAGCCTTTTGTAAAGTAATTTGTATATTTTAAATTATCATAAAGCGTTATCGTTATTTTGCCGTAATTACCGTACCGTAAATATACAGTAATTAGTAATTTCATACGGAAGGTAAAATAATTTAGTCTTTAACCTGAAAAGCGAAAATTCTGCTAAAATACAATAATTCGTCGTAGCTTTGATTTTCATTTAACTAACAGAAATAACTTTACTAATTGTAGGGGCTATCTCCTTTCATCATTCGCTATTTCTCACAATATAAACTCGAGTCTTGTGTGGGAGTCGATCTCTCGAACCTATTAAATAACCTAAAGTATTAATTTAGTATTATTTAAAGTAGAAGAAAATACAACACTTAAAACTTTATACCTAACAAAGAATACAGAAAAAATCGATTAACAACAAAAAACATACACACAAATTGCGTAACTCTTTTTTTGAAATCGATCGGTGAAATGATATAGGAAAAGTTACAAGCGAGCTCGCTACAAATGGCGTGGGTGATTGGCGCCAGGTGGACGCCGCAGAGACAAAACGAACTTGCCAAGCATTTTGCAGGAACACTCCACTCTCTACGTGTCGCCTCAGATCTAGACTACGCTGTGCATGTTCATGTAAGTTTTCAATACTAATGCTATAGAGCAAAGGTTATTTATTTACTAGCTGTTCACCCTCGCTACGCTCGGGTTCCTTTCTAGGTACCTACGTTTAACATAATTGTTTTGGGTTGTATTATAACGTAGTTTCACACAACCCTGTCACTCTGTTTCAATGTGAAACAAGGACAAACAAACAAACAAACAAACAAACACACACACAACAAGTATTGTGCATCACAGTAATGAAATAAATATAGTAAACAAAGTATTTAAAAACAAAAGTGTGCACAAAAGGCGGTCTTATCGTTAATTAGTGATTTCTTCCAGGCAACCTTTAGGTTCGGATATATGGAAGACTATACAAAAGGAATACATTTTGGGTTATAAAATTTCTAGTACGTAAAGGGTAATCTCTGAAACTACTGATTCGATTATGAATTTTTTTCACTAATAGGAAGCTACAAGATCGCCAAGTGCTACAGGTTATATTTTATTCCGATAAAAATGGCTTTACTATTAGAAAACGTAATAAATTAGACGAAATGTGGTCGTTGAGTTGCTTTATTGGCATGCGCTGCCTAAACGGTTTGAATTGAACCATAAAATATATGATAAAAACCCCCTAAAGAAATGAGTGAGGCGAGGGTAAGTTGTTATTGTATTATATAGGGAATAATACTTATCCATACTACGTACATATTCGATAGATAAGTTATCGAAAAATTACGAAACTGATTATTTTTGGTCCAAAAGCTCAATGTGATTTTACATGCCTGAATTAATGCTATGTATCAACTGTGCTAAACGCTTATACGCTAGTATTGGCATCTATAACATGTGGTAATGACAAATCTGAAGTTATAGAATTGAAAAGAGGTCATATAGCAAAGGAATTCAATTTACTTACATAAATATGTTCTTTTAAAGTTTATTTTACATTTAGGCTGCTAGTAAAGAGATATTACCAGGAAAAAGTTCAATACTTGGCGGTCAAAGCTACGTGTCGCTTCAATTGGAATACACTTCTAGTTCGGATCAAAGGTGAGACATAAAATTAAATAATTAAAATAGAAGTATTAAATTTTATATTTTTTCCTACATTTTTTTTAAAGCTCTATCACCTATATAATTTTTTTCTCAAACTACTGGTATTTTACAAAGCGATGTCCTCATCACATAAGCGAGGCGCCATGGGATCGCTTTTACTTACTGCCTTGACGCATCTAATAATACCAAGATAGGTAATAAAAACCTAATGGAAAATATGAATCACACCTATGAACGGTAATTGAACTCGTGACCTCTAGCTAAGCAAATACGCTACGAAATGGTACACCTATTCGATTTTACAGCATGTATTTTTTATTTTTATCTTAATTGTATGTATGTAGATAATATGTAAATCGTCGTATAAAACAACTCATTGACTAAATTTTATGATAACAAAATCAAAAAAAATTCCGCAACATTTCCCGCCGTCGCTTAATGTCAAGTGTCAACAAATGCGTATTTTTTTGTGGCTGGAAGCTGTGTAAATATGAGGAAGATTCGATTTAAATAATAAATTATTAATGTACCAAGCTTCCACATCCAAAGATATTATTAGCGAAAAATCGTGTGTATTTTCATTTCTTCATATTATTTTCGAAGAAAGACGGGATTATAGTTTGTCTAATCTAAAAGAATGTGCGTTTGACAATTTCCATTATTTACGGTGGAATAACATTGTTCAAATGTGCGATAAATTATATGATACTAAAGACCAACGAGCTTAATTCCATATTACATATGTATATTTACAGCAAACAAAAACATACGTACATTTTTAGTGTTCTGTAATTTCAAATGCGCATTAAAATATTTCTTGAATACTAGGTATCTTGCCCTAGCTCCGTTCGCGTACGTCCCTAAATACCTCAAGTTAGCTTATGTGTACTAAATTTCATCAAAATCCCAGCCCTTTACAGAATGTATATTGTAAATTACTTAATAGGATAATAAATACTAGACACGCGTAAGTTTAAACGCGTTTTGGGGTATGAATGTATGTATGTATGATAATGTTAACCGCAAAACTACTAAACAGATTTTGATGGAACCCTGCAGTGACATACCTTATACGAGTATATCCGAGTAATATATATGTATGTATGTACGTAATACATTATTGTACTAAGCGAGCGAAAACGCAGAACAAGCGTTTATAGTAATAGTCCGATTCAGTAGAATGATGATGATGATGTCCTGTTGACCGGTTTCAGCCACGGCGGTCAATCTTACTATATATATATATATATATATATATATATGTTATAGTGTACAAGTGTACGCGCAGACTCAAGTGCACTATCTATTCCCTTCAATCTCAATTTCCGATGAGTTTTACGTACTCCCCGAGGCACAGGGGTGAAACACAGTCACCTTCCTAACTCCGGGTTATATTTGGGACTTTTTTAACTGGAATACTGAACAACAATAATTTGCCCGACCCAGGACTTAAACCCATGATCTCTGGATGTGCAGCTGTACATGCTAGCCGCTACACCACCTACAGTTGAGTGGAATATAGATAAAACAAAGTTCTTATTATTCATAGCCCTCAAACCCCCACGTCGCGGGCGGCGACGCCCTGCGCTCTCTCCAATACACAAGTTGGCATTAACAGTAAGTATTGTGGCCTTCAACCAAACTTAAATAAAGATTCTCTGAGATTTACTTCTATAGTAATATGAAAAGTGAAAACCTCAAAGATTTATGAGTAATGACTTAGAAAAGTTTACAATACAATTTTATCCCTATTAATGTATGCACAAGTGTAAAACAAAAATCTTGGGTTTCTTGGTTTGCCTCTTTATGAATGAACGATGAATATGAATTCCAGCGGGACTCGAACCCGTGACCGCTGATACAGCAAGTAACCCTACTTATAAACTAGCCAAACGTGTCGTCAAGTAATAAAGAATTCAAATGTTACCCAACCAATGTGCAAATTAGTAATAAACTTTAGTCAAGTAAATCACTTAATTATAGTAATGTTAATGAAATAGTACCATATAAAGGAAAACAAATATTTTTTGATACTCATCGCCAAATTCCATACAGTTGTCAACAGACCAGAATTTGCAGAGTCACTATTTGCTTTTGTACCAGAATACCACGTGGATGCTATGTTAGAACTATGCAATACTTTAAGATTGTATATGCATCCAACAGTACCTGTTCAGCAAATACCAGGTAGGATTTCCATATTTAATTTTCTTATTTCTTCTTTTTACCTACACAGGTTGTGAGTGAAATGGGTCTCTCTGGGTCAAAGTAGGAATTTATAGTCTGCATCTACATGATTGGCCCAGTTTTAAGATGGATCTGTTTTGTTCAGATAGCCTTTTAAAGGCATCAACGAGTGCTGATTCGATGATAACCAGTGCGATATGAATCATCACTCGATTAGCTTTCCAAAATATGGAGAACAGAGTAATTTATTACTGTAGCATTGTCAGAATTTATTTTCTTAAAGCTAATTTTAATAGTTTATATTCGATATCTATGGTACGTCTCGTACTAGTGAAATACAGGTACCAAATGAGTATACAATAAAAACTTATTAATATTCTTCTAAACATGGAAGATTAACACGTTGCTGAATTGTTTGAATGTGTGTATATATATTATCTTTGACAAATGAAAATTAATTTTAATATTTTTTAATACTCAATACTCGAATCCATTCTAGAATAAATTATTCAGTTTTTAACCTGTTTAATAACATTTTTATTAATTTTAATATTTATTTCATTATGTCACTTATTATCTCAATTTCATTTCAGATTGGGACGAACTAGTAGTGTCTTGCGCGTCCTTTCTTTGCGCGGAGTTCGCGGACCCTCGAATTGTGCTGGCCAGTACTAGAGAGTCCCTTGTGCAGACTCTAGCTTCGTTCGCCACTCAACCAGCCACTATGAGGGCTATTGAACGAGTGCCATTAAAACAGTATGTATAAAATATAATAATCTGACTGTGTAGTGACAATCTGATTGTTCAGATTTTAGCACACAAATGCCATACACATAGCCTAGATTCTAGGTCCTAGAGCAACACTAAACTACTATTAGGCACCTCGAGGAGCACTCAAGCGAAGGATAAGTCAATATAAATTTATATGTATAATGTATGTACATTGTACCATCCATACTAATAATATTAGAAATGTGAAAGTGTTTTGTGTTTTGTTTGTTTGTCTGTCCTTCTTTCACGTCGAAACGGAGTGACGGATTAGCGTCATTTTCTCTGTGGAGATAAAGGACTGGAGAGTGACATAGGCTACTTTTTACCACGGGAGATTACCTAATTCCTACAGGAAAACAGGTTATAATACAATCTAAAGAAATATTTATGATCACAATTACCTATTTGAAACTTGGTATTAATGTTCTTTAATAAAATGAAATAAATACGTGTTTTAGAATTTTTCCTTAATTCATCCTATAAGGGGGTAAAATAGGGGACGAGAGTTTGTATGAAACTACCTTTTAAGAGATTTTTTGTAGTTTTAGCGCGAGCGAAGACGCGGATTCTGCTAGTATTATATAATTGGACAATAATATAATTCATTATTTTAGTAAAACGGAAGTGGCGGCTTCGTATTCTGCTCATATTGGATACTTGTATTAAATACAGATTTTTCTGGGTTTGGTTAAGAAAGAGCTGGCAATATCGCTAAAGTACAGTATTTAATAGTAGGGGAGCCCAAGAGAATATGTTTATTGTTTGGATTTACTCAAGCGGCAGATTAACTGCACTCTGTTTTGCACATCCACCAAATATAAGTCCTCTATATAAGACCGCGCGTCTAGGGCAGCCAATATTAAAAATAATATTTTGATAACTTAGAAATACTTGAAATCGTCAGATTAAGGTATGGTGGGCTAATTTCATCGTGAAAAGTGTGTGTGTCTATAAAGTTTATGTACGATTTTTGCCTTTTCGGCTTGTGGAAATCAGCAGATTATTGAATTGCAAACGAAACATTGTCGAACAAACCTATCCCAGGTTTGTTTTTGTTTTCCTATAGTTAGCGAGGGTGAGCCGCTAGTTAGTTATATCTAATATATGCGTGGTGTGTTTTCATTCCTATTAAATAAATATTAAGTTCAGATACGAATAAAAGCTTACTCTACATATATTATTCAAATATTATATATTCAAACTCCAGTTCGAATTTCTAATTGTGTATGAACTAGAGTGTGTTTCATTTCGTATCATTCCTTCTCTCGACATATTCAGCGAACCCATTTACCAAATAAAGTAAACAGATGCAAACAACAAACATGCATTGGACTTATTTACACAAGTAGATGAAAAGCAAATATGTATGTATATATATATTCGTAATATGAAGCGTTTTAATACATCTTCTACTATCTTGTAAAATAATGTGGAATCTGTATTTTATTATATATACTTTAGGGTGTGCCAAAAAACGACGATATTTTTTTTTCTTCGCTCTCACACCAAAATATCTCAGAAAATGTCCCAACAAAGCTCCTGTTAAAAGCAGAGCTCAAAATTCCAATTTTAAGAGGTTCTCCATCGAATTTTAAGTTTTCCTATATAAATAACATATAAAACATGGTTTTTAATACTTTTTTGTCCTGCAAACTGTGACAAAATTATTTTTTAAGAAAATGAATTAATGGACCTTTATTAGTATTTAATTTACTATAAAAAGTTCCATTGAGTCGAATTTCTATCAGCCTATGTCACTCTCCAGCTCTCCAACTGTCTCCACACAAACAAATCACGCCAATCCGTAACTTTGTTTCGATGTGAAAGAAGGACAAACAAACAAACAAACAAACAAACAAACAAACAAACAAACACACTTTCACATTAATAATATTAGTATGGATTAGCATAGGTACATAGATAGAATCAATTTGCAAATAAACTAAAAAGAAATTAATATTGTTGTTTTCGCTTCTACCTAATGCTCAGTAAAGCTAAGGTTAGATGATGTCCAATTCATAAAGCGCAAAGTCCTAGCAAAGTTGTGCAAATTTCCATTTCTGTACATCAATCATAACGTCAGTCAGTTCAGTCTTCGACCTTTCTTTCTTTGATTAGGATACGATTTTGTTTATTAAAGAAGCTCAGTTCTCACGAACAGATAAATTTCAAAGCTCTTTGAAGTAATATAAAAAGGGCACCACTATGAATAATGTGAACAGTAATATATTAAATGTGAAAGCTTGTGAGTGAGCGTGTTTGTGACTTCTTCACGTTGTAATGTGAACTAATTAGCTAACTCTTGCACGATTTTTTAAAATATATAATACTAGCTACTTACCCTCTCTTCGCTCGGGTGCGTCCCTAGGTACCCGGCTTTTGTTAACAATTTAATTGGTTTTAATTTAGTGGGTAGCCTAAGTTACTCCTTATAGTGTCAGCTATCTGCCAGTGAAAGTCCTGTCAAAATCGGTCCAGCCATTTCGGAGATTAGCCGGAACAAACAGACAGACCTTTTGAGATTTTTTTCTTACTAGTACCCTATATACTTAGAGAAATTTGGTAAGAAGATAGTTTGAGACCCTAGAAAGGACATTTTATTCCGGAAATCCGGAAATCATTCCTAACGGGGTAAAAAGGAGATAAAGGTTTGTATAGGGAATCAATCTATATTTTATTTGTCATTACACATGTTCGTAATAAGTTATATACATATTTAATAATAGGTATATACTTATTACGAACAATTTAAATGTATGTATGCATTCAGCCCTTTTTTTTAACGTCCCACTGCTGAGCACGGGCCTCCCTTCAATACAAGGGGGATCAGGCCATAGTCCACCACGCTGGCGGGTTCGCGGACTTCGCATGTCTTTCGAAAACTTGCTATATTCTCTCAGACATGCAGGTTTCCTCACGATGTTCCTTCACCGTAAGGCAAGTGATAATCATATTAGAAACGATTCGCACATGAAAATATCAGAGGTGCGAGACCCGGGATTTGAACCCGCTTCACTCGGTTTCCCAAGCGAGCGCGTTACCACTGAGCTACCACTGCCTTGTAACAATTTAAATACTTTGCGCAAAAATGTATATTTTTAAATATTACGTAGTATTCACACACATAGTACATATTTCTAATAAACAATCAAAGTGTCAACACTTAAGTTGCCTCAAACTCTGTTCATTAAAATTAACAACTCAAATGTAAACACAAATTGTTCATTTTAACAGCAACATTTAATGTAAAGCACAAACTCAGTACAAAGTTTTATTTAATTAAGCTTTTGTAAACACTTTGAAATCAGTCAATAATGTCAGTTTAGTGAGGCTCGCTTCGCTGCTTATACAAAGGGACTCTAAGAGCTCTACAGAATATTCTAATATAAATTAGAAACTGTGTCTGCATGATATTATTATACGCAATTCTAAAGTGATAATACGTACAATATTTATTAGAGTTTAATCATTAAGAATCATTTTCATGTAAGGCCCCCTGGTATGGAGATTTTTTCTGCGCACCTTTCACTTTGAAACGTCACAGTGATTAATAATGACGAGTTTATTGATGTAATTAATATTAAAGTAATATTAATAGTTTAGTAAAACAACCTTCCTAACAAAATTTTGTTTCAGAATAGATTTTAAAACTTTACAAAGTTTTAATTCAGAAAATACGCATAATAATAAAGTTCTTTTAGATTAATTATAATCGTAAATGCGTAAAAAAAATTGTAATTATGCTATTATTTTTTTATTATATCTGCTAATACTAAAAAGATTAATTAATTAATTATAAAATATATTTTAACATTAATTTTGTGTATTCGTAGACAAATGTGCATGGTAGAAGAATTGGTGCGTCCATACCAGAACCGAGCGTGGGCTCAGTCCAACTGGGTGCTGGTCCGCTTCTGGCACGGCTCGGGGTTCGGATATAGACATCGACAGTGGCCACATTTAGCCGCCAGGTAATATTATCGATCATTATCATCATCATCTTAATCTTAAGACTTCCACTGCTGAATTGTCCACTGAAGGTCTTCCCCAAAGATGTCCACACGAGCCGGTTTTGTACATGTTGTTCACGTCAATTGGAGATTCAGTGGAATATGTCTGTGAGATGATTTCTTCTGCGTATATCCTTATATGTGTAGTATATAAAGTAAGCTTCTTCTTCAAATATAATATAAAATATTGAAAATGACAGGGTAAGAAAGAAAAGGTTCGGCCCAATTATTTTTGCCAAAGCGACGATAGTTAATTATATACAGTTACTTTAATAATTGCGAAAGTAATAATTTATGTTCGTATAGATGCACCAATATAAACTAAAATTTAAAAAAAAAATTACAGCTGCTGTAGCATTCGTTTAAATAACCAATGAATAATTGAATTAACGTAACCTATTCATTTTTAATTAGATGTCATAAACTTGGCAAAATCTTTAAATAATAGGTACCTGTACTAATATATTCAAAAAATAAATTATCATTAATCAATTATATCATAAATATTATCAATTAGTAGCTCTGCCCGTGGGTCCGCCCGCGTTCAGATGACCAAAAACCAAATTCTTAGGTTTTACATATTAGTATACTCTTACATTGCAGTTTTGTATTTTTTTCTCAGAAATGAGATATTTTCCCGCGATAAAAAGTATCCTATATGTTGACCCGGATATCCAGCTATGCGCCGCTCGTCCCTATCTCCCGCGGCCTAGCGGGGCCACCACCGTTGATGGTGGACGCGGTGGGGCTGCAGAGGAAGGGGAGTGTCGGCGTTGTCGCATCCTCTTCTCCTGCAGCCGTTTGTGTTTGGGCTCGTTCGCGGGCGTCTTTGGGGGGTTTGCCCAATTTGGGTGGGGTTCATTATTTTTGCAGGTTGCCCACTTCGGTGGGCGGTGTTTGTGTGGTGTGGGGCTGCTCCGGGTACTTCTCTGATCAGCAGAGTGGACTTAGGAGCGGCCTCACTTGTTGGGTTGCAAGTCTTCCCATAATGGGGTTGTCCCGCTTGGGGCGGCCTCATGGTTGGTGGCTTCGGCCAACCGTCGGGGCGTCGCGGTTGTATGCGAGAGCGATCCCGTGGCGTCCCACATGGCGGCAGAGGGGGAAAGTTGGGTTTTAGTGGATATCCAGCTATCACCATACCAAATTTCATCAAAATCCCTCCAGTGGTTTTCTGTGATGCGGTAACAGATAAGAATATATATAGCAAACAATTTGAATAAATGATAAATTTGTTTTAGAATTTAGTTTAAGGAGCGCCGGCGCGGCGTGGCGGTACAGTGGTAGTAGCACAGCTTAATAAGATTAAGGTTTTATGAGTTCTCTCCCATTTTTCAAATAAAATGTGGCTAATTTTATAAGATCCCAGATTTTCTTCTATTTCTAAATCTGATAATACTTTCTATATCTTATAATTATATCTTCTCCATACATATATTTTCTCTGGTTAAAATAAATCGCGACGTTAGCCATCCTAATGAAGCAAAGCTCGTCTAATTGTATTGTACTGTGCAGAATACCAAGTAAAGTGTTATCGTATATAACTTACTTTTCCATACGAAATTGCGATTTCCCTCATCGCATTTATCAAATAACTGGTCTCTTATATAATACTCGCGACACGTGATAGAATAACGGCATCAGCAAAAACTTTTTGGTGTAAAGTTAGAAAATATATATTTTAGTTTGGAAAAGTACGCAAAGTTTTCTAACTGGGACGCAGTTTATGGTACGTAAAGAAGTGAAATAATACAGTAAAGTTAGTGTAGGTAAAGTTCTCAGACTAAGGAATTACAAGTACATAGACGAAATCCGCCAAAAAAAATGCCTCACAGTCACAAATAGTAGCATGATTTGCTGTTTATGCTACTATTCTCGGTTTTGCCACACAGGTTTTAATCTTTAATTTACAATTTTCAGAATAAAATATGAGTACTAAAAATAACTCTATATTCTGCATTTCTTAAGCATTACTTCTCTTTCTCCTTCTCTTACCCTTCAAAGCGAGATAACATAATATTAGCGTATTTAATTTTTTTAATCTATATTATAATAAAATCTGTTAGCTTTTTTGTTTATTAACATTTATTTACTTATCACATTAATGAGTATTATATATGTAGTATCTAAAAACTTTATAGTTTTATATTTTGTCTTAAAAACAAAAACAAATCTATCCCACGGGAACGCTACATTTTTCCGGGATAAAAAGTAATCTATGTAATACTTTCTTAGATTTACGCGAATGTTTGACATTATTAAATAAAACTATCTTTTCGGATTATTTCGCGGATTTATTTTGATTTTTGGTTCCCGACGTTTCGAATGCTTTACAGCATCCATGGTCACGGGAGAGACTGAGGTGTTACATGTCTTAAAGATATAGTTGTTACAGACAGCCTACCCACAATTAACAAAATGAAAATTGCACCAATTACATTACAATATTTTTAACTTTAAACATTTTTATAATTTTAATTATAATTGAATATGGAAAATTATTTATTTAATTTTTGCTATTATTTTTATAATTATTACAATTTTAAAAATATTAATTAGTAATCTATATTTAGTGTTGCCATTATTATATTTATAACCATAAATAAAAATATAAAAATATAGTATTAATTATTAAAGCCATATAATTGTTCTATGTGTAATTTAAAAAAGTTAAAATTAATTACGGATAATCATTTTAATTTAGTTTGCTATTATTTAAAACAACTTACTAAGCAACACTATTAATATATACTTTTACAAATGAAAAATACATGAACATACGAAAAATTTTTTTGCCGAATTGGTCCAACCATTCTTGTGTTATGCGCTTACCAACGTTCATTTTTATTTATATATGTAGATTGTATATTAATAAAAGTAATGTATTGTATCGAATAATATTAATAAAATTATTATGAAAAGTAAGCAATGATAGCAATTCCATTTTCCACGTCATAGCTGTGTGTGTCAATCAAAAAGTTTTTTATTTATAGGTACGGCGATAGACAGCCAACTGTAAACAATCTGGGAGCTAAAGTAGACGCTGGACTCATGAGCCAATGCTTTGGTAAATATCCATAAACAAAACATACTCTATCGTTCATAATTAACCGATCATACGAAATTTGACATATAGGTACATTCATGCTGCCCAAACAGGGAGCATAGACAATATGTCATTCTACAGACGTTGAAGAATAAAATCATTTTTTTTTTATAGAACTGACATATAGTTCTATGACATAACGATTAGTTATTCCTATTTTTTAAATTTCTTTTCTTTAGCGATTGTAGATTCTAGGTGACACTGGCGATGTAATCTGTGCTCAAATGGCACGCTTTGAAGCCATTATCAAGAGAATTGTATTGATTAGCGATCGTAAAATGATATATTCTCTAAGCCCCAAGATCATAATCGATTTTCATAGTTAAGCCACCTTCCAGTGGCATTCTATGGGCGCCAGTTAGAACAACTGACATCGACATCAGTTTGCAAGGATTGATGACAATCGATCGAAAGCACGTAGTAGCCTCATATAATCTGACGCCATAAAACCTCTTTTAATTTTTATATACTACACTTCTATTATATTTGATGTATATATACTATACTTCAAATATAATATGTATGAAAGAGTTTTTTTTCTTTAGATCAAACTTAAATTTATAGGTATTATTTAACTCAAGTAAAGGCAATTTTACGGACGCTTAAATTCTCAGGTTTAAAGTCCAAGTAGTTTGAAAAAATAATAAAATTTATATGAAAATTTTATCTCCATATTTCTTCTTTAATACATATGTATATATACTAAGTCTCATTAATTCTGGCGAGTAGCCGCCTGGTGACGAGCAAAGTGAATACTGCGAAAATATTTCTGCAAATTAACACTCGTATGTATGCAACCTATAAATTATCATGGCGATCGGTTCAATGGTGTAAAAGTTTATACACTGCAGCGCCATTTATTGGCGAGTGTCAGCAAAATTAATAACCTTACACTTCATCTATGTTTTCTTTTGATAAAGAAGTTATAAAAATTTGTGGTTTTACATAAACGAAGATTACATTTTTATTTATATGGTACACTAGCATTGCCCGCGGCTCCGCCCGCGTTCAGATGACCAAGAGCCAAATTCTTAGGTTTTACATATTAGTATACTCTTACGTTTCAGTTTTTCAATTTTTTTCTCAGAAATGAGTCATTTTCCCGCGGTAAAAAGTATCCTATATGTTCACCCGGCTAACGGATAGCTAGCTATCACCATACCAAATTTCATCAAAATCCCTCCATAGGTCTTTCTGTGATGCGGTAACAGACAGACAGACAGACAAACAAAAATTCTATAAACTATAGATTCGGCATCTGTATCGGTAATAATGTTTATTTGTAATAATGTACAGATTCGGCTTAGTTACAATTTTATTATATGTATAGATATATATACGAGTATATTGTATTCTAAAGGTCCATGTCCTTCAGAAGTGATACAAAGTCGGATAAGAGATTATTTGCAAGCGCATCCTAAAGAAGCAGCGTTATTTCTGAACTCGTTGCTCAGCCAACTTAACTGGGCGTTCTCTGAGTTCTTCACTATAATGCAGGAGGTAAGTGAAAAGATAGCATCGATAGTAAATTAAATAAAATAAATAAATATTTTGGGACATTAACACACAGCGCCATCTAGTTCCGTGATAAGCAGGCTCGTGTTATGGATACCAGATAGTTGATACACTACATATATATCACTTTAAATACATACATATTATAAATATGACTGGAGTACAAACATTCGTCATTACACAAATGAATGCCCCCACCGGGACTCGAACCCCAACCGCTGGCTCAGTAAGTAGGGTCACTACAAACTAAGCCAAACGTGTCGTCAATTTGAAATTATTTTATAGATGCTAAGTTCTATATCGATATACCTAATAGTATATTATGTAATTCACAACCACTAAATGTAACTTCATAATTGGTTATATAAAAGGTTTCGTTTTAAAAAAAATGCCGTTTTTCTCCAGAGAAGACGCGTATATAGATTAACTTAGAAAAACAAAAACCAATCTAAATACAAAAATTGATCCAAATCGTTAGAGCCGTGTCCGAGATTTACAAAATCAAACATACGAGAATTGCTCATTTAATAAGTATTATAAGATTTTTTAAACTACAACTAAGAATAAACTAAGGAACTCAATTAAGCATTTATTTCTTTATATAATTTTTAGTTGTTTTATTAAATACTAGCGGCTCACCCTCGCTTCGCTCGGGTTCACCTCTAGAAAAGCACAAACAGATCTATCCCACGGGAACCGTTTATTTTTCCGAGATGAAAAGTAACCTGTTGTTTGACTGGCAATATAAGGTATCAGCTTGCCAAATTTTACTAAATTAGGTGCGAAGTTGTTGTGTACTAAGCTGTATAAGTTACTACAATTTTTTAACTATCCCACGGAAACTCTTTAATTTTCTGGAATGAAAATTATCTTAGACGTTGACCGGGGATATAAGGTAGTACCAAGCAAAATTTCATTTAAATCGCTTCAATAGTTTCGGAGATTAGCCCGTTCAAACAGACAGACAGACAGAGAAACAAAAAAAATGAAAAAAATTGAAAAGAACTGGATTTGTTCTATTTCTCTTCTTTCGGAATGTAAGAAGAGAACTGACTCGGTTTTCAGCATTTTTTTTTCTAACCTCTACAGTTTTATTATATGTATAGATAGAATAAATAACGTATAATAAAACAGTAATATATAATAATCAAAATAGTTATAGCGAGTGTACCTTAGGAGATAGATATATATATATTATGTAGAACTTTTCTATAGACCTTTTTAAGACTTACAATTTTCTTGCACAATGTTTTGATCTATCTCTTAAGGTTGAACCATTTAAATTTCTAAGGACGATTCGATAAAACCAGTTATTGTGTTTTCCCGTGGGAATGAATAATTTGCCTGTCGGAAAAGATATCCTAAATTTACTAAAAAATTAGTACTCGGGTCAACACCCGAGTACTAAGTTTTATCACTATACAAAATTTAGTTAAAATCGGTTGAGTACTTTTTGCGTGAAACGCACACATCGATTTGACTAAGTTAGTTTTATTATACGTATAGATAAGAATAAATATTGCGAGTGTAACTTAGGAGATAGACATATACAATTCAAAACTTTTCTGTAGGACTTTTCAAGACATACAATTTTTTAGTAAATGGTTTTGATGTATGTATGTCTTAGGCTTAGCCAGCGGAAAGTTTCTAGGGAGGACTCGATAAAACCAGTTATCGTATTTTCCCATGGGAAAGTAAGATTTTCTTGAAGTAAAAGGTATCTAGGCAGTTGTATCCCAGTGGTAACGCGCTCGTTTGGGAAACTGAGTGAAGCAAGTTTAAATCCCGGATCTCGCACCTCTAATATTTTCATATGCGAATCATTTCTAACACAATTACCATTTGTCTTAACGGTGAAGTAAAACATCGTGAGGAAACCTAGCAAGTTTTCAAAAGACATGTGAAGTCCGCCAACCTGCACTTGACCAGCGTGGTGGATTATGGCCTGATCACCCTCGTATTGAAGGGAGGCCCGTGCCCAGCAGAGAGACGTTAAAAAGGGCTGAATACATACATAATACATACATACAAAAGGTATCCTAAATGTTGACTCGAATAATAAGTTATCACTGCACCAAATTTCGTTGAAATCGGTACATTACTTTTCGCGTGAAACGCTCACGCAAAAACAGACAAACAGAAATACAGGCAAACAGACAAACAGACATTTTTTTTAATAACTATTGTTTTGGGGTCTATGTTGTGTACATAATACGTTACAAATATACAAAAACATCTATCCCAAGGGAACAGTACATTTTTCCGGGATAAAAGGTAACCTATTTGTTATTCTGATGTATGAACTATATATATTATTGTAAAGTTTCATCAAAATCCAATCAGTAGTGTTTGTGTACTAAGCTGTATAAGTTACTATAGTTTTTGACTATCCCACGGAAACTCTTTAATTTTCCGGGATGAAAAGTAGCTGATTTGTTTTTGTCATGTATGAACTATATTATTGTAAAGTTTCATTAAAATCCAATTAGTAGTTTTTGTGTACTAAGCTGTATAAGTTGTTATAGTTTTTTAACTATCCCACGGGAACTCTTTAATTTTCCTGGATGAAAAGTATCTAAAATGTTGCCGGGGATATAAGGTACCACCATGCAAAATTTTATTTAAATCGGTGCAATAGATTCGGAGATTAGCCCGTACAAACAGAAAAACAGACAAACAGCTCGCTCGGGTTCGTCCATACCTACGAATATGTTGTATTATCTCTTTAACCATTTGTCCAAATTATATGCAGTAAAAGAGAAAAGTCTTTTGTTTTAAACATTTTAGACGATAAATTTACTTATTTTGATAAGAATTCATAATTGTTGATAATATGACCAATAAACATGACCTACCGATTTAAATTATTTTTTTAATATAAAAAACTACTTTTTGTGACTTAAATATAAAAGTTAGACATACGCTGTCGCTGACTCTTTTGTAGGCATTATTAAGCTCTACAACTTTTCTCTAGAACATAATCATATATCTCTCATCGTTAAGGCAGCGTTCGTAAGAAACGTTTTCGTTCGACCGTTTTTTCTCCGACCTACTTTGCAAATTCGACTACCACGAAAAAGCCTTTTCATTCTTTGGGTTAATTTATAGCCTATGACACTCAGAAAGAACGTGGCTTTCTATTGGTAAAAGAATTTTGAAAATCGGTTCAGTAGATCCAGAGATTACCCCCTACAACGTCACAAACTCACAAACCCACAAACTCACAAACCCACAAACTCACAAACTCACAAGATCACAAACTTTACCTCTTTATAATATTAGTATAGATGAATATTTATATTTCATGTAACTTTTTTAGTCATATCCTCCTTACGTCAAAATTAAATTTACGTAAGAATTAAACTTCACAAATTAAAGTTCATGTAAGAAACGTGAACCACTATACTTCAAGTAACATTACAACTGTCTTTTTTGATCGCATTTACAGTGTGCGTGTCGCTTATAGTTTGCGTTTAGCTACAATTCTTCGCTTATCTTGCGAACTAGCGTTATTGCGATGTAATGAAAATTTATTTCAAACATGATTCTAACTGCGTTTTTGTCTTCGAGTATTATATGAAGCGTTTAGTAGAAGATAATTTCTACTTTATATTTAGGAGCATAGGACACAGTTTAATTCTTAGTTAATGTAAACGTTGGATTATTTGAACGTAAAGAACATTTGTTGATTCTTTTAAATTGTAGATCTAATAAAATTAGCTAAAATTTCACTCCATTAATATATCTTTTTTTAATGTTGCCAAATGCATTTGCGCATACCACCTACATCTAAACAAATAATGTGGGGTTCACCGGTTATAAAAGTCAGTACTACCCACTAAAACCGAATAGAACCCCGTCTTAATGTCAGGTCCACCGAAGTAGACCACGCAATCATGGGTCCTTTGATTTTGATCCTCAGGTCCACTCTGCTGTCACAAAAGTATCAGGAGCAACCCGCGTAGTACACCGCCCACCGAAGTGGGCTACCTCCCAGTGTGTTTCTTGGCTTCACATCCGGCTGAATTGCCGGGCACTAATGAGCTATTTCCCTTACTTTTATCCTTACCTTTACCCTTGCCCTTACTCTTGGTCCCTAAAAAGTCATAATAAATCGGTTGACGTAAACTATATAGAAATAGGCAAAAACAAAACAGTACCTGTTTTCTTCTGTTTGTCAAACAATTTTAGTTTTTTTGTTTAGTAGCTATTGACGAGCTTTTAATGTTATCAAAAATAAATTTGGAACGTTTTTTCATACCTATAGATGGGCAAATTCTATTGATATATATTTTCTTAAAATTTTCAATAATGTTTCTAGTATATATAAAAAGTCCTTCACAAATAGTACCAGTGACCTCTCTGTTACAGAAGACAGTAACAACACAAGTAACATGTGCGTCACACTGCAGTCAATTATAAAACATTTAAGTTAAGTGAGCAACTTTAAATGCGCACCTCGCGAGTCTATTTTAGTGTAATACTAGCATTGCCCGCGGCTCCGCCCGCGTTCAGATGTCCAAAAACCAAATTCTTAGGTTTTACATATTAGTACACTCTTACATTGCAGTTTTTGTATTTTTTCTCAAAAAAGAGACATTTTCCCGCGGTAAAAGTATCCTATATGTTGACCCGGATAACCAGCTATCACCATACCAAATTTCATCAAAATCCCTCCAGTGGTTTTTCTGTGATGCAGTAACAGACCGACAGACAGACTGACAGACAGACAGACAGACAGACAGACAGACAAACAGACAGACAAAAATTCTAAAAACTATAGATTCGACCTCTGTATCGATAATAATATTTATTACAAGAAGATTTTTCAAAAAATATTTAATGACAGATTCGGCTTAGTTACAATTTTATCAGGTATATGTATAGATATTGTTTCAGTTCCAAGCACTTGAAACTTTGTATGTACCGACTCTTTAGCGTTTGGGGGATGTACACTTAATTCTGCCGCATTGCAACCAGTGCTCTGTAGCAAACTGGGGAAGTTGCCTTTATCAAAAGTTACGCCCAATTATAAACTGAAAGTCAATATTTTCCCGACTGCTTTATTTTGGGAAGCCGTTAATTAACTCGCCAAATTGAGGGACTTTGGAAAATATGAGCTATAAGTCCTTTTTAATTGAATATCTTATATTATGTTAATTATTTAAAATGGCAATGGTAGTCCAGTGGTAATACGCTCGCTTGGGAAACCAAGTGAAGCGGGTTCAAATCCAGGGTCTCGAAACTCTAATATTTTCATGTGCGAATCATTTCTAACATGATTACTACTTGTCTTACGGTGAAGAAAACATCTTGAGGAAACCTGCATGTATGAGAGATCTTTAAACCACCAATATGAAAACTTTAATAATGTGTAACCAGAAAATAAAGGAAAGAAAGCATGGGGAGTAGCATTGACTGCTATGACAATATACAGATATCATGTTACACGATATAGTTAAGAAAATTACATACATAAACCTCGCCCAGTAATCTAAACATTGAAACGGCAGAAATCGAGAAAAGAAATAAAAACTTAAGGTGCACTAAAATTAAAAATAACATTAAATAAGAATACTACTCTTTATAATCGTCATAGGCTATATTTTCAATTATTTTTATTTCAAAACAGATGGATCGAGTCCAAATAGACGCGCATCTGGAACCTCGTCAGATAAAGCTCTGCGCTACTTGCTTCGATCTATACCACGGGTTGGCGCGAGCTTTGGAAATGACTCTCGCTCTCGTACCAGAAGTACTGACGAAAGCAGAGGCCAGTGACAATCAGAATGAACTTCTGTTGGGAAGAACGTGTCAGGTTTAAATTTTATTTATTAATCTATGGATATTTATAGGTATTATTGGTACCTTATATATATGTACACTAGCGGAACCCGCGGCTTCGCTCGCGCTAAATTCACAATAAATCTCTTAGAGGGTTTCATAGAAACTTTCACTTCCTGGTTTACCCCCTTATAGGATGAATTTCGAAAAATGTTAAAACACGTATTTATTTAATTTTATTACAGAGCATTAATACCAAGTTTCAAATAGGTAATCGTGATCATAAATATTTTTTTGGATAGTATTTGGCGTGTTTTCCCGTGGGAATAAGATAATCTCCCGTGGTAAAAAGTAACCTATGTCACTCTTCAGCCCTCCAACTATCTCCACAGAAAAAATCACGCCAATCGGTCACTCCGTTTTGACGTGAAAGAAGGACAAACGAAGAAACAAACAAACAAACAAACAAACAAACAAACAAGCAAACAAACAAACAAACAAACAAACAAACAAACAAACAAACAAACACACTTTCATATTTATAATATTAGTATGGATATATGTATATATAAATGGGCAAAGTCAAAACAGTTCAGTACATTTTCCCTCTCCGTTTGTAAACCGATTTTGTTTTTCTTTTTTTTTGTTTAGTAGCAATTAATAGCTTTAATGTTACCAATAAAAAAAAATTGGAAACAGATTTTTTAAACTGATAGGTAATTATGTTCATTATGTTTTTCTCAATTTTTAAATAATTATTATGATCGAATTTTGACCGCTAGGCGTACACTATTTTATGTAAAATAGCTTAATTTTTGTTTGCAAATTTTTATAGTTACGATGTCTATGTTTTCATATAAGGCAGAAAAAAAGTTTGACTTGAGTAATGCTCAAACAATTCGTTTCAATTTGAAAAATATACTGATTTCTAGTTTTTACCCACAGCGCTTTTCGTGTTGTGTGTTAATAGTACGTCGATAAAAACGAAATAATAGAACATATTATAAACTATCTCTACTCGAGTTTTCAACCAAATCCCATGATCATTATAGTATAAAAAGGGTACATATATTCAAAATTTTACCTACATTATTATACATGAGAAGAAAATTTTAAGCAATTATTAATCTTTTGATATCAACAAAAAATATTTTTTTTAAACTGAATTATCTTAAGCTATCAAATATGGCACTTTAGAATATTTTTCTCTTCTTTTAACTTGACAATCCAAACCCTATCCAATTTAACTTCACATAAATCGAAAAAGTTTCTTCAATTCCCTACAATAGTGTGATTTACTCTCAAGACTTATTCGGCTCTGTCAGCACAATATAACTGATGTCACAATCAGATAACAAAGGATTAAGTTGACCAGCGTTTTATATGACCTTGGTGTCCGACGACTGAGCCAAATTACAGGGACTCTGGCATTCGGAGCCGCCACCCACCGATTGATTTAGCTTGGATTTGAGGTAATTGGACTCGGGTACAAAGTTGTGTGTTTTTTTTATTTTGTATTTGAATAAAAGGGATTTAATAGCTTAGAAATTACTTCAACTTCAGTTTAAAGTTATTAATTTACCCTTAGAGATGGGTAGAATTTTATCGTAATATTTTTTACCCTTAAGGTATAAAGATTACCTATTCGAAGGTATTGCTTAACATATACAAAAAAAATACACCAGAATTTAATATATCCTCGTTTTATAAAGTCGGCCAAAGCAATGAGTTGTTTTTATATCAAATAGTCGAAGAGCCCTTGTAAGTATACTTAACCCCATATGCAATGAACATGAACGAATTAACCACTGGACCAGATATATAAGCGGACGTACCTTTAACGGTCATGTCAGTAACCAGGGAGTTTTAGCCTAGGTCGTTTGTTTTTTGTGTCAGTCTCAAGCACTTACTTGTCAACAAAACATCTCCAAAAAATGACTAAATGTTCTGTTAATTGGTGTAAAAACTATAACGGCGGAAGCAGCACTATTTCTTTTCACTTGTAAATACATTATTTTATTACATTTAAAGTTATTTATCACAAAATTTAATTAAATGTAAAATAAAATGTCATATTATCCAACTATGTTAAATATAGTAGATATTTCTATGTATTGTTGACATCTGACAACCATCATAAACGGGCTGGATTATACCATTCAGAACAAATGACAAAACCGTCGAGTGAGTCCATTTGACACCGACTAGTGCTTGACAATGTCGAAAAATATATCGATATTTGACGAAATAACTGAACGAATTGTGTTATTTGTACAGTACAATAACATAAAATACTTTTACCACAGTATCCTACAATCTGATGACAATAAATTTATAAAAATATTTTCTAAATCAAATAAAAATATAAATGCAAAAATTATAATTAGTATGTGTACTTAATTTTTTTTTTATTTTATACCACATTTATATACTTTGGAATATTACTCCATTGTAATAATAATAAAGATCATTTTATTTCAACACATATATTACACAAAATCAAACAATAATGTTTTAGCACTAAACTTCTGGGTTTGCGATTTGTAATAAAACACTTTACCACTTGCACGAATTATTTTTCTTTCACGATCCAACACTCACTTCTTCACAATTTACACTCACTTTTTATTTTTCCTAATTTCACAAATGTTTATTAAGAACTGAGCAATATTAGGACAGTGTCACATTTTTATAACTACCCGAGACAATCAATTGCCAATTAAAATAGTTCAATAACAGAATCAACAAAATCACTTTATTTAATTAAATTAGCTTAATATTTTTTTAATCTTTACAAAATAATATTTATTATATATTAATGGAATACACACCCGATATTCATTTGTTTATTAACATTATTATAGGCCAACAGAATGTTGCCATCAATGCTATCGTAATTATATAAATCAAATTAAAAAATAATTATTATTTGACACATTATTATTGCCTCTTTAATTCATTTATTTTAATAAATACAGATATTTTAAATTAAAAGATGTAAAATATGATGACTATGCTAACTAATGTCTAAAATGTCATTCATTGGTTCATCGATATATGTATTTTATCGATTACGTTCAAACACTAGAAATATTGTATTGTGTATCAGTGTTTATAATAATGTAATAATCTTTGTGTGCGTTATGCGTCACTTGGTTGAACTAGTTTTCATACATTTGTATTTTATGTCAGGTCCAGTCTCTAATTCGTCCATGGCAATGAAGTAATTAGAATGGAAAATAAAGGCTGTATCCTAAAATTAAATTTGCATAGTTATTTGTTAATTTAAAACTTCTTTTAATTGTTAATTGATGTGCAGTGATGTAATTTAACATAATGACAGTCACAAAGAGACTAATTCTAAAAACGAATACGGCATCTATCACATTAAGTTACAAAAATACCATTTAGATTTTTTCCTTTATATGAAAATCAACGTATGTAATGTACAAAGAGAATGAGAAATTAATGGAAAAATATTATATTTCTATTACATTCATCAATTTCTATTATATCCAATAAATATTTCACAAACAATCTGATCGTAATCACTTTTAAAAGCAATATTTCTGAATTAAACCCACACAACATATGAATATGCTCGGACCAACAGAAAACAATAGATCGTTTTCAAGCGTCATTGAGTTTCGGCAGCTCAGTCGTTTCACTGGACTTATGTTGTTTACTTTAATCTCTTGGCACAAAGCAGTTTCTCGATCACGTAGAGCTTTCATGTTTTATTTTTAACATTAATTCGTTGTAGGGAAATGTATTGTACTTAGGTAAGTTTATGAATTTTCGTACCACTAGATATTATAAATAAAAGTCTGTCGCTGATTTTGTATTTTTTCGGGCTATTCTCAGAACCCAATAAAACTAAGGGCTATCTAGGTATAGTCTGATTTTTAATTCCACGGAAATATGACAGCAGTCATTCTTTGACAATTTAGATATCATAGACCTTTTTTTCTTTGAATTTTTATAATATAAAATAACAAAAAATATGAAACAGAATTAGATCAAGTAAACTATATGTATGACATTGTAAATCGTCTTGGTTTTGTGCATTCAATGCACACTAACACTGTAATGTAAATTTTTAATGGTTGAATGAAAAAAAAAACAGTAAAACAAAATATTTCTTAAATGAAAATATTTATTAATCGTTATCACTTATATCATCATTATCGTCATCATCATCCACTCGGATTATAAAATAATCACGCACTATCTATCAGATCATTAAGAGGGCACATTTTATTTTTATTATTTTTACGAACAAAGGAGTTTTCCTAAAAAAGGCTTGCTACCTATGGATTATTGGACAGGGATTCCTGTAATAGAAAAATAATTCCTTAATAATTATTGTAACATCTATAATATGATAATAAAAAAATAATTACCATTTTACAGTTATTAATATTTTTTTAAGTCTTAGTTTTTTAATTGAAACCTTAAATTCAAGAAAGGTATTTTTTTTTATTTTGCTAAAATGCTTTCCCTTTTTAGTGCACATGTTTCAAAGTTGACAAAGCTTCTGAAATGTCAGAATTCCGTGGAATTAAAAATCAGACTAGGTTATCTATACATGTGGGGGGGCTCAGTAGTGCCCGGCAACCCAACCGGGCGCGAAACCAAGAAACGCACAGGGAGGTGGCCCACTTCGGTGGGCGGTGGGAGGTGGCCCTCTTCGGAGGGCAGTGTACCATGCGGGTTGCTCCTGGTACTTCTCTGATAGCAGAGTGGACTGTGGAGCAACCCCGTGGTTGTTGTGGTCTGCTTCGGCAGACCTGCCGTCGGGGCGTCGTAGTTGAATGCGTAAGCGATCCTGCGACGCCCCATTAAGACGGGGGAAGGTTTTGTTGGGTTTTAGTGGGTAGTACTGGCTTTGCCGGTGAGTCCCACACCTCGTGCATAAATGCATTTCCCAACGTTAAAAAAAAAAAAAAAAAAAAAAAAGGTTATCTATACATAGGTACCTATAATAAAATTCTAACCGTGTCGAATATGTACATTTAAATATATTTTGGAAAATCTTATTGAAATAGTTATTACTATCGATGCAAAGACCAAATCTATATTTTTTTGATTTTTTTGTCTGTCTGTCTGGGAACGCGAACACGAGAAAACCACTGAACAGATTTTGATGAATCTTTCATATCATCATTTCTTATGATGATAGCTGGTTATCGTATGGGTCAACATATAGGACTTTTTACTGCGGGAAAATATCAAATCTCTGAGAAATCTATACTAAAAGTTAAAACGTAGTCCGACCGGAGCGAGGGTCAGTCGCTAGTAGGCTATAATTTTTAAACGTATTGTGAAAATAAGATATAATGATACTTGTGAATTAAGTCGGACAAAATCGTCCTTTCTGAGAAGTTCCGTAATTATTATCAATGTAAATGACATCTACGGACTCTACTGTTATAGGTCCCATAATGATATTACCTATATAAAAGTTACCTTTGCTTTATGAAAGTAAAAATATGATAAGCGAATATGTTACGCATCGACGGGTCGAGAGGATATGACGTATGAATGAACACATCACATTTACCCACGCTTCTTGTTTCGCAAAAGGATCAGCAAATACACTTTTACATGCATAAAAGAAAAGGCACATATAGTTATATCATATTATTTGGTATCATTGAAAACATTTGTCTTCTTTTTAGGGTTCCGTACTATAATATAATAAATATAATACCCTTTTTCTCAGGTTCGCGTGGAAGTATTTACTTAAAATTAATATCAAATACTCATGTCTATAGTCTCTCAGAACTGTAAAAATATAAAACATCTAAGTCAACGCAATCAAAAGATACAGCTGCTTATGCTGCATATTTTGATACTCGTGATGAAATCAAAACCTGTAGGGTACTTCCCGTTGACCTAGAATCATGAAATTTAATTTTCTTAAAAATATTGGCTTCTTAACCACGTCTTATAGCATAAGTAAAGGGAAAAATCTGAAAACCGTAAATTTCAAGTAACATCACAAAATATTTTATTTTTACGATTACGTATTCGATTGATCCATGCTACGGAACCCTCAGTGTGTCAGACTTGCACTTGTCTGTTTTTTTTCTTATCAATAAACTTATGATTGAAGAAGCAATAAAAATTTTGTGTAAAATTTAATAGAAGATAACTTTCTTTTATAAAGCTCGAGTAAATTAATTTTTGTAAATTCTCTTTAACTTAGCTTGTATTGGATATCGACATTATCTTTTTTGAAAAAGAAAACAAAAAGCTTTCAGTCCTTGAACACTTTGGAAATTTCATTAAGAAAATTTTATCTAAAAATCCGGTCCTATTCAATTTTCCTAAAAAAAGGCACATTTTATCAGCACAATGTGTTGGTGCAATCAGATAACGGGCTATTTCCACTCGCCATTGAAACCGGACTCAGTCGAATTACGGGCCGTAGCTTAGCCGTATTTACTTTAATCTCTTGACACTGCCAAAACTTGGTTTTGTGGACCTTTTATCTTTTTTTTTGTGGAAGTCATTACTTTGCTACTTTTGCTGTATTTCCAAATATTCATTTTAGTCACTTTCAAACGTTCAAATTATATATTTTTTTACCCATAATATGCTATAGGTATAGTACACATATATATATATATATATATATATATATATATATATAAGGCTTCTGTGAAAATTTAAGAAACCCCGCATAAGAATATAACCTGTAAATATGTAGCGATTCTGTACTTTACTGCAAAAGTCTATCTCATATGTGTATCTTTTTTGTCTGAACAAATATCATAGCAAAAATAGCCAAATGAAAAGAAAAGATAAATGAAGGCAAAAATTGGAAACCCCGAAGCTAGTCCTACCTCGCTGACCTACTGACATAAAGCAAAAATTGCTATCTCTAGGAAATTGGAATATGTTCAGTAATTTTTTTTAGGGTTTGATACTAAAGGATCCAATCGGAAGCTTACATTATGCGTTTGTTGTATCTATATGTATATCTGCCTTACCTTCAAAAGACGACATGTGTTTTGAACCGTAATAATTGTTTCAATATTGAACACAGTGACTTTTTGAACTTTACTTCAAAGAAAATGGCTGAAGGACTGAAACAGCAAATAAAAATTGTGAAAACGTCTAATGATTGATTTAATTATATTTCTTCAGATACTCATGGCGGTTGTGTCTCGTGTGTGCGTGAAGGGCGGTGGTGGGGCAGGCTTTAGCAGACTGGTGTCCAGAGGCTTGCCGGATACAGACAGAGTGCACTATTACGTCGCCTTAGCTCCTGTGGCTGGATGTCTGATTAGACTTATAGATCCCAAGTTACCTGATGAGGTTAATAGTACCTTGACTTGCTTTTTGAACTATACAAATTCTTATCTTCTATTAAGTAAAGAGAAATGCGTGAATATCATCGTGTACGGTTTTTAAAGACTTTGGTTCGAATCCCGTTGGAAATAAATGTAGGTGTTGCCAGTTGACAAACTAGCAAGTAACTTAAAAAGTCTCTCTACACATTTGCCAAAGATTTACATATTATAGTACTTTAAACGTCGGGTTCGAAATAATATAACATTTAAATTTAATAATATATTTTTTCAATTTGATTAAACATCGTGAAAATACTGATCCGTTACTAATTTCTCACGCTAATATTAGAAGATCCCGATCTATGTGGTAGACGCTGACGATTTTTTTTAAACCATAAAACATTAACAATCACGACCCAGGGAGATTGTCCCCTCAAGTCCAACGTATAAGTCGGGTTCTTAGACTATAAAAAAAGCATTACTGGCCAATATAATATGTAGGTCACCGTAGCTTAGGTTATGTATGTATGTGCATAAGAATATATTTTTTGTATTATTATTATTATAGGCTTATGTAAGAAAACACAAGAAATGTAGTATTTCTCTCTAAAAGTCCCAATTGAGAACGACACTCTAGTCACTTACTGTAAGAGATAAGGCGCAGGAACGACGGCTTTATGTGCTCTTCGAGACATTTAGAATGCATTTGTATGCAATGGATTTGTAAATATTTATATTGTGGCGCTATGTCGTTCGCTAACTCATACACACTATTGATAATTTAATCTTCCTTATTGCTTAACTTATTGCTTTAATCAACTTAGCTGAAATTGGGCCTGTTCTTAGTCATACCACCCTAAGAATTCGTCAGTTGATCATCACTCAAATCAGACGCGCCAGTTGTTTTTTTTTATCAAATAATTCATATTTATTTTTATGGTCAATGAACAGTGTCAATACTGACATTCATAATAGTATATGGACCATTGGAACTTTTTAAAGAAGAGAATCACACATGGGATATTTAATAAGGGTGTGTGATGCTATTAATCTAAGTTACCCTGATTTTTCATCCAGATCTTTAAAGTGCTTTCTTTATTATTATTATATTACTTAAATTTCATCTTACTTAAATTTTTGAAATAGAAGTTTACTTAAAACGGTAATAAACATAACAAAAGGTTAGAACATTTTTTATTTAATAGAAGCTCCCTAAGAAATAAATTATTTCTTACATTTATTATATGAAATGAAGTCGGTTGAAAAATTAGCGCGTGTGACCTTTATGCGCACCGCAATTAAATTAAAACAAATCAAAATATAAATATAATATTTTTTATAATATTATTAATAATAAATATATATTTTTATAAACAACCATTATTATTAAAATATAAATATGATATATATTTTTAAATTATTAATAATAAATTTGACTCTCACTTCCGCGACACTCAATGTATTGATTTATCGCTCAGGCACGGCTAAAGAAGTTTTACTCAAAAATATCTTAGAAACTAGACAATATGTTAAATAGGGTAAAAATAACATTTCCTTCATAGTGTTCGCCTTTTCAGCACGTAAATAAAGTAACAAACTCACTGGTGTGCGAGCCGCTGTTCCGCCTCGACGGACTCGAGTTTATGTTAGAAAAGGACAAACATAAACATTTCTCCTTCTACAAGTGTTAGTGTCGGATTTTGTCTACTATTAGAGTTATATTTGCACTATAGTTTTCTAGCAAAATGCGCTCAGCTATACAAATATATATTAACATTGTACATACATATGTATTGTATTATATCAGGCTATTAATAACCCTAATATGTTAACTATTACCAAAGACAGAGAAAGTGGAATGAGTGTTTCTTTACTAAAAATCGCTAAAAAAAGCCGTCAGCTAAAAATGGCGACATGTGCTCTGGCCGCACATTCGTTTTGTCTCTCGCTTCTCTTCTGTATTAATTGAAATACGATTAATGAATATAGATATTTATAAACATTTTACATTCCATAATATATTATATATTTTTTTAAAAGACGGATATTGGCCGCATGTTAGCTTTCTCTCTTTGTCAATTTTATGACAATATTGCTCAGTCCATTCTCTGAGTCTACAATATTACCTACTTAGGTATGTCAACAATTGATATACGTATATATACTTCTGAAACTCATAGGTCTGGAAGTGTTAGTAGGAGTAGCGCTTGACACAGGCTTAGAATTTTCTTGCGCGAGCGCAGTCACGTCCTATAAATTAAATATGGGAATAATTCTACACACTATTAAATTTATTTTATGAACCAGATTCATTTTGAAATATTTCCACTTATTTTATTATAACACTTGAAGTATTAACACAACAGTCGCAGAAGACGTAACACTTGAAGAGCTTAAAGCTCTAGAAGCGGCAGTAGACCGGCTGCGAGTGGCCCGGGATAACTTCGTGCGGGCGCAGTCCCCGGGCTCCAGTGGGGCGCAGTCCGACCTGCTCTGCACTATATGCTACGCACGTCCCGCTGACACTGCCTTCGTGCCATGCGGACATCATTCTTGTAGGTCAGTACTCTTACACTTTACAATGAATAATGCTTCTCGTTTGCACACTATAGCTGTCTTACTCATGCCCGCAAATATAGAGAGCGAAAAAAATTGTGGTTCTACTTATAGTAATATTTACTAGCGACTCACCCTCGCTTCGATCAAGTTCGTCCCTAGCTTGGTTCCCAATACTTCTTCTTACCCAAAACTTTCATCCCCATTTTCACTCCCTTAAGGGATAAAATATGTCATTCCCAGGGTCTCAAACTATCTTCTTACGAAATTTCATCTGAATCGGTTCCGTAGACCCAGAGATTACCCCCTACAACCTCACAAACTCACAAACTTTACCTCTTTATAATATAAGTATAATTATTAGATAGGTACATATGTAGCTTTATGTCACAGCCTTCAAAATAAAAAAAATATTGCATTAAAAATACCTATACTATTGATCTATACGAATTTTTATTATAATTCTTATGTAATTGCTTGTCTTTTTGTTACCTTTCACGTTTAAACCACTGAACAGATTTCGATAAAACTTGACAAGAATATTTCTCGCAAAAGGGACCCTTTAAAAATCGTTATAAATAAAATATTGGTATTAAGCGAAAACTCTTTTCCCCGGCACGCGTATAACATTTTCTAGAATTACACATTTAAATCTATAGGGACTTTGTGCCTTATAGCCTATTCATGCTGATATTTTATTCATCTTTATCGGTATGAGTATTGGAGGCGAGTGAACGTGCATTTATTTTGGTTTGCCTTGGCGGTCTAGTTGCTAGTATTAACGGCTACAGAGAGCTCCGGATTAGAATCCCGAATCGGGCAAAAATAGTTACTGAATTCTATCTGTTCCGATAAGGAAAAGTACCTACTTACATACGTACAGACAAAAAGAACATTGCTAAATACAATATTATATGTTGATTTTTTTACAATATTAAATAGCAATTATTAATTTTTTTACATAGTAAATAATATACTGATGAGTGAACTAAAAAATAGCCATAGCTTAAAATAAATAAATAAATAAATATAATTGTGAAATTGTCGTGTTCCGAAAGAAGATCTGTTACCAAACTTGTAAACCCAAATCAATATTTCTTCTTTGCATTACAAATATGTACTTCGAAAATACCCGTAACAAATAAGCAATGAAGAAAGAAGTTCTTTAGGAAATATGAATATTTTCTTTGACACAATTTGCTGAATTTTTATATTGATCATGAAACTTTGCTTTGATTACTTTGAATAATAAGTTCGAGAAAAAGGCAAAGGCGTCGCGCGAAAGGAATAAAATGTCATTATTATTTAATCATTCATCATTATTAATAATAGCTTTCGATACAAAATAAAGTCTATCTCGAGGTAACAACTAATTAAATGAAAAAGAATGATACCGATTTCAATGATATTATTTTATTTATAATTTTTTTCGATCGGTTCACGAATAGCGAAAATGTTACGTAATATTAACACTACTTTATTTTAAGTAAATAGCTATCTAAACTATAAAATCAACTTCATTGTTCATTGTTCATTTTTCATTCCACACAGGGAGTGAAACGAAATGTGAAGTGTTTTTTTAATAAAATTATTGTAAATCCAAATCAATTGTACATTCAAGTTTCAACCTACAATTTTAACGACAAATGACAACGTATAACATATTGCGAGTACATAAAAAACAAACATACACTCAAATTGAGTGATACAGTCTCCCATTTTGATGTCGAACAAATAGATACCATCACCTTTTTATGAACTCCATTAAAAAAATAACAATGAAATCATTTTAAATAAAACTATCTCTTCGGATTTTTTCGCGGATTTATTTTGATCTTTGGTTTCCGACGTTTCGAATGTTTTACAGCAATCATAGTCACGGGAGAGACTCAAAAATCAAAATAAATTCGCGAAAAAATCCGAAAGTTTTATGTAAAATGTTAAATATTCGCGTAAATCTAAGCAAGTATTACAAAGAAATCAATTTGTATTGTTTCAGAGCGTGCATAATGCAACATCTCCTGAACAGTAAACAGTGTTTCTTTTGTAAAGCCGACGTAGACACTGTGAGGGAGATTGAACCCGTCGCAACATAATTGTGATGGATAGATACACTAGACTGCTTGTTTCCTACTTAGATAGTGGATTTATGCAACGAATTAATATAAATCGTGGATATAAACTATTGTGACTGGTTGCCTTCGTTTTTATTACTTTGTATGTATTTCTCTATAAATAAATAATAATTGATGATTTTTTAATTTATTTAATAAAGTTGTTTGAAGTTTTTAATGTTCTTTTTTTTTAATATGAATTTGGTTTCGTAAAAACCTATCTAATTATTACACATACGAATAAATGATTATAATAATATATAATTAATATTATTTTTATTTGTGGTCATAATTTGGAAAATTATAATTATATTTAATCATTAGATGTCATATAACCTAGCTAAGTTAAACTATAGAACTTGTAGTTTTGTAATAAGAGACACCTGTGCAGGTACTTATTCAAATGAGTAGGTAAAGCCGCGTTGACACGATCAAATTCTACTTTGACTTTTCCCAAAGCCTCCTTTTACAAAGTAGGTAGTTTTGATGACAACTTTGATCGTGTAAACGAGCAATCAAAACGAACTTTGACGTTGACGTTCAAACAAAGTGGACTTTATCAAAGAGAAGAATTCAAAGCTTTTTGTCAAAGCAGACATTGAGAGTGTCAACAGGTATCCAAGTAAACTTTGATCGAAGCTACTTTGTCAAAGCAGACTTTGATCGTGTCAACGCGGCTTAAGCCAATTTGTTGACAAACATTTTGATGCTAGATATAGAAAATCTAGTTAAATATCTAAATAAATTTACAAATGTAGAAAATGTGACTGTCTGTTTATCTATAAACAATACTTTTTATAAGAAAGAAACACATAGAAGTTTCTATTATCAAGCTCCGTCTAATTATACAAAAAAATAACCTACTTCAAATAAGTACTCTCAGTAGAGGCATACATACATATGGCAGAGTTGCAGTGATTCAATAATCACTACCACTGTGCCGGACGGTTGTAAAGTCAATTAAGTGTAAAATTGGTGAATTATCTATACATATAATAAAATTGTAACCAAGCCGAATCTGTAGGTACATTATATATTTTTTGGAATATCTTATTGAAATAGACATTATTATCGATGCAGAGGCCGAATCTATACTTTTTAGAATTTTTGTCTGTCTGTTACCGCATCACGGAAAAACCACTGGAGGGATTTTGATGAAATTTAGTATGATGATAGCTGGTTATCCGGTTCAACATATAGGATACTTTTTACCGCGGGAAAATATTTCATTTCTAAAAAAATTAAAAACTGCAATGTAAAAGTATACTAATATGTAAAACCTAAGAATTTGGTTTTTTGTCATCTGAACGCGAGCGGAGCCGCGGGCAATGCTAGTTACTAATAATTATTGGTATTTTTAATATTCGGTTTAGATAGTGTTTTGCCTCTAATTTATATTTTAAACTTCAAGCAGATGTGTAATATCTGAATGAATTTAAAATCAATGCGAATGTAGGTACTATGGAAGACGCTCTAGGTCTAGAACCATGTTTTAGGTACAACTTTATTACATAATATATCTTAGAACTATATAATATGTATATAGAAGTACTATGTCACTCACAGCATTGCTCTCATGATTAATTACTTCATGTCTCAACGACCGATATGAAGCGTGTTGTGTCAAAGGCATTGGCTACTGTGATGTTCAAGTTTTAATTCCTGTACTATATGAGTAGGCATATATGTATGTTAGGTCATTTTTCTTTGTGGTTGCATTTTGTGCTTAGCGGTGAATCTTAATAACCTATCTTCAGTTCCGTTTTTACCATAAGGGTACATGGGGCACATGCCTAGGGCCTCCAGCCTCACGAGGGCCGCGAAAAGACAATATTCTCGTTTACTTGGAAAAGAGAAAAAAAGCTGAATTTTCAATTTATATTACAGTGCACTGTATCTTTACATAATATAAAATGCAGTCGCTTCCGCTGTCTGTTCGCTTAGATCTAGTACTTAACAGATATTAATGCAGTTTTCAGCAATAGATAGAGTGATTCAAGAGGAAGGCTTACACATATGCTTATTACATGCATATTACAATACAGAAAAGCCGACAAATTCAAATATTTGTATTTCATACTAACCGTTAAAATGTACCTAGGGACGAACCCAAGCGAAGTGAGTGTCAGTCGCTAGTATATAATACACTACATATTACTTGCTCCCATCTTTATAATTCACTTTTTTTACACCATCGAGTTTTTTTTTTGTATCATAGTTATATTTTATATTATTCACTTTTTTTACTTTCTAAAAGGGCCCTAAATTGTTGTGTTCCCAGGGTGCCCCGGGTGGCTTAAGGGTTTAGACGCCCTGCCTATCTTATTTATTATTTAGTTCTTCTTACGAGATATAATTTGTATTAAGTCGAATATCTATTTCCATTAAGTAAAACAACGAATAGATAGACTATTGGGGTCCGCAATAAGAATATGTAACGTTAGTTTAAAATACAACGTACATTTTTTTTAACGTTGGGAAATACATTTACGCACGAGGTGTGGGACTCACCGGCAAAGCCAGTACTACCCACTAAAACCCAACAAAACCTTCCCCCGTCTTAATGAGGCGTCGCAGGACCATTTACGCACTCAACTCCGACTCCCCGACGGCAGGTCTGCCGAAGCAGACCACAACAACCATGGGGTTGGTCCAAGGTCCACTCTGCTATCAGAGTACCAGGAGCAACCCGCATGGTACACCGCTCACCGAAGAGGTCCACCTCCCGCCGCCTATCGAAGTGGGCCTGCCTCTCCCTGTGCGTTTCTAAGCTTCGCGCCCGGCTGGATTGCCGGACACTAATGAGCACCACCACCACCCCCCCCCTCCCCCCACCACGACAAGGTGAACGCACGTTGGGGGGGGAGGGCAACGTACAGCCCCCAAAAATTACCTATCACGCTTTCAAAACATATGAGAGTAATGAGAGGATATGTAAATGAAATAATACGAAAAAATGCAGTTAAAAGATCTTCATTGAATTAAGCTTAAGTACATTTATTTAAAAAACTCAAAATCACTGAAATATATGTAAATCGAACAACACATACAATTTAATAACAATCTATATATGTAAATCATTAAATTCTGTTTTTAAGGAAGAGCTATGATGTATTTAAATAATAATTCGAAATGGGTTAGATTTTTTTTTATTTTGATTACTTATATATCAATATCAATTTTAATTATTTACATATCAATATTAATGATTTTATAATATCATTAAAATTTTATTATATTTTTTAAGATTTATGTTAAAACTATCCAGTTTTGTCTAATGATATTTTTAGGAAATGTAAAAATGTGCTTATTTTTTTGTATTGTAAGTACTTTTTATACATAGTACAAAAAAGTTCAAAAAAAACTCAAATCTTTCTAATCTGTCATTCCTGATAGATTGATTGGTACATCAAAAAAAAAGAAAATAACACAACTTAAAAATCTCATTGATTTTTTTATCAAGACAATACATATATTAGTTACAGCTCTTCCTAAAACCAATTTTTAATTTACATTAAACTATGAAATTTGAACACATTAGGGTCCCTTGTTGTTCCCAACCGGCGCATACGCATAGTACGCGACGGGACACTCGCAGGAACCTCTTGGTCCGGGGAACCCCCGCGGACCTATTGGGCCTATAAAGTAAGTAAAATAATTTATAAAGCCGAAGATTTTTTTATTATTATTTATTTGTTGAAACGCGCTATTTTGAGCTGCGAAAGTTAGCTTTAAAAAATCTTTTTGTATCATATAGCTTAATAGCGACTTATCTGCTGACTTTAATGCTTAAACTATTGAACTTTATGACCTTTTTGTTAATACCTATATATATATATATATATATATATATATATATATATATATATATATATATATATATAACATTATAATTATTTGCTTATATTTTGTAAACTAAAATAGCTAAATAGTTTAAAAAAAAGAAACATTACATAAAAATTTTACGTATTACATATTAAGTTTTGATAAATTACAATTCAGGAACTCCAAACATAATATCATAAGATCATACAGAAGAGTAAGGAGAGAAATTTTTTTTACAGACCAATATAATTAAAAATATATATTAATTATGACAAATATAAATACATTACCTTCTCGCCCCGGATCCCCGTGAGAACCGGTGCGTCCTTCAGGGCCCGGCGGACCCGACGGCCCTGCGATGAGAGTGAGCTTATTTATTATTCATTGTATGTATTTAACTCTATTTAAGCCCCACTGCTGGGCACGGGCTTTCCTATGCGACCCCGGATCAGGCCATAGTCCACCACGCTAGCTAAGTGCGGGTAGGCGGACTTCACATGACTTTCGAAAACTTTCTAGATTCTCTCAGACATGCAGGTTTCCTCATGATGTTTTTTCTTCACCGTAAGACAAGTGGTAATAAACCACCAGAGGTGCGAGACCCGGGATTTCAACCCATTTTTTTTAAATTGATTCGAGTAAGACAATAAATGTGTCCGTCCATTGCTCGGAAAATTGGAAAATGCGAAAAAAAAATTAAGTGTATATATTTGAGTATGATTTTTATATAAACTTAGATTAATATTTCTTAATTTGGCAACGTCTTTGTACGTCAACGTCGTCTTGAATTCATCTTTTTTTTTATTTCCCTTTAACTAAACTTACACTGGTCTTCTAAATTCTACTAAATAATAGAAAAATAATAAAAAAGCCATATCAAACCTGGCCTTCCACCCGGACCTTCAGGCCCTGGTATACCGATACCATCTGGCCCTCTGTCCCCTTTTTCTCCCTTATCTCCTCGCGGCCCATCACTCCCTGGTCGTCCTGGTTCCCCTGTTTCCCCTGGATAGCCCCTCGGACCCATACCTCCTGGTTCCCCTGGTATACCTGATGTGTGGAAATAGTAAATTAGCGTACATCTAGCGTACATAAATCATGCTAAAGTCTCTTTAGATATTCTATCACAAACTATACAATGGAAAGTCCTCTTCAGAAAAGTCTAGTAGGAACTGCTATGTGTGACACATATACTTATTTTCTCCATGAACTTATCAAACCAGCGGGTTGCCGTAACTAGGTATTTGATTTATTTTGCCCTAATTGGGACACGCGGTGTCCCCGTGGCATTATCGCCCTATCTAGACATCTTCGTTAGACGACTGTTGGGAATAGTAGACTGTGGTATAATTTTAAATTAAATTATTATACGAAATACTTACCCGGCGAGCCCGCAGGCCCTGGTCTTCCCGGAGCTCCTCTTCTAACACTGGGAGCAACGGTTGAAGCGATCAAACTAGCTGATAGTTCCTGGAATCGTGCTGGAAATACGTTTATCAATAAATAATTAGTTTAAAATAACTTTTACCAAATTATCAGTATCAGTTGGAAAGAGTGAATTTTGAAATTTTCATGTGTGTATCTCAATTCTATTATGATTACGTCTCGCTTAACGAAAGGACGACATCATGAAGAAATCTGTATATTTTTTAAAAGAACTGTAGTTTACGAAAGACTTGTAGTGTGAACTACGCTTCCAGCGTGAAGAACTATGGCCAGCTACCACTATCTTGAATTTAGAAATAGTTTTTTTTAATATTTATTATTTCATCCAATTCAATTCTTTCGTTAATGGCTTCAAGGCGTACCAATTATTTTATTGTATTTCGTTGAACTGAGCGAAGTGATGACGTATAACTAATATGAATATATGTAATAACTTTAAAGTGTAAGTGAAGTTAAAATAAGTAATTGTTTAACTTTATATTGGTTACACTTTAACCTAATTCAAATTTAGTGAAGTGTTTGGATATTATTATCTCAGAAAACGTAGAAAGAAAACGAAAGATAAGAGACTCCTTTACCCATTTATTTAGGTATTTATCAACTGAAATGTCGTAATACCAACTAAAAGTTAAATTTTTACTCAATTTCCGAACAGTTTATAGAGCATAAGGAGAGGTTTCTAGGAAATTCTATTATAAACTTTCCTCTTCAGAAAAGTTTAGTGCTAACTGAGAAGATTAAATCGACACAACTTGAGCTAACTTAAGATTAGATCATCCTAAATCACTTGAGTGTAATGTATTTGCATTAGAAATGACTTGGGACAAGATAAATAAATATATTCGGACATTAACATACAGCACCATCTAGTTTTATGATAAGCTGCAAGGCTTGTGTTATGGACAGAACAAGACAGTTGATACACTACACATATATAACTTTAAATACATACTTATTATAAACATAAACACCTATGATTGGAGTACAAACATTCGTGTTCATCACACAAATGAATGCACCCAGCGGGACTCGAACCCGCGGCTGCTGGCACAGCGAGTAGAATCTCTATAAACTGAGCCAACACACATCGTCAAAATTTTAATCAAAGTCAAATTAAATTCTTAAAATATGGCATAAAATATAAAGAGATATAATATATACGTCTTCTATTATGTAAAATTTTCTTCTATCACTCTTTTCAAGTAATATTTAATTGATGAATTTAATGAGGATTTTAACTACACTGGACTTTAAATAACTGTATATTAAATTAAAAATTTAATTTAAATTGCATAAATCTGACAATATATTTATCAAGCTTACTATTGAGTTCATTTTGATTCAAAATAAATAAACATTACCCCTTATTAAGTCTTCACATATATTCCTAACATCCCCTTCCGATAAAGATGGCGACTAAAACAAAAGATACAAATTATTATAAATAATTTATTAAAATAGATACTATTTTACATAAAACTATCGTTTTGGATTTTCATGGATTTTGGAATCATAGTCACAGGAGAGACTCTCCCGATACTTTTATTCAAAATCTATACATATAATAAAATTCTATCTGGGTCAAATCTGTACATTAAATATTTTTTGGAAAATCTTATTGAAATAGTCATTATTATCGATACATATAGTTTTTTTAGGATTTGTGTCTGTCTGTCTGCTTGTGATCGCATCAAGAGAAAACCACTGGACAAATTTTGATGAAATTTGGTATGACGATAGCTATAATAGGACACTTTTTACTGTGGGAAAATATCTTATCTCTGAAAAATCTATACTAACCGTTAAAATGTACCTAGGGACGAACCCGAACGAAGCAAGGGTTAGTTGCTGGTGTCAAATATTGGCGTAAATCTAAGAATGTGTTAAATACTGTTTTAGTATTATATTATGCTCACCTGCACAGTAATACTATTAGGCGCGGGGGCCCCGGGCGGGCCGCGCGCGCCCGGGGGCCCCGGCGCTCCATCCAACCCATCCTTACCGGGAAATCCCGGAATCCCTGGATCCCCCTTCTATAAAAGTTTAATTAATATGTCAACGAGGCCTAACAATTTAAAGTAAAAATGATCAATGTTGAACATATTAGATTTATTACATTGATAAATTAATATTAAACGTAGGGATTTTTAGTAAACTGAAGTATGAAATCATTTATAAAAAACCTGAATCAAAATGAATACGTCTTTTTTTATAAATAAAATTAAATTAGGCAAAAGTTATTTTGTTTTTTTTTTAGTTTTTATTAAATATACTACAATACTCACCTGTCCATTTTCGCCCGGGGCCCCGGGAAGGCCCGGGACACTCACACTAGATGCACTAGTTGTTACTCCAGGAGGTCCGGGAGGTCCCGGTGACCCTCTTTGACCTTCAGGACCCTATAATGTATATTTTTCATTATAGTATTCATACTCTATATATTACATACATATTCCTTTTTTTTCAACAAATATCAATACGGAAGAGGTTTTTTTAATTAACAACTTAACTGTCCGCAAAGTAGACACAATAGTTAAACAATCAAAATGTTCATATATGACAAGTTAAACAATCGAAATGTTTATGGGACAGGGAAATGGTTAAGGATAATACATTTTTGACCCATTCCAAACGGAAGAGGTAATCAATCCTTCTGTATTTTAAAAAAAATTGTATTGCTTCAAAGAATAATTGTTAATGTATAAAAGTTAAAAATTGTGAAATAACTACTTAATCATCAAAATCGTTCAAGCCGTTCATTTAGAAGAAGAGTTATGAACACAATCACATCAGAATTTTATATATGTATAAAGGAGAGCTATAGGACTGATAAAGGAGGAATTAAATGAAATAGAAATAGTAAGGACTATACACATTTGTACTTACTGGAATTAATGTATGTATTATTGTGTATTAATTAACTAAATTCCTACCTGAGGTCCCTCAGGCCCTCTTTCCCCGGGAAGCCCTTGTGTACCTGGTAGCCCTCTTTCCCCTGGCATCCCTGGCACACCTGGAGGACCTTGTAATCCGGGAATGCCCTAAACAATATATGGAAGTTTTTCTTTATACAAATTTAGTAAGTAGGCCAATAATATTTCTACATTCTTATTTTTATATTATTTTTGCTTTTATAATATTAACTAGCATTGCCCGCGGCTCCACCCGCGTTCATATGATCAAAAACCAAATTCTTAGGTTTTACATATTAGTATACTCTTACCTTGCAGTTTTTGTATTTTTTTCTCAACAATGAGATATTTTCGCGCGGTAAAAAGTATCCTATATGTTGACCCGGATAACCAGCTATCACCATACTAAATTTCATCACAATCCCTCCAGTGGTTTTTCTGTGATGCGGTAACAAACAGACAGATAGACAGACAAAAATTTTAAAAATTATAGATTCGGCTTCTGTATCGATAATAATGTCTATTTCAATTAGATTTTCCAAAAAAATATTTAATCTACAGATTTGACTTAGTTACAATTTTATTATATGTATAGATTATTATTTTGTATTTTTTTCTTGGAGCAAAACGTTAAATTTCAAAACTTATGTTTCTTAACAAATTAGCGTATAACATTCAACAAGTTATGTATCCAATTTCTATGGAAGTATTACGAAATATACTTGCGACATGAATGCTAGCGAGTGCGACTTACCTTTACTTCGCTCGGGTGCGTCCTTAGATGCTTAACAGTAGCCTATAAGTCCATTCCAGGACACACGCGTACACAAAAACAAACGTTCGCATCTATAATAGTAATCTGTTTGTTTAGTAAAACTTACAGCAACTCCAGCGTTCCCAGGTGGTCCTCTCAGTCCGGGCTCGCCGTCACGCCCCGGCTTACCAGGACTACCCTTTTCTCCTTTTGCTCCTTTTTTTAATTAATAATAAAAAAATATACTTTATTAAAATAATTGTTTTTTTTTAATTGATTTATAATAATAAGAATAAAAAGATACATTTAAGTCGTTAAGACTATATTTAAAAGCCTTACTCTAAATTTAAATAAAACTTCTAACAAAATATATATTACTATAACAGATTTTATACATAATACAAATAGTGAAAATATTAAGAGATTATTCTAAGTTGTTGTATATGTTACAGGTTATCTTTTCCAGTCAAAACTACTTTTGACTAATGAGGTACCTAAGTCAAAAGTACTTTTCACAGTTTTTGTCAGTCAAATGTAGTTTTTACTGGAAAAGAGTTTTGACTGTAACATATACATAAATAATTATATGTGACCAGGCACATCATCTTTAAAAAATACTTATGGCTCGCCATTTTTCAAAATATGAGGAAAAATATCTTAATACTCTTTGTAAACTTCGCAGCGAAAGCTTACTTCAAGCTATTTAGTTTCCTAAAACTACGTTAGGTGAATAATGTTAACCTAAATACATGTTTTTGCTTCTTTTTAACGGAATATTATATATTAATGTATTACAGTAAGTACCTGGGCGACAGAGCTTCGCTTGGAGAAGAACTCCAAGCGAAGCTCTGTCGTTTGTTATATCGTATTTTTTAGATTAAAAAAATACTAAAAACTTGACCTGTGAACTATGAACTTGACACCTTGACACCTTGACCGCTTGACTACGATACTTATGCCCGAGCGTGCAAAATTAGCGACCATATTTTGCGTGCGAAAGAAAACCACATGAAAACTCGAAAACACGCGTTTTCCCAGACTAAGACTAATCTAGATCGATTTTTCGCCCGCGAAAATCTCCACATACCAAATTTCAGCGAAATCATTAGAACCGTTTCCGAGATCGCCGGTATAAATATACAAGAATTGCTCGTTTAAATATATTAGATATGTTATGGACCAAAATATGAATACCACTTTCATAATGCTCAAACCGTCTGTAATACCATAAACGAGAGAGAAATATGATAGTGAATATTGAATTAATTAAATTGACTGGACTATATGATTATCCTTAACCTATTGGGCAATCTTATATAAAGACTTAATATTATTTTTTTGTTTTTATAGTTCGCAGACTGCAATGAAGGAACTAAAGTGTTTATTTTTATTTTGCTCCTAAAGTCTTAGTGTATTTCAATATTTGTATAAAAATTCTTATGTAATGTGGGTATTACGAATAGTATTGTAAATTCAAGTTTGGTGACAAATCTTAGTGTAATAGCGCGTGATAGGATAGCGAAAAGCTAAAACAAAGCGTAGTGTAGCTCTTGTGTAATAATTAGCACACATACAATTAATAAGTAATCTACTTAAATATAATGTCTCTCCGTTTTAGGTTTGTATAAATATTAAATACTTACCATGACTCAAAGGAAAGGTAATGTTAGAAGCTGGTCCTGGAGGCCCGATAGGCCCTGGCTCCCCTCGAAGCCCCATAGGACCTGGGGGCCCTGGCAATCCCTGTTAGTACATAATATATATACATATATATATATATATATATGTATGTAGTATGTACTATTATATAATAATAATATTATATATTAATTACAGACCATATCGATTTTTTTCTAAGCAAACTATAAAAAAATACAAAAATATATATATTCATTACATAATTAATGCGATATTATATCAGTACATTGTTGTAAGAAATTTAACCAAAAACTCATACAATGACTACCAAATAACAATAGCTATTACTACTATAATTTATATGTATGAATAAAAAATTCTCCAAAAATGACAATGTCGGACGAGTACAAGTAATACTTACATCTTTTCCGTCTAGACCTGGTAGTCCAGCTAGTCCTACTAACCCTGCCTCACCCGGTTCGCCTAAATACATTAGAGTTATTTTAGACGTCAAATAAATTTAATTTGGCCAAAAATAACGTAAATTAAAAAATCGACACATAAAAATCAATAAACAGTATTTTTTTGTAAAACAAAAATATACATTTTTACATCACGTAAAGAACAGGTAACTTGTTAAAATAATACTTAGAAAAAACCTTATTATTTGAAACTTATTTCATGAATTTAACTTTTAAGGTTAAAACTGGTTCAATAGCCCACCTTGGTCTATGCCCAGCAGTGGACTGAAAAAGGACCTTTATAGTTAAATTCATTAAATTAGATTCGTCGATGGAAAATAATGTCGTTAATGTAGATCGTTAAAATATGAAGAAGTAACAAGCATACACACTGCAATAAAAATATTAAGATGATAATATAAAATACTCTTTCTCAAATGTAGTTTATTTATTCTCCTATGTATGCGTACATTTAGTTTCCAACTTTATCGCTAAAGATCTAGCCCTGTACTTAAAATCGAACATTCTTACAATAAGTGTACGTCAAAAAGCAATTTGACTTCATTGTTAAAACACATACATAAACAAAGATAAAATTTAACAAAATATTGCTATATATATGAACACATTTTTCTTTAAATCCTTCAACAAGAGCAAATGGACATACCACTTCGCAAATCTCTAAATAAATAATAGTTTAACTTTAAATACTTCAAACCTTTTAACCCCTGATCGCCTTTATCCCCCTTCGCCCCACGCCGCCCCGGCGCACCCGACGGACCAGACACTAAAGTCACCTTCAATATTATATTATTAGTATTAAATAAATTTATACATTAATAAAACTTGAATTTAACTCAAAAGTAACTTGTTTGGATCTTTATGCAAAATATAATTTTATGTTTTTATTACCTCTTCCATTTCTATCTTAAATAAAGGAGGAAATTTCAATTTAGGTGTAATATCTTCACAAATTTTGTGTATTAATAATTATTTTACAACGTATGCATATTATACACCTCTTGCTAGGCAAAAATAATTGTTATTTGTAAAACTTTGATTTTTTTTACTATCTATTTTAAAATATGAAGTAGGATGTAACTTTGGATATAAAAATATTATTTAATTAACAAATACAAATTCAAAATTTACATATTAATTTGTTCATAAATATTCTAAAATGTCATACATTACTTACGTTGTCAGCACTCCCCGGTAATCCCCTCTCTCCCTTCTCTCCCTTAGGCCCCGAAGGCCCCTCCGACCCCGGCGGCCCACTTACTCCGCGTACACCCTTAAAAGCGATAATACTTTGTTATATACAAACACACTTTTGATTTAATATATACAGAGTGTCATAGAACTAAACATGAAGCCAAACAATAATGTTTTAATATAGTATAAAAATGAAAAATAAAAAACTTAGGGATTTTCCATGAACGAATTACCCACATTCGTTCATACGATTTTCTTATAATAAAGAAAAAAAATACTAAATGATTATTAACTATTTCTTTTTTAAAGAGAAGAGAATTAATACTTAAAAATACTAAATAATAAAGTATTATTTATATTTTTATTATTCATATTTTATTCTCAATAATTGTACATTAACTTAACTAATACCTACATATAAAAAAATAAAAAATGTTTTGGCGGACTCCGTTTATATATAATTCTTTATCCTGAAAAAATCTTAAATTATAAGACCTTTATACACAAATACTTTAGATATGCATATTTTGTGTGATCAAAGCATACATTCAAAGAGGATAGATACCTAAATGAAGTGTCCAACCGAACTTTCCTTAGGCTTTCTCCTAGGCTATTTAGAACTATTCAAATAATTTAGACGAGATGAAAGATCTCATCCTTTTAACGTAAGTGCTTATCAAATGTTACCGACTTTAGATATTTTAAGTATTTAATCCCTCCACGGCCGCGGACACGTCGGTGTTACATTTAACAATAGATTTCTTAGAAATTTAATTAATTTCTTAGAAATTTACCTGGAGGTGTAAAAAAGTGGAAATATGCAATATTTTAATAAATCACGAAATTACATATACCCCACAAATGTTTTGGTAATATGTCAATTGATTCTCTTTCCGTTCAGAATTTTTTATTTTATTTTGACTCTAAATTGAACTTGTAATAAAAATCTGAAAAACAAACCATTCATTTGCTAGATACCGAGCAAGAAAGTTGCACTGGTAATAAAGTGATAATTATAATACAAGTGTCTTTAATTATAATTTTAACTAGTAACGTTAATAAAATGAAGTGATGTGTTGAAAGATAAGTTTTGTATCGTGTGTGAATTAGCTTTCTTTTAATGTTAGGAAATGCATTTATGCATACCACCTGTATACATACAGGTGGTTATGTGGGACTCACCGGCTATAAAAGCCAGTGCTACCCACTAAAACCCAACAGAACCTATTCCGTCTTAATGAGGCGTCGCAGGATCACTTACGCACTCAACTCCGACGCCCCGGCAGCAGGTCTGCCGAAGCAGACCACAACAACCACGGGGTTGCTCCAAGGTCCACTCTGCTATCAGAGAAGTACCGGGAGCACCCCGCATGGCACACCGCCCACCGAGGTGGGCCATCTCCCTGTGCGTTTCTTAGCTCCACGCCCGGCTGAACTGCCGGACGCTAGTGAATTAACTATCACTGAGAACGCATTAACAAAAATATCCAAATAACTTCACAAATAAAATAATATTTACCGGCAACCCTGTGTAACCTCTAGGGCCTTGCTCGCCTTTCGCTCCCGGAAGACCATCGGGACCCTGAAATAGATACGGTTCGTAAAAGTTACTTAGTACCTTATTTACATATACATAATATAATACTAATTAGCCTATTGTTTTATATTAGTTTTTTTTCTTGGTTCTCAAACAATATTAGGTATACTATGAATATTAGTTATTTTCACTGTGTAGAGTACGTTTGACTCGACTGTGTATATATGAAATTTATACATATCGATTTGATAAATAATTCATCCACATCAGTGATGGGCGGGCAGGTAACTAATTTATACATATAATAAAATTGTAACTAAGCCGAATCTGTACATCAAATATTTTATGGGAAATCTTATTGAAATAGACATTATTATCGATACAGATGCCGAATCTATAGTTTTTAGAATTTTTGTCTGTCTGTTACCGCATCATGGAAATGTCACTAGAGGGATTTTGATGAACTTTGGTATGATGATAGCTGGTTATCCGGGTCTACATATATTTATTTATAATGATACTTTTTACTGCGCGAAAATATCTCATGTCTGAGAAATCTATACTAAACGTTAAAACGTAACTAGGGACGAACCCGAGCGGAGCGAGGGTGAGGCACTAGTTTGGTATATAAAATACAATTATAAAGATTAGATTAATAAGGAACATCCTATGAAAAATTTGTTTTAGTTATAATCTCTTTACATTTTTATTATATGTGCATACATACCTATAAATCATTGTTATATAATTTGATAATTTTATATGGCAATAAAAAATAACTTAAACAAAACCAAGTATCTACATTTAAAGAGATTTTAAACTTACCGGTGGGCATGTTTGATTACATATCGGCTCCAATATTTGATTTCCAGGTAATAACTGAAACGTAAAAAATATGTACAAAAATATAAATGAAAAATACTATAAATTACAAAACAAACATTTAATAAAATGAAAATTATTTTCAAACATTTATACACTGCAGACTTTCTATCGACTAGTTTAAAATCAGTATAAAAAAATATAAGTATGCATCTTTAAACGATCGGCCTAATAAAGACTCACTTCCGCGACAGTCAATTTTTTAATACTCGTATATTGACTTACCTCTCAGTCACGCTTAAAGAAGTTTTACTTCAAAAAGGTTATTTGATAACATCTTCATACTATTCACGGATCCGGCATAACCATCGTCAGATAAAGGACCTATAGTCTGCAGGGACCCTTATATTACGGAAATAAATTTACCCAAGTAAACTTTTATCTTTTTAACGATCGTTAGATAAAATGACTTTCTACTATCTATATTGCTAATAGCAAACTAATAAAAATTAAGTTAGAAGGTTTTTTAAATATGTAGGTACGAGTAATGCAACACTCAGATATCTTTTGTTTTTTTTTCTATTAAAAAAGGCTTAGACAAGTAGTAATTCTATATTCGTTGAAGAATAGATATTTTCGCAATTGTATTGATATGACAGTTAAGTAATAATAATACTTACTGTATTTGTGTCTACCTTAATTGCTGTAAAGCATTCGAAACGTCGGTAACCAAGAATCAAAATAAATCCGCGAAATTATACGAAAATATAATTTTATTTAAAAATTGAATCGTTATGTCCTAGAATCATAATGTCCAAAATCATTCTCATAAATATTTATTTAGGTTCTTATCATTCAACGATTGTAGATAGAAATTTTGTCCTACCGATAAAGCATAAGCGACATTGATAGCGGTTTTAGAACGTCAACTAAGCTCGCAGAAACTTTTTAAAAATAAATATCTCGAACATATAGATATATAGAAATATTTTAATATAAATTAAATTTATTTACAAAATACATTTGTTTGTAGGTAATACCATATTCTTTACTAAGCAATAAATGCGACTTTACTCGTCTTTTGAAATTACATTAATTTTTTTTCTTACGCATTTGAAAATTTAATAGTACCTACGTAATTTATCATATATTATGCTTAAAAAAACACTTACCGGTGGAGATGTTACAATCAATAGCTCTGGTATATCCTGAAATATAAATAAATATAAAAAATTGGTCAAGTGAGAATCGGATTTTGTTAGAGTAATTTTGTAATTTCATAATTAAATAAGTTTATATAAGTATATATAGGATTTTCATTATTATTTTTCTGTGTATAAGTGCTATAAAGTTATATTTATTATATTTTTATTTTAATATCAATAGTTCTGCAATTTCCGTAAGATACTTACATTGTCTATTTCTTCACAATTGTCTTCCCTCAAGTTATAGCGATCGCAGCTCAACGATAACCATTGCAGGTCAATCTGAAGAATATTAAATTATTAATACATACATACATACATACATATATATATATATATATATATATATATATATATGTGTGTGTGTGTGAGTGTGTGTATGTATTAATGTAAGTTATTTTTGGTTTTTTTTTGGGTGATCATTTCGGGAACTACAGAATAAGCTTAAGTCCGATTTAAATTCTTTTTTACATTTTATTGCCCATTTGTTGACGAAGGTTATAGATAAGATGGTATGAATTAAAATAATTCTATAAAGTATAAATAAACTAATGAGCGAAACCGCGGCCAAAAGCTATTTGGTATTTTCACGTTCTATCAATGTCAACGAAATGTCGTTGAATAACGGCCTAACCAAATAACATATTTATCTGCGGTTTTCCTTATTAACAAGAGACATTTGACATATGCTCCATACAAATTATTTCAAATTTCTATCTCTAGGAGAACCACAGATATGTTATTGGGATTCACCGTAAGTCCAATAAAGATAAGTTTTAAACATCATGATTTTAATGTAATGCGTTTGTTCATTAGTACTTATGTTCGAAATTCTCAATATCATGCTATTCTTTTACTAATTCTTCTCACTCAATTTACGATGAACTATTATCATATTTACACTTTTTTTTAACGTTGGGAAATACATGTACGCATACCACCCATACCATACATACGGCTGGTTATGTGAGACTCACCGACTAGAAAGCCAGTTCTACTACTACTACCCACTAAAATCCAACAGAACCTCCCCGTCTTGGGGCGTCGCAAGATCGCTTACGCACTCAACCATGACGCCCCGACGGCAGGTCTGCCGAAGCAGACCACAATGGGGTTGCTCCAACGGCTGCTGTCAGAGATGTATCAGGAGCAACCCGCACGGCACACCACCCACCGAAGTGAGCCACCTCCCAGTGCGTTTCTTGGCTTCGCGCCCGAACCACGACAAGGTGAACACACATCGGAGAATAATGCTTGGACTCTAACTTAACTAAATAAAAGTGTAAAAAATACTTATATGTTTTAATACATTTTTATAAATCGGTATACTTACAGGTGCCGGTGTTCCGTTGTCGTTCGTAATTATTGTTATTGACGTCGCATTGGTAAAGTCGTGAGGACTAATGCTTTCTGGTTCTAGCTATTTTAGACAAATAATATTAAAATTAAATATACCTAATATAAAAAAGAAAATATGTATATATATTTTTTTGCAATTAGTTTCTGTTTATTTAAGCGATAAACTTTAATTACTGTATAGTATATTATTTTTTAGTAAATGTTAAAATCCAATATGAAAAATAAAAAAGGTACAGTAACAATTAAAAAAAATACATTTTTTTTAACAATGGCTTTGTTTATGATAAAAGAAAATTTTCCCAATGCATTTAACATTTATTCATATAGGAAATAAAGTGACCACTTGTTAACTTAGCAACAGCATCTCTATTTTCTATTATCCCCTATCATATAAAATTCCTCACCTCGACACAATCCACTGCAGCGTAAACTGTATCATTCGTTATCGCTACATGAATCTTATGCCATCCTGATCTGAACAACTGAAAAATATATTATAAATCGAAATATGTGTTATTGGTAAAAATTTATTAGAATTGATCAAAATCAAGTCGCACTCTTAAAGTATCTCTGCCATGATTTTTTCTTGAAAGTCCCCTCGGTAGTTCCGTATAACACCAAATTCCTAAGATTGCCTTAACAGCTTCACGCTATACCATTGTGAGATGATATCCAAGCACTTCATCTTAATTGTACAAGGACGTATAGTATAGTGAATACAATAGATTAAACTAGCAGTAATCAGATTACAACGAGACATGTTACACGATAATATCCCCTGACAGAATTTCGGTCACGGTCAATTTCAGTGAGACTAGCCACGCAGGGGATATTATTTTGTACAAATGCATAAAAGCACTCGACTAATTTATTTTACACACAGCTTTGATACTACAGAGCGCAACCATGCTAACAAACACCACCAAGAGCCTAAAAATTAACAAAATAACCCATAAACTATATTAGTCCTCTCCAAGACTCGAATCCAGGATTGTTACATACAGATTAAATATAGGATCTGAAATCTAAACAAATGCCAAAATTTAATTTAGGTAATAACTTTTAACATAATCTATCTGTACGAATCGACAACTATTATTAGTAATATCTACTATATAAATAAGGCATTTACATACATTAAACAAAACAAGGATTTACTTACCTCTGGAGATGAGAACAAGACCCTCGATCCTTGCACAAATACAGCCAGTTTCTTAACATTGGGTAGCAAAGTCAAAGAGAACTGGAGTGTTTGCGATCGAGCTCGTATTAAGCTCCACGGACGATGTTGGTTATGCGCATTAAATGTACTGATTACACTGAACTGGTCTGGTAATCCGTTCGGGAATACCTTTCTAAAATATTTGAAATAGATTACTCGCATCTTGAATTACAGAAGTTAAGTACAGAGGGGTACAAAATTTTAGAGAAAATTTAGAGGATTTAATAAATAAGATTTATATTGCCTCTAATCCACGGTTAAATAAGTTCAAAATTTAAACGAGCGCAAGGGATCCCTATGCCCTTTAAATGATAAATTCCGTTTAGTTATTTTTTCATTTTTAGTTTATAGAGTCTTGAAATAGGTTTTGCTACTTTTTCCTATGTCATTCCTAGATCAACTTTTACAACATTTGTTTACAAGCACTTTTATGAATTTGAAAGATTTTTGGCAGCAAACTATCTACAACATTTTAACGTCATATAGTCAAAATACACATTTTAAATTTAAAAACTTCATTTACTTACCGCAAAGGTAGAGTCAAATTAGCACCATCACCAATCCTATAAGCTCTTTGCAAATCCTGTGAACCTTGGACTAATGTGACACCAGTAGTGTCTGCCTTATCTAATCTATATACTGCTATTAAGTCTACCATTTGAAAGTCTACATCTCCTAAACCTAGGGTAGAACACGCAGAAGCTAAAATTGGGGTAAGTGTCGTTGTGGTATTCTCTGAAATTATGTAAAAAAAAATATTTCTTAACATGTAATTTCTACCGTTATTTTAACTTATGTCGAATTATTTTTTTCTTTATGTATCCTAAGTTTACCTTACCTACTAGGTCTCCATTGGTAAGTACAGTCATTGTTATGACCGTCATCATTAGAAAATATCTGCAAAAACGACAACCTTACATAACACTTTCTTAGAAAAAATTTCAAATGCTTAGAATAATTAAAATCAACAAATATTGTAAGATACTTTGATGCCATTTTTAAATTTTTGAAATCATTTTGTAAATTTGTGGGTAGGCACTGTCTGTATTAAGTATATAATGTCTTTGAGACGTTTAAAACCTATGTTTCTCCCGTGACCATGATTGCTGTAAACCATTCGAAGAGTCGTAAACCAAAAATCAACATAAATCCGCGAAAAAATCCGTAAAGATAATTTTATTTAAAAAGACAACCTTACAGTTTAATTTCATTGCCTATTTATTCTTCTTTTACATAAAAGCCTCATAATATTTAAAATAAGTTGAAACTTTCATAGTTGACTTCTGCATCCACTGGAAATATTCTCATTTCTAACTGTAGAAGGACATTCATAATGTCCTCCCAAAGTTTTAAAATGAAGGAAATCTCGCAATAACAATTTTTTTAGTCGCAGGCAGAAAGAGAAAGCTATAGCAAAATAAAGATCTTATCTTACTAAAAAAAGGAGGAGAAATAGGGAGACTGTAAGCTTCGGGTATACCCGAATTCATTCATTCATTCAGATTCAGACTTGATGCTATGTATACATAGAATTGAGTCTTTAAAAATAATGTAGATGTTAGCCTGTTACGCTGTTAGTATGTTAGTTAAAAGGCCCATATTAGCCGAGTTACATGAGTCTAAAGTCACGGTAATATTACATATTATATGCATTACATTACCGTGCTAAAGTCGTTAACATTGCGTGCGACTTGTATCATTGTACTGTACTTGCATTTAATAATAATAATAATACTCTTTATTGTACACCAAAGAGAAAAATACGTACAGACAGTTATTAAAAATTAACAAAGATGCACAGTAGGCGGCCTTATCGCTTAAAGCGATCTCTTCCAGGCAACCAACTACCAGGTAAAGGAGAGTGTGAGAGAAATGGTAGGCGGTGTACTTGCTATACGATATAATTATACATACAATATAAATAGATAAACATAATACACATACACATACAAACGTACATACATACATATATACATACATACTTAAACACACAATACAAATATATAAACGTACAATACACATACATACTAATTTATATACATACGTACCTACAAATATATATAGTTATAGATACAATTAAATATAAAAAAAAGCACTAAAGGGACAGGTAATATTCTTTTAATAACAGCTTAAATTTATCAAGGCTTTTGGCACTTTTAACTTTTAAAGGAAGTGTGTTCCAGAGCCGGGCAGCTTTTACAGTAAAAGAGTTAGAGTAGAAACATGAAGAATGTGGAGGAATTTTGAGAACTAGGTTGTGCTCCGAGCGAAGAGAACGGCTATGACAGTTACTTAAAAATTCAAAACGCTCTTTTAAATAAAAAGGAGTTGAAGGGTGAAATAGCACACAGTAAAGAAGATGGAGAATGTGAGTATTCCTGCGGAAACGGATAGGAAGCCACTTGAGTTTTTTACGAAATTCTGAAACGTGGTCATATTTCCGAAGGCCGAAAATAAACCGTATACAAAGATTTTGAAGTCGCTCAAGTTTATTTAAATATTCTTCTTTGATATCAAGATAACAAACGTCAGCATAATCAAGAATCGGTAGTAGAAGAGAATTTGCTAGCGCAATTTTGGTAGGTATGGGCAGAAAATTTTTTAATCTACGAAGAGAAGCAATCGCTCCAAACATCTTCCTGCTCATCTCACTTATCTGCGGTCCCCACGATAAACACTGGTCAATTAAAATACCCAGGTTTTTCACTTTATCAGTAAACATAATTTGGACACCATTAAGAAGTATGGGTGGTATGTGCATATTTTTAACTTTGCATAATAGTCTCTGGCTGCCTAAAATAATTGCTTGAGATTTATCTGGATTTAGATTGAGTCCATATGAATTACCCCATGATGATATGAGTGACAAATCTTTATTTATATTATTAATGGTAATAGGCAAGTTCTCCACAGTAGTCATGGCATAAATTTGCAAATCGTCAGCATACAGGTGGTAGGGAGAAGAAATTTGTTGAGAGATAGAATTAATAAAAATTGAAAAAAGGAGAGGAGACAAGACACCACCTTGTGGAACACCAGCATTAATTATAGACCATTCAGAGCACGAATCTTCAATTCGTATACGCTGCCGGCGATCACACAAGTAAGAACGAAACCAGTCAACCACCTCAGGAGATATGTTAAGAGAAGCTAGAATGGCAAGTAAAATGTCGAAATCTACTGTATTAAAAGCGTTTGTAAAATCTAATAGTGTCAATACCGTAACCTTTTTATTGTCCATGCTTTCTCTAACGTCATCTGTTATTTTAGTTAGCGCAGTAACCGTGCTATGACTAGGACGAAAACCAGATTGAAAAGAATTTAATAGACTATTTTGATGTAGAAAAATACTTAGTTGACGATGCACGAGGCGTTCGAGGACCTTGGATAGGAAAGGAAGAATTGAAATTGGTCGGTAGTTAGAAAAGGAATAAGGATTAGGTTTTTTTGGGAGTGGAATAATTTGGCCATCTTTCCAGGACGAAGGAAACTTGTGGAGATTTAAGGAGGCATTAAGGATAGATGTTATTATAGGAACAATAAAGTTAATAATAGGAAGAATCATATTGCGACTTATACAATCCGCCCCAACGGCGTTAGATTTGATTGCCATAATATTTCTCTTAACATCACTTTCGGAGATTTGACTAAAACTGAAACAGGGAAAGTCAGGAGTAGGTAGATTTGAAAGGAGATTAAGTGTATTCGATTTATTTGTACTATTTATAATACTAGAAGAAGAGAAATATTGATTTAGCAAATTTAAAGCATTTAAATAAAAGCTTGTTTTTAAAAATGGGTTTTTACAATTAATTTGCTTATAAATATTTATTCTCTTTACTCTCCGTATACAAATTGTCATTTGTATACCATTTTAAAACATTATAGGTACCTATATTATTTTAAAACATTATTGTTTGGCTTCACGTTTAGCTCTATGACACTATAATATTCCTTAGTCTGAGAATATACGTTTCTTAATCCTAAGATAGGTAATTATTACTTAAGTTCTATTAATATTGTCAAAAATAAAAATCCATACGTTTTCCCATTCTTTCACTAAAAAACAAACAAACAAACAAACACACTTTCGTGTGTGTGTGTGTCTTTTCGTGTTTTAGCATTTTTCGAAATTCATCCTTTATGGGGGTAAAATAGGGGATGAAAGTTTGTATTAAACTACCTTTTTAGAGATTTTTTTGTAGTTTTAACGCGAGCGAAGCCGCGGGTTCTGCTAGTAATTATATAATTATGTACAAAGGGCTTAGATCTAAATATTCCCATATCGTTTACATATGTACCTATAGGCTAATGCCTAATGGAGACATTTCCATGTAGGCGATTTACTGACGACTAATTGAAGTAGGAGGACTTACTAATAACATGAAAAGTAGGTTACATACACATTCTTTGTATTGTTATAGAAATATTTTAAATATATAAAATAAGTCTAATTTGATTAAATAAATTTAAAATACGTTTAATTTAGTTAATGTTGTTTATGTACTTTTATTTTTACCTTTAAGGCTAGACTGAGACAGAATTTACTCATAATCTACACATATTTATAATAAAATTCTGAGTCGCATCTGTACATTAAATATTTATTTTTTGGAAAATCTTATTGAAATAGTTATTAATATCGACAGAGGCCGAATCTATAGTTTTTAGAATTTTTATCTGTCTGTCTGCTTGTGACGACCTCACGAGAAAACCAGAGAACAAATTTTGATGAAAAATTATGACGATAGCTAGTTGTCCGGGTCAATATGTAAGATACTTTTTACTGCGGGAAAATATCTCATCTCTGAGTAATCTACACTAAACGTTAAAACGTAAGCAGGGACGAACCTGAGCGGAGCGAGGGTGAGTCGCTAGTAAAGAATAAAGATAATTCGGTGTTGAAAATGGAGCCCAATACAAACATTGGATTTATGTCAATTTTTAACTTACCTCTATAGCTTAGCATAATGTCAACGTAAATTCTTCAACTTAATTATTTCAGTGTTATTTTAAAAAATTAATTAAAAACAAACTAGACTACCCCATATGTGACGTCAATAACTGATTGAAGGCATAATTCAAAGATCTTCCTAATATCCCAGACAATGAAAGCAATCAATGCGAATCAATGAGACCTCGCAGGCCAATTCTGTGGGGCATCAAATCTCGATAGTGGTAGATAGGTTAACAATTAATTGACCTTCAGGATACCATTACATGACCTACTTCTGATGACCTTCGAATAATGCAGCCTATTTTGATTAATTTGCAAATATCAGCAGTTTAATTAAATTTTGCGTTTTTATTATAGATTTTTGTCTCATATAAAATTATTTTAAATAAGTATTATTTTTTTTTACTGTAGAGGTAAATAAAGTTATTGGTCACATCAACCGGACCTACTTCAACTTGAGTTTTAAATGAAAAAAATAATTAAAATGATTTTCTTCTTACACAAATAATTTATTTTCACAAATATTTAAAATTGCGCGGGAAATTTAAAAAAAATAGTAAATATTTTTGATAAAAATAACAATCTTTTATTGCCTATTGAAATTACTAGACAAAAGGAACAATTACATTCAGCCATTAAGTACATAAAAAGCTGAAGTCATCCTAAATTTGGGTGTACAGTAATTAAAAATTTACAACCTCTGTGGTTATTGAACCAATTTAAAAATAATATTTCGGCGTGATTTCATTTAGCAATACTAAAACGCCGCATGGGGAGTTTAAATAAAACGAAACTATTTCCAAACAGAATACTATCCATTAGTACCTATTACTTTTTATAAAATTTTGTTTGGAAAAAAAATCAAGTTATAATTTTTTTTAGTAAAGGTAACAAATAAGTATTGTATGAAATTGCTAAGTTCGTACTGTTTTCTCATTTATTATATATTTGCTCTAGTAAAAAAGTACACTTACCCATAAATATCCATGATGAACCGGATTAATCATTAAACATAAAAACTGACCGAATTAAAAAAACATTTTAGCTTATGGCATCACCATAATGGACCAAGTCGTGTGTTGGTATGCTCAATAACTGGCTAATCAACGTTCTGAGATTTGTTGACGCGCAATGATATATATCAATTAATTTCGTCTGACAGACTTTTTTATGACTGGCTATCCACTGAATACGTAGCAACGCGATGCATATTTTTTTATACATTTTACTAGCGATAATTTAGAAGATAAGTATCTTCGAACGAGTACGAATCTAGTAGATACTTATTTTCTTTCTTATCTATTTATCTTTATATTCAGATAGAATAGTATAGTCATATAGATAGATAGAATAGTCCTGGGTTCGAGTCCCGGGTCGGGCCAGGTTTAGTTATTGTGTCTTTCTGTATAGTAAGCCTCAGTAATAGCCCGGAGTTGGGAAGTTGGCGGTGCTTCACCCCCGTACCTCGGAGAGCACGTAAAGCCGTCGGTCCTGCGCCTTAACTCTCACTGGTCGTGTCTCGCGTCGGCCCACCGGAGTATGAGAGTAACAGGAATAGAGAGTGCACTTGTGTCTGCGCATACACTTGTGCACTATAACATTTCCTGCGCAGTTGGCTAGTCTCAATGAGAATTGCCGCCGTGAACGGAATCGGTCAGGAGAACATCATCATCAATTTTAAGTTGAAATAAAAAAAGGACGAAGAACAGAAAAAATATCCTTGTGTAAAAACCATCGTCAACCAAAGGAAATCTACTTTGATTTTGGTATGGAGCAACAAGTTCAAGTGCAGCGTCGAGGTAACCTAAGCATTAATGGCTTTAATTAAGAAATATTTGATGGTATACACAAGGATTTGGAGAATTATGTAGAGACGGTAACTGATTAATATTAATTAACAGAAATGAATCAAATTTGTTTAAAGTTCAAATTGAATTAAGTTATAATTTTATGACTCGCCATACACATTTTTTGGATATTAAGTGCATATTTTATATTTTAATTAATATATCTCATATGCGTGTAATATATTTTATACATGATACATATAAAATTTGAGTTAAATTACTTTTTTAATTTCTCAATTCGTTGGGGTTTTTTTTATTATTATTTACATTTACAAGTTCACTTCTCACAAGTTTTATCCTTTCAACAAGAATGACGAAACATTTATAAGATGACTTTGTAATCTTGATCCGTACGAAGGATTTCATTACACTTTTAATTGCACTGGGAGTTACTAAAGTGATGCAATGATGACGACTTTGAAGCGCGTTTTTATTACAACTGTTTATTTATTTTTTCCTAAATTAATTCCGAAATCAAAAAATATATTACCTAACTTTCGTATTGTGTATATAATATATCGTATACATACCTATATCTATCTATAAGTAAAATATTTTTTTTAATTTTTTATATGTATGAATCTGATCTGAGATTTTTAATTTTTTATATATATGAAACTGATCTGAGATTTTCTCCTAAATATAAACAAACATATTGACGTAATGGCCATGCTTATTTATAAATAACTCTTAGTTACTTGAAGATTTTAACCCGAATCATCATCTTTAATAAAATGGGCTCGTCTATTTACTTGTTTCTGAGTAAAATCAACATTCATAACCATAATATCAACAAAACAAATTAGTTTTAATTTAAATAAGTGATATATGTCTCCCGGAAATATGAATGAATAGCAAGAATGCCGCGAGCTTCAAAGGAATTCAATTCGAGATCAAGATAACACTGTAATTAATACTTCTATTAGAACCGAAGTATAAAGTTTAAGCATTCAACATTTAAGTACCCATGTTGTTAGTTTTCTAATAACTTTAAGATAATATAAAATACCTATTATAATATTTTATTTTTCATTAAAATCAAATAAAGCATCACAATAAGTACCTAACCTCTTTGTTGTGCAAATTTTGGCAAATTATAGTCTACTGCTTTTTCATTATGTTCAAAAAAGTTTTCATTTAAAATACTTATTAATCGATACAATAAATAATTAAGTTAACAGTTATGCTTTAACGTAAATTATACATGTACGTTAGTTGATACCGCTTTAATTAATCTTATGCTGTGTATAAAATAGAATCTATTTTTTTTTAATCTATATAATTAATTTGACATCTTGTCAAGTAAATTTGTAGAGTTGCGTTCAACGTGAACAAGTTGAATATTTCATCATTATTTCAAATATTTTACTTATTCCTATAGAAATAACTAAAAACATATATAAAGGTATGTTAAATGTATTATTTACAGCAAAACAATGACTGTAAAACGTCAGTATTTTGAAAATAAATAGGTTATGTTTTCTAATATTACAGATGCCGTTGTCGTGTCGGTTTTATCAAGAGAAATATCCTGAAGTTGAAGATGTAGTAATGGTAAATGTACGGTCTATCGCAGAGATGGGCGCGTACGTCCATTTACTAGAATATAATAACATAGAGGGCATGATCTTGCTTTCTGAATTGTCGAGAAGACGTATTCGATCCATCAACAAATTGATCAGAGTTGGCAAAACTGAACCTGTCGTAGTTATTAGAGTAGACAAAGAAAAAGGTAAATAATACATATTTAATATGAACTTAATATATAGAATAAAGTAATTATACAAACTTATTTTGCTTCTTTATATAGGTTACATAGATCTATCAAAACGTCGTGTGTCAGCAGAAGATATAGATAAATGTACAGAAAGATATGCTAAGGCTAAAGCAGTGAACTCCATCCTTAGGCATGTTGCTGAACTTCTCAATTATCAAAGCTCAGAACAACTAGAAGAACTGTACAAACAGACTGCTTGGCATTTTGAAGAGAAATATAAGAAAAAGGCATCTGCCTATGACTTCTTTAAACAGGCTGCTGTGTGAGTAATAAGAATGACTATTTAATATAAAATAACTTAATCTTTTTATAATGATAATATAATTAAAATAATATTAGGTAGATATAATCTTATATTGAAAGCGAAGAAGTAAAAAAATTAATAACTATTTCATAGTTCTCAAACAAAATTTTAGAAATATATGACAATAAAACACAAATAATTTTATATACGATGAGAAATAAGATTCTATAGAAAAAAAACTATGAATTACAGGGACCCATCAGTTCTTAATGAATGTGGTTTGGATGACAATACTAAAGAGGTTCTCTTAGCCAACATTAAGAGGAAACTTACCTCTCAAGCTGTGAAGATCCGAGCTGATATTGAATGTGCATGCTATGGTTATGAGGGTATTGACGCAGTTAAAGCAGCCTTAAAATCGGGCCTTGCACTATCTACTCCAGAAATGCCTATTAAAATTAATTTAATTGCTCCTCCTCTATATGGTAAGTTCTTAAGAACAAGTTTGAACATACTTTAACATACTCAGCCTTTGTAAACATGTGATAAAATAATATCTACAGTAGCTTGGATTGGATTTAAATTATAAACTATTAGCTTTTGTAAAAAAAAATGTAGTATTAAATCAATCAAAATAAACTTATATATGAATTACTAATTACAAATAAACTAATATATTCAAAATTATTTACTTATTTGCCCCAAATTCAGGGCTCGTAACCAGTTTAAAAAAAATGCTTAAACAGTTTAATAAAAAAAAATTTGGTTCAAAATAATACTGCCATCATAAAAAAGAAGATTGCAACTTCGTCAAAGTTGATTTCAAGATATTTGAAGTTTTGTCTTACTACTAGTTTTGACGTAGTTATGATGAAAATAGTTATGGTATCTCCGAATTCATGAGACTTAGGGCTTTATGAGTAAGACTCATCAAGTAGCATTTTTTTTTGCTGATTCTGAATCTGTATTTAAGTCATTTTTGACCAAATTGTTAGTTAGGGCCATCTTTAATATGATGGTAGAATAATGGTTAATGGTTATTCTTAGAAAAATACATACACACAGATTAGAGAAATACATACAGATACAGAAATTAAAAAATTAATTCATTCCCAAGTAAGAAATGTACATGTATCATCTTTCTACTGAGCAATTCACCATTAGGAAACATTTACCAAATGTAAATGTACAAAAACTCATTTTAACTGTTTAATTAAAATTATGGAACCTAAATTCGTCCAAAGCCGTTTTCGATTTTTAACTGGTAAAAGAATATAACCAAAGCCTTTCGTTTTGGGGTCAATGACCAAATCCAGTTTAAAAATTTAAGGAGTTTCCGAGCTCTGCATTTATTTAAGACAAGTTATCAATAATAATATGTATTAAATCAGATTAGTATAGTATATATAGATAAAAATTAGATATAAAAAGTTTAAAATACAAATAACTTTTAATTTCACTGTATTTTATTTCTTGCAAATATATATATCTAATATAAGTAACTATGTTATCGAATTAGTAATTAAAATGTTCGCTTCGTTTCAGTAATGACAACTTCAACCCCTGAGAAAACAGATGGGCTTAAAGCATTGCAAGATGCCATTGATAAGATTGAAGACACAATAACTACTGCTGGCGGAGTGTTCAATGTACAAATGGCGGTATGTAGACCATTTACATCTATTTTTTTTACATTTAAATGTTATCATTTTTGTTTGTGAACAGCACTTACCTATTTTCAACAGACTTCTTCAAAAAGGAGGAAGTTCTCAATTCGTCTGAATCTTTTTTTTTTATGTATGTTTGCCAATTACTTGAAGACGCTTGAACCAATTTGGAAAATTCGGTTTTTGTTTCAAAGGGTCATCCCATTTAAATTTTATCGAAATCAGTCCAGCGGCTTAGCTTAGGTGCCCACCAGCTTTATAGAATAATCAATTTACACCTACACAAATTCAAGCCGATTCATGTTATAAAAACCCATAAAACATTTAATTCAATTACACTAAAGAATGGGATTATGAATGGTGTCGCCTATATTGATTTCTCGCACGAAAACTCTTGCCTACTTCACACAGGCGCCTATATAAACTGCAAAATAATATTTTTATTTTAATATTGAGTAACTTGGTAGCCTAAGTTTCGCTCGGAGTTTTTCATAAAAGACATCTACATAGATAAATAGCAAAATCTTATACAAATACAAAATGTGATCCAAATCATTAGAGCGGTTTCTGGGATACACAAAATATTTTTATATATGTATATAAGTACAAGAATGGCTCATTTAATATTATAAGACTAGCGACTTATCCTCGCTTCGCCCGGGTGCGTTTTACTTTTTTTGGGCAGAAACATATTATATTCTTTATTGCACTTAAAATATGATACAGAAAAAAAAATAACAAAGTAAACATAGTTCACAAAGGTGGACTTATCTCTAAAAGAGATCTCTTCCAGTCAACCCTGGTTGTGGAAGAAGATGTCAGCGGGCAATATAGTGCAAAAAAAAAAACTAAATATATACTAGAAATAAAGGTAATAATAACCACTTATACATACATACATACATACATACATACATACATACATACATACATACATACATACATATATACATATATACAAAAATATATAATACTATACATATATAATACCTGATGTAAAGACTACTTATACATACAAACATATATACATATACATAGTTAATATATAAAATATGAAAATGGAGAAAGGTACTGATTGATATTGACTACATTTGTGAGAATAAATAATTTTTTAATTTACATTTAAAAACATGAATAGATGGGCTCTCATGGATGGATTTGGGCAGTTGGTTCCATAGTACTGCGGCATGGACAGAAAAAGAGTTTTGTCGGAATTTAGTATTGCTCCTAGGAATGTCGAGCATAGAAGTACTGCAAGATCTTCTGGAACGTGTAGGGATTGGTAGAAAGTTAAAACGGGAACGAAGGTAAGGAGGGAAATTTTGATTTTTAAGGATATTATAAAGGAATGATAGGATGTGCATATTACGGCGAAGACGGATGGGGAGCCACTTAAGTTGAGCACGGAAGTCAGAGATGTGGTCATATTTCCGCAAGCCAAAGATAAAACGTATGGCGAGATTCTGAAGACGCTCCAGTTTATTAAGTAGCTCCTCTGTCACATCCAGGAAGCAGACGTCGGCGTAGTCGAGAATGGGTAATAGGATGGATTGCGCTAGCATTATTTTGGTTTTGAATGGGAGAAAGTATTGGAGACGCTTGAGAGAATGAAAGGAAAAATGCATACGTTTACTTAGTTCGTTAATATGAGGTGCCCAAGACATGTTACAATCAAAGATGAGACCTAAATTTCTCACCTTATCCGAGTAATGTATAGGGATTCCAGAGTACAGGATATCAGGTACTAAGGTCCAGTCAATCCTACTTCGTAGTCTGCTGCTACCAATAATTATAGATTGCGATTTTTTGGGGTTTACTAATAGACCGAAAGATTCAGCCCAGCTTTGGATCGCAGCTAAATCATTGTTCAAAGCGGTAACAGCCTCAGGCAACTCAATTAAATTACAATGTCGGTATATCTGCAAGTCATCTGCATACAAATGGTAGGGAGAAGAAATGACATGTGAGATATTATTAATGAAAATAGAAAAAAGTAGTGGGGAAAGTACGCCGCCTTGGGGAACACCAGCTGTAAGATCCAACCATGACGATAAGTTATCATTGGCTGTCACGCGCTGCCGGCGCCCGAAAAGATATGATTGGAACCAATTTATAACTGCGGGAGACATATTAACAGTTCGTAGAGTAACATGTACATAATCCATTTTCTAAAACAAACTAGCTAACACCTTACTCCTTATAACATCAGCTATCTACCAATGAATCTCTCGTCAAAATCAATGCAGCCGTTTTGAAGATTAGCCGGAAAAAACAGAAAGACAGACCATAAATAAGTACCATATATAATTTCATATCCATATTTAATAAAAAGCTGTTATTTCAACATTACAAACAGACGCATTAATTTTATTTATGTGTATAGATTAGTCAAATTAGATAGATAATAATATCTAAAATTTGGGATTTATATTATTTTATTTACAACTTCACAACTATGCATCTAAAACTAACTTCATAACTATACTTGAATATATGTTTAAAACTAAATTGTTATAAAAATTATAAGCAAAGTAAAATTCTATATTTCTAAAACAAATGGTTTTATTCAAACTGTATTAGCTCAATGAGCTGCAATTGCTAATCCCAGTCTTTGTCTGCATGTATAATAATTAAATAATGTTTCCATAATTTTATTTATTTACAGCCTAAAGTGGTCACAGCGACAGACGAGGCGGAACTGGCAAGACAAATGGAGCGTGCTGAGGCAGAAAATGCAGAAGTTGCTGGAGACTCTGCAGAGGAGGATGAGGACCAAGGTATGTTTGCTACCTGTATGCCATACCTCTCAGGGTATTATGTATGGCTTTTTAGTTAGTTCTTTTATATTATGACTAATGATTTAGTCTGTAATCTGTATATCATATAGACTACGTTTTAACGTTTGGTATAGATTTTTCAGAGATGAAATATTTTCCCGAAGTCAAAAGTATCCTATATGTTGACCCGGATAACCAGCTATCATCATACCAAATTTCATCAACATTCCTCTAGTGGTTTTTCCGTGATGCGATCACAGACAAACAAAAATTTTAAAAACTATAGATTCGGCCTTTTGTATCGGTTATAATTTCTATTGTCTATTTCAATAAGATTTCTCAAAAAATATTTAATGTACAGATTCGGCTTAGGTACAATTTTATATGTATAGATTAATATTACTTTACTATATATGTATTTGGTCTGCAAATTTAAGATGGCATGGCAATATAATTTCAAAATAAGAGATGTTATAAAATTAAATAATAATTAATCACTTTCATAGGTATGGGTGATGCTGGAATGGATGAAGAACCTCAACAAAATGGTGCTTCCGATGAGGAAGATGACAACTAATGTGTATTCATTTTTATCCATATACATCATATGTATGTACTTTACCCACAAAAAAAAATAAAAAAAATATATGTACTTTTTTAATTCTTGAGTATAATTTTTAATAAATAATAAATGCAATACATCCAATCAGATACTCTTCGTCAAATGTTATGAAGCGTTTTTATTGTTTTTTTTTTTCATTAGAAAGGAAAAGAATAACCATTTTTTTAAACAAAACTTTAAATTGATCCATCACTAATAATTTATTTTATTATAATTAAAAAAATATCCTAAAAAAGTCATTGACAAGGATGATTTAATTTTGAATAAAATATTAAAAATAATAAACCAGATGGAAATAACATTTCACATTAAATCTATTGATGGGGGCTTAATGTGCATTTGAGAGTTCTGTCAGGATCAATGATCTGAATGTTATTTTTAATTCGAGTTCCAAAAAAACATATAACTAAAGAAATCCACAGACTGAAATCACCTAAAAAAAATTACAAAAAGCAATGTGGTTTTATCAATGACAATAAAAGATTGAAAACTTTAAAATTATATTTATTATTACATAAATAAAATCAATTAATTATTTATACATGTCTTTTAAATAATCTATACAATTTCACTAATATGTCTGTCACAATTATACTTTCTTTCCGTTAATCCTGTTAAGTTTACTCCTATGAATTTTATCAAAGAACAGTAAACCTGCTGCTCGTTCAATTGTCTCGGGAGAAACCTGAAATAATAAATAAATATTTATTACATTATAAAAGAAACTAAAAAAAATATATATTTAACATATATTATAAGTAACTTGTATTTCTCCTTTAAAAAACTTATACAATACTAGAGGCTCACCCAGAGCTCACCTTCGTCTATATTATATATATATATATATACTCGTCTCGATGTTTCGACGTGAAAGAAGGACAAAAAATACTTTCATATTTATAATATTAAGTATGGATCTCAGTTAAATCATTCAATAAAATACTTACCATAAAAGATGAAACTGGAGTTTCGTCGGGGATTTTCTGATTAGGCATGACATAAGACTCCATATCTAGTGTACCATCGGGGGCCTCAGCTACTACCACTTTATAGAAATGTGTAGGGACAGCCACAGTATTAGCCCCTATCACTTGATATTTAACATAGGATTTCCCATCTGCTTCTCTTCTGCAAAGATTAATCATAAAATTTGTTATGTGCTCACTTTGTCTCTATGTAGCTATATGTAGAACTGCCTCGTTGGTCTAGTAGCTAGTATGTACAGTTGCACATCCGGAGGTCCTGGGTTCGAGTCTTGGGTCGGGCCAAATTCAGGTATTGAGTAGTTCTGTCAAGAAATTGAAGAAATTCTCAGTAACATCACAGGATGTTGAGAAGTTGGTCCACTCCTTTGCCTCAGAGAACACGTGTAGTGTTCCTCCTGCGCCTTAACCCTCACCGGTTGTGTCATAGTATTGTTCCATCGGACTTTAAGAGTGAAAGGAATAAAATGCACTTGTATGCATATAGACTCATGCACTATTTGAAAAATAATTAATACAAAATTATACACTACCTGGGGAGATATAAAGGTCCTGTACAACAGTACACATTGGTGTATACTTTTGTTAACTTTCTAACATGTTTCTCTAAGCGATTCCATGCATGCCTGTTAAATCCTTCACCAACCTTTAAGAAAAATTAATTTGTTAAAAAAAGTAAAAAAAAATATAGATAAAATTAAAATTATGTCAACCAGTCTGTTTTACCTGTGGAGCCATATTGGTAAGGAAAAATGTTTGGTCTACATGAGTCTGTGCAAGACGGTGGTTGCCTGCTGCTGCCATATGTCCTCGGTCAAAACCTGATCCTTTGTAATCAGTATTTTGAGATCTGTAAGAAGAGCATAAAAGCATTGATTACAACTTCAAAACTAATTTTGATTAAGAACTTGTGATTATATGTTTATATAAATATTAAAACCAAGTATAGGTGGTATATTAAATATTTTAGTCAAAATGAAAACATCATAATATGCAAACCTAAGTTAGGTTTGCTTATTATAATAAAATATGATATTTATTTTTTAGAATCATGAAATATTGATATTATTAGAATTTATTAACTTTGTAAAGTGTCAGGTTATATTACCTAAAGAATGGATGTATGCTTTCATCTGGCTTAAAGTCACACTTGCTTCTATCCACTGCATCATTCTTCATCACATGTTCTTTGGTAATGTGCTCAAATACCCAGTGTGGTACCCTATTTCGACGATCATAAGACAATACAAAATCATCATATGAGCGCACATTATCTAAGCCAGGGAACCCATATTTCATTATTTGAGAGACCTACAAATATATATTATTATATTTTTTGTTTAAACATAAATAAAATCCCATAATATTTATAATTACAAAAAGTCATCATTATACTTTTGTTATCTTTCTATAAATGATAATGAAATATTCTAAAGTTGACTAATGATTAAGTAAGTGAGATAACATTTCTAAAATAACAGTAATACAAAAAAAAACTTTTGAAACAAACATACTCTATCTTTTGCTATACCGCCTTCCGTATATGGTGTGGCTGCTGAAACCGTGCCAAATATTGGCAGGCCAGGCATGCTTCTAAGTTTCTTTCCATCGATCACAATAGAATCTTCTTTATTTCCACATAATTTGTCGTTTTGTCCAAAGTAATACCCCACTAAACCAACAGCACTTAGTTGAGCTATATGTAAAATTCGCTTAGAAATCATTACTGAATATTAAATAAGAAGTATTATGTCAACAATTCACAGTTTTTTAAATAATTTCGAGATTCAGAGGTTAGATAATATTACGCTGTCAAATACATTTGTTTTGACAATTGACATATGACTATCTGATTTTTATTCATAGGTACTGTAAATAAAATTAATATAGTTTACTTTTATCATATTAAATTATGAAACGTAAAAGACAGACAATATAAAATGTTAGTAATTTATTTATTTCTAAGAATTAAATCAATAGGAAATCATTTTTATACACGAAAGTTATTTAATATATTTGGCAGCTAGTTAGGCTAAGCAGCTGTTAAATGACATTGGTTGTCAAAATATATGCAGATTGCGGGTTTTATTTAATATAATACTTCTAATTTCTAAAAGTAGTCCAAAAAGTAAAATTATGTATGAAGAGTGACTGAAATCATATATTTTTCTCACTTTGTATAATTCTGTGCAACAGTTTTTTTAATAAACATCAATCATGAAATTTTTATTTAAAAGTAATCGCTTATTTTCCACACTATTTATCAAAAATAATTATAGCACAGCTCCAAAGGCATGTAACATATTACGAGTAAACGAAAAGGATTATCCTACAGATGATTTCACAAATATTACACCAAAAATAATATCGTACTTAAACCGCAATTTACATTTGAAAAAAGATAACCCTCTATCGTTAGTGCGTCAGCGAATCGTGAATTATTTTTATTCATCATTTACCCACGGAGGTAATCCAACTTTCAGTGTTTATGATAATTTATCTCCCATCGTTACTGTCCAGCAGAACTTTGATGACTTATTGATACCAGAAGACCATCCAAGCCGAGCTAAGTCAGATTGTTATTATATAAACAATTCAACATTACTCAGAGCGCATATGACAGCACACCAAAGTGAATTACTTAGAGCAGGACTGGATAACTTTTTGATGATTGGAGATGTGTATAGAAGAGATGAAATTGACTCCACACACTTTCCTGTGTTTCATCAAGTATGTAAATATTTTCAATGCAACATTTAACAAAAATTGATTTAATTTAAATAAGTTTTAGTGTTTCTTTCAATATGCAAAGCAAAATCAAAATGTTTAGTAACTGACATGTATAAAATTATATTTCTAATGATCTTTTATTTTTATCTTTTTAGGTAGATGCAGTAAGATCACAGCGGAAAGAGCAACTATTTGAAAAGCACCCAGATTTGCATATATTTGAACCATCTTTTGACTCAAAAAACCCACATGCATATACAAATTCAATATCTGATCCTACAAAACAAAGCTGTCATACTTTAGAAGCTACAAAACTAATGGAGGCTCAGTTGAAAAGTCATCTCATAGGATTGGTTGAAGCTTTATTTGGAGAAAACATTAAACATAGATGGGTGGAAGCATACTTTCCTTTCACACATCCCTCATGGGAACTAGAAATATATTATGAGAATGATTGGATGGAAGTTTTAGGCTGTGGAATTGTGCGGAATGAAATTCTTGCAAATGCTGGGCCTAATAATAGTATAGCTTATGCATTCGGTTTAGGTTTGGAGAGACTAGCAATGGCTTTGTACAAGATCCCAGATATAAGGCTAATGTGGAGTACTGATTCTGGTTTTTTAACACAATTTAAGAACAAGGATGTAAATGCAAAAATCACTTACAAGCCAGTCTCTATATATCCACAGTGTATAAATGATTTGTCATTTTGGTTACCACCTACTTTAACTGCTGATACATTTATGAATAATGATTTTTATGATTTAGTTAGAGACATTGGTGACGATATCATTGAACAGGTTAGTTTTTTGCTACAGTTTATATGTTAGCAGTAACATTATATACATAATTTATTTAAATATAATGGTTCTTTATATGTTATTTCCAAGGACAGTACATACATAAATATTAAATTATTATTTTTTATTCTCAGGTTAAACTAAAAGATAAGTTTATTCATCCAAAGACAAAAAAGCACAGCCTTTGCTACAGTATAGTGTACAGGCATTTAGAGAGAACTCTTACACAAGTGGAGGTCAATAAGGTTCACAAGGAAATTGAAGAAGCGGCAGCAAAAACGTTTAATGTTGTTATTAGATAAATCCTATAATATATATTTATTATAATTGTTTATTTATTTTTTAGTTTCGTAATCCATTTATTTTATGGCTAACATCAATCTAAAATAGTAATTATATATAATTTCATTTTGTCTGTATGTATATTTGATATTAGAAAAGAGCTTGAAGATAGTAGTTTAATTCCAATGGGAAAAAAGCATCTACGAAGAATATAATAATTATTTGAGACCTGTATAGTTATAGACAGATGGGGGTTGTTAGTTTATCATAAAAAAATGTTTTGTTGTTGATGAGATGTAGGTAATTAGGGTCTTTATTTTGTCTAGTGGGTCAAGTGGAATAAATAGTACTTCTACTAAACTTTGAAGTATCTACTAAGAGATTAACTAACCGGTCGAATCTAAAAATAAATGAAAAGAAATATAATTTCAGAACAACTTTAATGACTTATCTATATTTAGAAACTATACTGCAATGTACACAATTGACATAATAACAATAGTAATACTTCTAGTACACCAAGCAAATGAGGTCATAAACCTGCCAGAACCCCGCATATTGATGATTCAAGTTATAACATATTTAAAGTCCTCAAAGTTCTTTCTTACAAGTTTTGTTTTGTCCAATGAAATATATGCTTTAATTTATGATGGAATGACTTTTTACTCTTAACTTACAGATTTTTTTAAATGTTTTTTTTTTAAGTAATGACTCCTTGCAATAAAAAAATAACAATTAAATCCGCATGCTGTTTTTGTTAGTGGCATGTGTGATGTATTTGAAGAGAACAGAGTCAGAAAAACAACTACAACACTACTGGCTGACTGTCCATGTACACTCAAATACACTTTTAATAGGTATAACTTGAATTTTAAGACTTTATCAACTTTAAACGTAACAATATACATTGTAATTTACTTTTTAACTTCCAATAATAAAATCACAGAATTATGTTTTTAAGTTCTTTATATTCTTATTTTTGCTGAGACAGTTATTATCCCCTGATCTCCCGATTAAAGTGATCTCGTTATTACTGTTTTAAAACCATATAAATTGTATGTATTTAGCCCTTTTTAACGTCCCACTGCTACGCACGGGCCTCTCTTCAATACGAGGAGGATTAAAGATTCATTTACCATATTAAAAGAGCGTAGTATTATAATATAATACTGCCTCAGATTTACAAGAATATTTGACATTTTAAATAAAACTATCTCTTCAGATTTTTTCGCGGATTTACTTTGATTTTTGGTTCCGGACTTTCCGAATGCTTTACAGCAATCATGGCCAGTCTCTACTGTGACCATAATTGCTTTAAAGCATTCGAAACTTCGGGAATCAAAAATCAAAATAATTCCGCAAAAAGTTCCGAAAATATAGTTTTTTTAGTATTTATTTTAATATTACAAAAATACGTGTTAAGAAAGTAGCCATTCCATTAGAAAACGAAGGCGTGAATCTCCTTTACAATAAAATAAATCAAAATGCAAAATAAACTAAGTTTAACCAACCACTTAATTCTAGCATTTTATTACTAATATAATATCACAGTATTGAGAGATAATATTATTTATAAATAAGAAAGAACGGTATTAGATATCAATTGATATTTATATGACTTATATAAAAATAAAATATGTAGTGACAAAACCGGGCCACCAATACTTGAAAAATCTATTAGTTTAAACAAACTGAAGACTTTATTTAAACGCCAGAATTTTCCGAAAGACATTAACAATTAGATCCAACATTAAAAGAAATACTTTGAAATAACACCATTTATATTTATTACATTATCACTATCAATCGTAATTCGTAACACTATTTTGTACGTTAAAAACTGAATAAATCAAAGTTTACACTTGTTTCACTTTGAAATTAATATTTTTAAAATAGTCCAATATAAAAAAGATATTTTTTTTCTCAATTACTTGGGTTTTTTTCTTTGGGAAAACAAAAAAATATTTTATAACAATTTTAAAATACTTTTTTAGGGTTCCGTACCCAAGGGTGCTAACGGAACCGTCCGTCTGTCAGAGGGCTGTATCTCATGAACCATAATTGGTAGAGAGTTAAATTTTCACAGATTATGTATTTCAATTACCGCTATAACAACAAATAATGAAAATACAAGAAACATTTTTTTAAGGTTCGTAATCGATCATCGACGTTAATATACTACATACATAAAGTAAAGGTCATATTAATAAAAAGTACATGCACGATGGTACGGAACCCTTCGCGTGCGAATTCGAATCGAACTTGACCGATTGTATTTTTATTGTTAACAAAATTTCGCTTTCAGATTATTTGAATAGACTATAATAATATTTTAAAACTTATTTCAAAATATCTTTTGATAACTTATAATATATGTATATATCTGGTATGAAATACTAATAAATACTAATGGTAGCTGAAAATAATAACATTTATACCCCTAATATACAATCTTCATCTGAACTATCGTTAAATGCAACTGGCTCTAGTATAGTGTTCATTGAGTGCTCTATAGGCTCTTCAGTGTTGACATCGTCTTTTGAAGGATTATCAACAGTTATTTGGTCTCCGCATGGCTTTTCTTCTTGAGCATTATCTTCAAGTTCCTCTATAGCTTCAATTTGATCATTCCCTTTCCTCCTCTTAGCTTTAAAAGCTAATGGTTCATCATCAGATTCGCTGCCGGAATGTGGGATTATTTGGACAGTCTCGCTAATGTTTGCTATTTCCTTTTCGTTCGCAACTTCACCTGGTGATTCGACATTGTTTATTTCTATATCTTGCTTCCGTTTTCGTTTAATGAAATGAATTACATTTTTCTTTTTATATTTTGCATTAGGTTCACCTTCGTTGTGTTTTATTAATATACTTTTGCCACTACGTTTCAATATTGCTGGATGGATAGCTTTAATCAATCTAACGGGCTTTACGGCTTTCGGTGGTTCTATTGTTATTTTTGGTTGTTCTGGATTGTTCATAGTAATTGCCTGCTCTTCTTTTTCGCTATCGTCGGTTAGATCGATCACCATTTCAGGTAATATTTTGGAACTACGTTTCAATTTTGGAACTAGTTTTTTTTTGATTTGAACATTTATAGGTATGATTTTTCCAGTATCGATATCCATTTTATAAAATTGCCCATTATTTTCGTAAGCATATTTTAGTTCTTGGAACGAAGTAATTATGTTTAGTTCTGGACATATTGCCTTATCAACAGATTTATTACTAACTGTGTTAGTAAGAACGTTATTGATTACGCTATCAGGTTTTATTGATAGTAAATCTTTTACTTTTGGGGCAAGTAAAGGTTGGGTTTCCATAATTTCTGTTTCTGTATTATCTCTTACAGAATTCTTTTCCATACTTGCGATAGACGTATCTTCAACTGAAATACCGGACATTTCCATTAAGTCTGACAATATAGTTTTTTTTGCTGAATCCTGTATGGTTTTACTAACTACATTATGTTCATTTTTTTTATTTAGATTTGTAGGTTTATCATTATTTATTAGTTGCTTAGAATCCGACTGTACTTCAAGTACTGAAGTAGAGTCATCGATTGAAATAACATTTTGTACTTCAAGTACTGAAGTAGAGTCATCGATTGAAATAACATTTTCATTAACTTCTGCATTTTTTACTTCCTCTATAGACTCTCTAGACTCAGTAACACATTCAACAACAGATGCCACTAAATCAGAGCCATCTAGCGTACCAAAAACATCGATTTTCATATTATCTCCTGCATCACTGGTTTCCACACTTACATTGATATTATCCAGATTTGGATTTTCATCACTCGGTTTTACGTTAAAAGATTCTTCATTTAATAATGTAACTAAATTATCAGCTTCTACAGCAGTATTAGAATAATTGTTGGTTAAATCTTCAATCACAGAATTGCCTTGTGCACTATTAAACTCTTGTTGAACAGAAGCTATTATCGCTGGTAAATTAGCTAACTGAGTGGTATCTAATTCCACACCCGAATCAATAGAAAGCGCTAATTCATTGTTTGGCATTAAAGTTAAATGTACGCCCGGTGGTAACAAGTTATGATTCGTAATTTGAGGTAGGACAATTTGGTCTTCTATGGAGCTGTCAACTTCCTCTATAGGTTTTACTGAACACAGTAATATTTTATTTTTACCTAAAGATATAGGACTTTGAGGTATTGTATCTTTCGATTTATCATTCATTACATAAACTTTATTGTCGGGAGTTAACAATTTAACATTCTTCAGGGTTTCTGGAATGGGCTTTGTTGATTTATTGGGTGAAGTTAAATAAGCGGGACCCGGAGAGAATACTACATTTGTTTTACATTTCATTTTATTAGTATTGTTTTTGTCTTGTGGTGGTAAAGTCCTTGTTAGGGGTTGCGATAAGCTTTGTACATTCGTAATAATAGGATTCAGTCCTTCTGTGAAACTATCCTCTGGATGAGTTATTTCCTTAGTCAATACTGATGTTTGGGGTTCATTGTTCTTTGATTTGTTTATTGAATTACATTTATTAGATGTTTCTATGTTTTCATTAATCTTATGACACGTTTTTCTCGCTTTTAATAAATTCAGTCTAAGCTCTGGATCATAATCAGTATTGATTTCTTTCGTCACCATCGCGAGTTTTGTGTTTTGGTGTGCATCTTTTTCTCCGTCAGAATCTAGGTCTATTAAATCATCTATTTTCGAGTAATACTTTTCACGTTTTTTTCTTTGTAGTGTATTTTTATACTCCTTTTGGCAACAGCATGTACATTTCGATTTGGGGCATGTATGTGGACGAGAACGTAATCCTTTTACTTTGAGACATTTCATTTGTCTACTAGCCCAACAACAATATCCATTTCTTTTTCTAACTATTCTTATAGTCTTTTTCAGTTGCGGTTGGTTATCTTGTTTTTCAGACTCATCCTTATGAGGCGCAACGCCGCTTGTTGTATTTTTAATACACTGTTCAACAAGTACATCAGTTACATCTTTTATAATAATTGGCTTTTCAGAAGCAGACTGGCCTTCGGACTTTGCCACTTCATCTTTTTCTTTTTCACTAGTTTTTTTTTTATTATTTTTTTTCTTTTTAGGAATTATTTCGCCTTGACAAACACTTAATATTCTTTCTACTGTGTCCATTGCTAAAAGTCGGTCAGTCGGCGTTCCTTTTCTTACGAATTCTGGGATCTTAGGTTGTGGTGTTATTGCTGTAGGTGGTGGCGGCGGTGGAGCTACTTTCTTTTTAATTATTTTTTTTAGTTTAAAACCTTTTTCTTTTCCACCACGTTTTTCTTGAATTTGAACACCAAGTTTTCCAGGAGTTTCATTTTTATTGGTATTTTCCTCTAAGACAGGCTGTGACTTTGGTGCGTCACTAACCTCACCGTTATTTAATAGTTTGTTAAGCGCATTTGTATTGTCATTTAATTTGACTAAATCGGGTTGTGAAATTTCAGGTTTGTTGTTAATACTAACACTATTATCGTCAGTGTTATTAACTTTCTTTTGAATTATTTCAACGGGTGCTTTTTTATCACCTTTACATTGGATTGGAGTAACTTCTGCAATCAATAACTTTTCATTTGCACGCCGAATTTGGTTAATATCTGGTAAATTAATAACTTTATTCCTTTCAATACTTGGTTCCACTGTGTGACTACGATTAGATATAGTTGTTTTTGGTAAAAGGTTCTTTAATAGTTCTGTATTAGGCAAGACGTTCTCTGTATTAGGCAAGATGTTTTCTGTATTATTTGAGCTATTAAATGATACGGGCGACGGTATACGAGTTTCTCCAAAGGTTTTTACTGGAAGCGATGGTATTACAGTTTCATCTAATGTTTTTATGGATTCTCTTTGGTCAGTTTCTTTAAACGGAAATTCCTCTACTAACAAACTATTACTACTTAGTTTGATTTCAAACGATTTGTGCACATCTATTGTTATTGGCTTACATTCTTGAAGTAATCGCCTATTTCGCTCAGAGCTGAAAAATCCTGCGGTCAATCTTTTCAAGCGCGTATTGAAGTCTGGGTTCTTACAAAGTTGTATTGGATTATATGAAACAATTTTAGGCTTTTGAAAGTACCAACTTTTAGAACTGATTCTATGTTGACAATCATATGAATTCAATGACTCATCACTAGAACTATCATTTTCGCATGCCTTCTGACATTCTTCTGATATATCTTCCATGTTTATTGACTTTTTATCTACAGGTGAACTTTCAAGCATAGCGTTTTTAATAATGCGTCCATCTTTTACTGATTCGTAGTCTATAAAACGAAACACATCCATGTCATCAAGTCTTTTTGTATAAACGACCGGATTAAGTAATAGTTTAAGATCAATTTTAGGAGCATTATCTCTTTTGTGGTCTTCCATGTCACTCTCTTCATTTTCTTCTGGAATTTTTGTTTTAATAACTCTTACTGAAATAAAAATTAAAAAAAGATAAGTGACTTTGACCTTACATTAAAATTCATTTTTATTTTAATAAAATAAAATCATTGAAAACACAAGATACCTGTCATATCTTCTTCGTCTTCAACATATTCGATGCCGTCATCTTCCAATTCGAGACCATCTATAGATATTGCATCATTCAAAACCCCATTTTCTGTTTTTACACCACCATTGTTTTCCAAAAAAGTTGATTCTTCCTTAATATTAGATAATAAGTTTGCTTTAGCCACATCTAGCGTAATTGTATCTCCTGCTGAATCTCTATGGAGTTTATTCTTAGTAATTCTCTCAACGACTCCCTCTAATATGTCGTTAATTTCATCAGGAGTGTCATCATCAATGGTTATTTTATTTTCAACAGCATTATGTGTTATTGTTGGCCTTACCAATTTTCTAATACCCAGCTGTTCAGTTTCTTTTTTGTTAAATTCTTTTAATTTTTTTGAGTTTGAATAGGCATCATCACTTATCACTAGGTCATCATTATCATAAATTTTGTCAACATTTTCCAAATGCTCATCATTGTTATGAGAATGTTCAATATTTTCTATTAAATCTTTACTTTTTTCACATAAATCTTCATTTTGCATATCATCTCCTTCATCTGTACTAAAAAATTCATTTGATTGATTTGATTCGCTATTACCTCTTGCTTCATCATCGATTGTATGGGTAACTGTGTCTCTGACGTCATTTGATATGTTCACGTTATCATTAATTGATGATTGATCCTGCCTAGTCACTGTAGATTCTAAAGATTCTAGCGGTATATGCACAGATTCTAGTAGACTAATATCATTTTCATCGCTCACGTCGTTGATTGTTTCAGTTTTCACGATAGTTAAATTTAGCTGACTTTTTATAGCTTTTTCATCAGGTTCATTTGAATCGGATTCATTATTAGAATCTTCATGTTTCGATTCTGAATCAGATTCAAGTCTTAAATCAATTGTTTCTACATGAGGTTCGATGACCACGAGGTCAGGTTCATTTTCTGTAATAAATATTGACATTAATGACTTGAAAAATAGAATAATATTGATTAACTATATTTAAAATAATCAATATTCTGAGCTATATTTATATTATGCTATATTATATTTATGGTTTAGCAACAGTTTTAAAAATTGTAATACATATTAATTAGAAAAATAAAAAATATTATATTTTAGGAGTTTCTTAATGGTTGAGTCGAATTTTAATTTCGCTAAAATGCTAATAAATATTTTATTTTCCAAAATCTAAAGTTTACCTGTAAACTTTCGTTTCTTTTTGGATAGTTGCAGACGTTCCTGAAAAAAACGTATTAAAAAGATAAATAAAGTGTATAAATTACCAGTTTAGTAGCAATAAAATTTTATTATAAAACTTACAAAATCTGCAGGGAGAGATACTTTTTTTTCTTTTATCAACTGCTCCCAAGAAGGAAACTGTTGTGTGACAATCTTGTTGAAGCTATAATGAAACAAAATATTGAAATATATATATAATTTATTATATCATCGTTTTAATACACTGCATTGTCAGATTTTTTGACAGTTAAAGGGCAACACTGAGAATATTTTTTTATATATATAATATACTAATACCACTGTACTATTTGTATTCTGTGGAGGAAGGTGAAATCATCACAGAGCTAACATATGTAGATAATAAATAATAAAAATCTTTATTGGGCACGTTTTAAAGATTACAATTTACAAAATTATGTTCGATAAAGTCGTAATGTGCGCACAACGGGTTGTGTAGTAAGAAAAGAAATAGAAACTATAATATGTGCTGTCTCACTAACACCATTGCACATGCTACAATACTTTTTTTTTGGTTTATGAATAGTAGAATATTATTATAAATATATAACACTAGCAGAACCTGCGGCTTCGCTCGCGCTCAAACTACAAAAAAAAAGGGCGTGTGTGTGCAATTCACACAAGATAGAAGTGAAACTTCAGAAAAGTAACCAACGGAGAATGAGATTAAAATATAGAGTATCAGGAGTAAGATAATATTTATAAGGTTCATTTTTATATTTTATTTGACATAAATATACATTACGTATTGTTCAGTAATTAATTTTATTATTTTTCACTTCCTGTGTAATGCATTCTATCTCAAATAACAACGGATACCATGGCAACATGACAATGTATTCTATCTCATTCTCACGCCGACTAAATTTTATATATTTGTGTTTGTCTGTTTTTAGTGTTGTATTATCGTTTCATCAAATTTCAAATCACAACGGTACTAAAGAAGTTTCACTTCAAACGTCTTTGGTCTTTAAGCTATTAGTAATAATGTATGGAAGTTAGCCCGATTTATCGAAATTTATGGTTACTGCTCCGCTCCCTTGCATGATGATATACAGCATATAGCTTTCCTCAAAAAACGGGCTATCTAATAAAAAATAATTTTTCAAATCGGATTAGTTGTTCCTGAGATTAGGGCGTTTAATCAAACAAACACAAATAAACAAATTCTGCATTTTAAAATATTTGTACCTAGGATAAACCCATTGAGGTTTATGTAATGCTACATTAATAATGTAATAACTAATAACTATAAGTTAGTCGTTTTAGTGTCTCCTCTTTCGACTCATATAGTTAAACATGCATATATGCACAATTTGTTAAATAACTTAATTTACCTTTTAAATATTTTTATTAATTTTGACTTTTTTTTTATTATCTCTAACTGTAGTTACCATTTTATTATTTCTCTTTGTAAGCTTGTGGGTTTGTAGTGAGACGCTTCTTTCAGCCGCCTTGCGTCCCCGTGGTAGGAGAACCAGAAGTTATAGAAGTTGTACCAAACAAGTTCTTTCAACTGAAACCAGCGGCGCTGCAACAGCATCGGCGAGCACTTCCGACCACTGGAAATAATCGACTTTTGTTATCACGTCTGTGTGCGCGTTTGTGTGTGCTTGGGTTTTCGAACGGGTGCGCGCGTGCGTGCGTATGTGTGTATGTAGTATGCGTGTTTGTTACTTCTTGTGTGTAGGACGGATAAAGATGAAACATAGTACACACATACACTTGAGCACTTTGTGCACAGATAGACTTAAACACTTTATGCACAGATGGATTTGAGCACTTTGTGCACAGATAGACTTGAGCAATTTGTGCACAGATTGACTTGAGCATTTTGTGCATGTGACTGATTGTGATTGATTTGTGAGACACAGCCAAATGAAGAAGGGTAAGTCACTACTAAACATAATATTATACGAACAATGAACACGTTATACACTTGTGTTTTTTTATTCATTATTTAATATTTACATACAGTAGCGTAAAATATATGTAATACAGATGATAATAATGCAATTCTTTAGACATATTGTAACATCAGATTAATGACAAACAAACAAAACACAGATTTATTTTGATTTTTGGTTCCCGACGTTTCGAATGCTTTACAGCATCCATGGTCACGGGAGAGACTGAGGTGTTACATGTCTTAAAGATATAGTTGTTACAGACAGCCTAGTGGGTAGCCTACCATGACCATGGATGCTGTAAAGCATTCGAAACGTCGGGAACCAAAAATCAAAATAAATCCGCGAAATAATCCGAAAAGATAGTTTTATTTAATAATGTCAAACATTCGCGTAAATCTAAGAAAGTATTAAACAAAACACACTTTCATATTTATAATATTAAGTATGGACATAGATCATATAATACTATACTAGTAGTATGGATATTAATTTTGATATTAGAATGGACACATACATACATCGCTGTCTCATCTCGTCTCACGATCAATTTACCGAAAAAGTTTTTATCACAGAATTATTGACTTTCACAGAATTATGTTAAATCTATTTATATAAAATATGCCTACATTTTATTTTAAAAAAACTGTAAATTTTAGAATATATTTCCAAAATAGAACTTTGTTTTTAAAAAGAGAAAAAAACTATCTACTGTTAAGTACAACAAGTATATTTTGTAGTTTGAACAAATAAGCACTAAGGTGACGACATAATATGTAGGTATATACCTACATACATATAATAAAATTGTAATTAAGCCGAACTGTTGTGAAATCTCGTCTCTGAGAAATCCCTACTAAACGTCAAAACGGAAGTAGGGACGACGAACCCAAGCGAAGAGAGAGTGAATTGCTAGTATAGTATATCTATAGAGATAATTAAAATTGAAGTGTCTGTTTGTAATGTCAAAATAACAGCTTTTTACTAAATGCATATGGATTATATACGGTATTTATAAGAAATACACAATTTTTGAAATTTATGTCTGTCTGTTTGTTTGTTTTGGCTAATCTTCTAAACGACTGGGACGATTTTGACGGGACTTTCACTGGCAGGTAGTTCATGTTCATGAACGAATTAACCACTGGACCAGACATATAAGCGGACGTACCTTTACCGGTCTTGTCAGTAACCTGGGATTTTAGCCTTGGTCGTTTGTTTTTTTGTGTCAGTCTCAAGCAGTTACTTGTCAACAAAACATCTCCCAAAAATGACTAAATGTTCTGTTAAATGGTGTAAAAACTATAGCGGCGGAAGCAGCACTATTTCTTTTCACTTGTAAATACATTATTTTGTTACATTTATTGTTATTTATCACAAAATTTAATTAAATGTAAAATAAAATGTCATATTATCCAACTATGTTAAATACAGTCGATATTTCTATGTATTGTGGACATCTGACAACCATCATAAAATGGCTGGATTATACCATTCAAAACAAATGACAAAACTGTCGAGTGAGTCCATTTGACATCGACTAGTGCGTGACAATGTCGAAAAATATATCGATATTTGACGAAATAACTGAACGAATTGTGTTATTTTTACAGTACAATAACATAAAATACTTTTATCACAGTATCCTACAATCTGATGACAATAAATTTATAAAAATATTTTCTAAATCAAATAAAAATATAAATGCAAAAATTATAATTAGTATGTGTACTTAATTTTTTATTTTATTTTATACCACATTTATATACTTTAGAATATTATTCCATTGTAATAATAATAAAGATCATTTTATTTCAACACATAAATTACACAAAATCAAACAATAATGTTTTAGCACTAAACTTTGGCGATTTGTAATAAAACATTTTACCACTTGCACTAATTATTTTACTTTCACGATCCAACACTCACTTTTTCACAATTTGCAATCACTTTTTCTTTTTCCTTATTTCACAAATTTTTATTAAGACCTGAGCAATATTTGGACAATGTCACATTTTTATAACTACCCGAGTCAATCAATTGCCAATTAAAATAGTTCAATAACAGAATCAACAAAATCACTTTATTTAATTAAATTAGCTTAATATTTTTTTAATCTTTACAAAATAATATTTATTATATATTAATGGAATATAAATCCGATATTCATTTGTTTATTAACATTATTATAGGCCAACAGAATGTTGCCATCATTGCCATCGTATTTATATAAATCAAATTAAAAAATAATTATTATTTGACACATTATTATTGCCTCTTTAATTCATTTATTTTAATTTATTATAATTAATACAGATATTTTAAATTAAAAGATGTAAAATATGATGACTATGCTAACCAATGTTTAAAATGTCATTCATTGGTTCATCGATATATGTATTTTATCGATTACGTTCAAGCACTAGAAAAATTGTGTTGTGTATTAGTGTTTATAACAATGTAATAAAATCTTTGTGTGCGTTATGCGTCACTTGGTTGAACTAGTTTTCATACATTTGTATTTTATGTCAGGTCCAGTCTCTAATTCGTTCATGTTCATGTTATAAGGAGTAACTTAGACTCCCTTTAATGCAGTAAAAGACTTAGTGTTCTACTCAAAAAAATGTAATTAGGGACGACCCCGAGCGAAGCGAGGGTGAGTCGCTAGTTTCTTTGTAAATCTCGGGTAGTACAAAAAACTTACCAGCGATTATATTCCTGTGTCAGATCATACCAAGCTCTGGTGAGCGCGTCACTTTCCAAATACTCTATTTTATGTTTCACAACTAATTGGAACAATTCTTCCAAAATCTTAGCATCTTTCTGGTTTTTATTAATATCTGGCTCCTCCTATTAAATAAATAAAATTATTATAATCATTGTAATCATATAGGAAAAGCTTAAAAAACAATCATTTTAAAAATCTAAAAAAAAAATCATAAATACCTACAATAAGTTATTATTTAAGGCTCCGCCCGCGTTCAGATGACCACCAAAAACCAAATTCTTACGTTTTACATATTAGTATCTTACATTGCAGTTTTTGTATTTTTTATCAGAAATGAGACATTTTCCCGCGGTAAAAAGTATCCTATATATTGACCCGGATAACCAGCTATCACCATACTAGATGTCATCAAAATCCCTCTAGTGGTTTTTCTGTGATGCGGTAAAGACAGACAGACAAAAATTCTACAACTATAGATTCGACCTCTGTATCGATAATAATGTATATTTCAATAAGATTTTCCAAAAAATATTTAATGTACAGATGCGGCTCAGTAACAATTTAATTATATGTATAGATAATATAAAATTTTAAAATAATTAAATATAATGTTCTTAACAAGTCCATGTCCAAACAAGAATTTCAGGGTAAAAAATTTGAAAATTTCCTAAAATTTAAAATACTTTGTATTTACACAGTATTTTTGTATGAACTCAAATATCACAAATAAAATCAAACTTTGGACAACAAAGAAAATCTGAGTGCATCTCCCATAACAATTGAGTTATTTAAAAAAAACACTCTTTTAGTATGAGATAAAGTTGCACTCTATTACCTGGCCTATAACGTCTACTTTCTCATGCACTAAGACGAGATCAAACAGCAACCAGTCTGTTATAGATAGCTGAGCGATTTTCGTAATATTATCTAATTTATCTTCGGCCACAAACAGCCTCCTTAATTTCTTCACAGTGACCGCTCGCATTCGAGTCCTAAAAATTTTTTATTTATAATTTTTTACACAAAAAATAGTTATAATAAAAATATTAAGTATAAAATATGAATATACTATTAATTTATTATGAATATACGAGTATAACACACATACATTTATATTGCACATACATTTTTATAATTTTACTAGCAGAACCCGCGGCTTCGCTCGCGCTAAAACTACAAAAAACAACTCTAAAAAGGTTCATACAAACTTTCATCCCCTATTTTACCCCCTTACGGGATGAATTTCGAAAAATGCTAAAACACGTATTTATTTAAATGTTTTGAAGAGCATTAACGCCAAGTTTCAAGTACTTCTGATCATAAATATTTTTTTGGGTTGTATTATAACGTATTTTCCCGCGAGAATGAGAAAATTTCCCGCGGTAAAAAGTAGCCTATGTCACTCTGCAGCCCTCCAACAATCTCCACACAAAAAATTAGGCCGATCTCCGTTTCGACGTGAAAGAAGGACAAACAAACAAACACTTTCACATTTATAATATTATGTATGGATTAGTGCTAAAAAATATGATATGTAAGACTCTACATTCTCAAAATATAGAACCTTGACCATATTTTTATATTTACATATTATAAAATGTGCATAAACTATAAGCATTAGAAAATTACCATAATAATTTACAATCACACGCAGTCTCCTTCTTTAGTTCTTTCCAAATCTCTTCTTCTGGTTTCTTTTCAACTAGCAAAGATCTTGCAATGACTCTAATTAGCCTCCTTTTAAATTTATCTAACTCATTGGCTTTAGAAATTGTGCTACTATCTATGTTTTGAGCATCTCGAGGTTTATCACAGTTTACATTTGAATCAGTCTTTGCTTTAGAGACTGTTGACTCCTGTTCAATTGATGATGAAAGATGATTGGTTTCTTCAGTAACATCAACATATTCTGTCTCTACATTTTCATTTGCTACTTCTTCGCCATCTAATTCAATTACATCACACATTATCTATTTTTTTTTCTAAGTAGTTACTTCTTCTGCAAAATAAGAATGTAGAGTCATTGTAGATGTTTATGTAAAAATGGAATATGTACTTGTAGTTATTATCTACGTAAATAAATAAAAAATATATGAACATACAGTATCTACACACTTTGTAAAGCAGATATAACAGGGTCGAACCAATCGATGGGACATGGAAGAAAAAGGTACCTTAAATATTAAAATTAACAAATTCTACTCAAAGGTAAACTTCTTTTGTTATAAAAAATAATAATAGCTTTTAATTTTTTTAAACCAACTAAAAATACAGAAAAATACGCCGTCAGTATTTTATTGAACTAACCGACAGAGTCTTTGGTAAGAATATAAAATCTCTCAAACAACCATTGTATCCTCAGATATTAAAGAAAACTATGAAATCTTACAATATATATGTATCGACTCTAAATAATATCATGGAACTTACGCACAGGACATCGAAGAAAAGTGTCTTAAATACTGAAAATGTATTAGTAAGGAAACATTTTTTTTTAAAATGACAGTACGTTTGGGACATGGTGACCGTTGTTATTGTCTGACAAATGATATATAATATTATAATATTCTTTCCTTCTTTTCTTTCCATTGCGGCCACTTTTACATAGGTGAGTGGTATCATGCAAAAAAATTAGCTTTAATTTGATATATAAATGATGAATATACGTTATGAACGTATGAATGTAACAAAAAAAATTAATGACTCGCAACCACTTTTGCGGCCACTTTTACATAGGCAGACGTAGTCTTTCAGGTACAGAAAAAATTAGCTTTAATTTGATATATAAATGAAGAATATACGCGATGAACGTAGCAATCTTACAGCCGGATCTCGATCCATAGTATAGACTATTGCATTGGTTATAATATTAGTATGGCTATAATAATATTTACAATATTCATTGTTTATGGCACGAGTTAAATACGTTTATTTTAGTATTTCTATGAAAGAAAAAGTATACACATATTTTTTCACAATGTGTGTGTCACAATAGGTTTGTTGTTATTTTATGATTTCCGCCATAATGTATTAAGATTAAAAAAATGTCGTTGAGAATACTTATTATTTTATATACTTTTGTAAACTGAATTAATACAAAGGCTATGGTACGCACTTAGAAACGCATCAGAGCAAAGCGAGGTTATGTCGCAAAATTTTTTAATAATAAACCAACTAAACATTATTTATTATCGTCCATCTAAACCAAACTCTGCCTAATGGAAGCCATTCTGTATAAAAAAAGATCTCTTGAAGCTATTGAGCTTGAACTAAAGACAAGAAAAAACTAATAATTTATTAAAAAAAATAAAATAAAAATGGTGAATTTCGAACGTCACGTCCCCTCCCTCCCACTGTTAGTTTTTGTCAGTTTACGTTACGTACTTTATGAATAACTAAATATTTAAAATAAAATTTTTTAAACAGTATTTTAAACGCCATCTATTACGAATTATTTATGCAGTCTTACTACTTTCTTCCTTTAAATACATTTGTGCGTACATTTGAAAGGTTTTGCTTTAATGTAGTTACGTATGGAATATTTTAATAATCACGTTAAATCGTAAAACAATAGACGTCAGAGCTTATTTTCAACTACCCCCTATTGTATTTAATTTGTCTGCATTAGATTCCTGCATTTTATGGATTTACGAGTATTAATGTACATATTTGGAAATCCCAAATACTTACATTCCTTATTAAAATACAAAAATATTTATAAATTTCAATGGACAAACAAAAAGTTTATAAATATAAAGTGGCAATATTCAATAAGGATGGTATACACAACATTTTAAAGTATCTTATTTACATAAATTAAATTGCACTTTAATAATGGCAATGCTAATTCGATTTTTTTGTGCAAAAAAAATTAAGTAAATATAAATCCTCCTTGACAAAGTTAAATATAAAAAAAATATATAAGCATTATACACAACTACTACATGCCTATATATACTTTAAAACATAATAAATAAATAAAAAATAATGGCTAACTGAAAAAAGGTGATGCATATTGAGGTTACTATTCCGTTTTAATATCACTTTGAAAATAATAACATTATGTAGATTTTTTTATTAATTAAAGGTCAATATCGCAGATGCTAAAAAAACTGGTTAGGATCACTCGTGCGACTATTTGTCCGACTGTTAGTGTTCCTTATTAGGGGAGCACTTAGAGTATACTTATGCTATAGAGCGCGTGTAAGCAAGTATGAACTGTAAGCACGAGTATGAACAGTCTTGAAATAGCAAGGGCGACCCTATTAGTCACTAAAAGACATGCGCGCTGATTGTTTCTCTCGTCCGTATTTATTTAGATTTATGTAATCATGGTGAAATGTGAAATCCAAGGTGTAAAAACGGTTACGTTTCGCATAATGGACAATAAGCGATACGCGCGCTCTATAGCTTATGTATACTCTAAGGGGGAGCAATATACAATTACTTAATAAATTTTTTCATTGTTCTTAAAAAAAGTCGCATTTTTTTTAAATATTTGGTGAAAATTCAGTTCTACTGGCTGACCGGACTGAGTAAGCTAAGGAAAGATATTGATAGCTAAGTGTAGAGTTCAATAAGGAGTGTTTTGGTACGAAATTTTAAAAATTAACTCAACACGTGCCCAAATAGCCTATGTATAAATTTTATATATAAATAGTAAAGCACAAAAATGTTTCAATTTTCTCTTCTTCAATTTAAAAAAACAAGAAAATATTAAAATTGCCATTTTCCGATCTCTTTCGAATATTTGAGATGTTTAAAAAATAACCGTTTTTTAAAGTTAAGGGCCGCACAATACATAGATAGAAATAAGACCATGACTCCCGTGACCATGATTGCTATAGAGCGTTCGAAAAGTCGGGAATCAAATATCTTAATAAATCCGCGAAGAAATTTAAAAAGATAGCTTTATTTAAAATGTCCAATAAAATTAAAAGAAATTTGAGAAAATTAAAAGAAATTCTTATAGAAATTAGAATTCAATATAGGGCAAAAATATCTTAACTCTTAAGCATGCAAGCTTTTATATCATACTAGCATTGCCCGCGGCTCCGCCCGCGTTCAGATGACCAAAAACCAAATTTTTAGGTTTTGCATATTAGTATACTCACATTGCAATTTTTGTATTTTTTCTCAGAAATGAGATATTTTCCCGCGGTAAAAAGTATCCTATATGTTGACCCGGATAACCAGCTATCACCATACCAAATTTCATCAAAATCCCTCCAGTGATTTTTCTGTGATGCGGTAACAGACAGACAAAAATTCTAAAAACTATGGATTCGTCCTCTGTATATATATATGATAATAATGTCTATATCAATAAGATTTTCCAAAAAATATTTAATGTACAGATTCGAATTTTTTGTAATTTTTTTAGAGCATTTAAATTAAAGCTTTTTTTACTACTAATTTATTTTTAATCATTTCATTTTTAGGGTCCCGTACCTCAAAATATAGAAAAAGGAACCCTTATAAGATCACTATCTTTTCCGTCTGTCCGTGTGTCACCACCGATTTTTTCAAGAACGGGTGGACCTAGCAAGTTGAAATCTATACCAGATACTGAGGTCTATAGTCCCTATTAGGTGTATAGAAATCAAGGTCCTGAGTCAACACGATAAAAAGATATGGGCAAATTTAAATTTTCGATAAAACTTGTAAGTAGCAAAATTTATCCTAATTTTCAACTTATTTTTATTTTTCGGAATTTTCCCTTTACTTGTGCTGTAAGACCTTGCTTTTAACCAAAATTGAAAATTCTAGGTCAACCGGAAGTACCCTATAGGTTTTGGGTCGAAAACCTATATGGTAGTTCCCGTTGACCTAGAATCACGAAATTTGACAAAAAACAAGTTTTTACAGCAGAAATAAAGGAAAATTTCCAAAAAATAAAAAAATTGTAATTTTAAATAAAACTATCTTTTCGGATTTTTTCGCGAATTTATTTTGATTTTTGGTTCCCGACGTAAATTATATAAAAATGTTTAAAGTTAAAATATTGTAAGGTACTTTAGTGCCATTTTTCAATTTTTGAATTCATTTTGTTAATTGTGGGTAGGCTGTCTGTAACAACTATATAATAACTTAGAGACATCTAACACCTCAGTCTCTCCCGTGACCATGATTGCATTCGGTGGGCGAGTCCGACTCGCACTTGTCCGGAATTTTTATTTTAATTCGTATTCTTCTTAGCCCCTTTCATTTGATATCCATAGGTATCATAGGGATGGAGAAAAGAATACATAGTCCGGCATCTTTCGGAGTCAGCCATCTTTCGGAGTCCGCCATATTAATTATATTACTAGGAATTAGAATGACGTCAATCAGCTCAATCGGTTGAGGATAACTGCTTTAAAATTCAGTTGCAAGATTTGACCCGAACAAACATACACACATACATACATATAAAAATATACTATATACATACATTACATATAAAGGCTTGTAATTTAAGTAAATTTTTAATAATAAATTTAAGTAATAAAATATTTTTTTATTTTTAAATTTATATGTATTTAAAATATTTTAATGATAAACCAACAAGCAAAAAATTTTTATTAAAAAATATATTTTTAAGTCGACGTTTTAAGCCCGCAACTTTCCGAACGCAATAGGTAAAATGTTTAGAATACGTTTACTCGTGGCGGCTGACGGACGCTTTCTTCATACTAAGAAAATTATGAAATTTATAAATTATATAACTAATGATATATTAATAAGATAAACTGTAAATGTGGCAACCATGTGGGAAAATTACATTTAGTCATAAAAGTATATAACGTCAGAACTTAGAAAATAAATACAACTAATAGTTGGTTCACGTCCTCACTCAATGAATGCTGAACTAACAGTGACACGGAGGACGGAGTACTAATACAGAACAGAAAACATCAATTACCTATATTCTCTTGACGACCGTCAAATTTACACGATTACATTCACTTAATGTTTTATAATACAA